TAATTACTATTGTTTTATTATTTCCACTTGATTTATTTTATCTGGGACACCGGCTCCTACGCTACCACGCCTCAATGCGCTTCCAACGGCCTAAAGGCCTATGACCCCGTCGTAAATAAAGTCAATCGAATGGACATTTCGCTTCTATTTTTAATGTAGTATGAACAGATATGCTGACATACACGTTACATTTTATTAATAATACACTAGCTTAGCAATAAATCAAAACATTCATTTGTTTTTAATAATCTTTGTTGAGTTCAACTTACATACCTTTTTTACAATAGAGGGGGACAGAAGTGCACAAGATTCACTTAATGGAAAGTGGTATGCCATATAATATCTTAAAAATATGTGCTATCGACCTATTTTGTCTTTGGATAATCGGAAAGATTTAGGCTGAAACGGGAACGCGGTTAAATTTTACGGATTTTTTTATGTGGGGGATAGTGGGTCGATTTTCTCTTTGCCTATTTTATAACCACATTTCCAGTCTAACGTGCTTTAGAAAAATACAAATTAAAAATCGAAAATAAATTGAAAAATTTTTCGATTTAGGCAGGACCGGCCGGTTCAAGTCCTGCCTGAATCGAATTTTTTTTTCAATTTATTTTCGATTTTTAAATTATATAGTGCCTTCATGTGTAATAACATGTAAACAATATCAATGTTTTCAAAATACAAATTGATCAGAAACTTATTCGGCCCAAACCCACAGTCCGTTGTTTACTAGCCGTACAATGCTACCAACGAGCCCGTTAGAATCTTTACATTGTCGATTATAATAAAATAAATAATTTAAAGCCAAGAAAAACAAGAAATTGCTTTAAACACAAATTGTTTTTATTAAACTTAAAAAACATATTTGAAAAGTATAACACAAGTAAACAAATAAACCTGTAATCAAATATAGACATGTTATATATATATATATATATATATCTTATGGCCAAACTAGAACAATATCGACTGGTTAAAAAGTATATAATATGCACTCTTTTATTAAACTCTGTCTTCTTTAAAAGAAAACCTATGGACTCAAATTTGTAGCAATTACTTATCCCGTAAAAGCCTGCTTGATTTAAAATTTATTAAATTCTTAACATAAGTCCAATTAAACCTTCCTTTTACGAGTTCAAAACATTTTCTTCATAGACATTTCAAATTCCAACTTCGTGTTAAACATTATTCCGTAAATATTCTACTCATGACTTGCAAAGTATATAGCTTCAGAATAAGTCAACGTGTTAGCGTGACTATAAAACAAATGTTGTTTCAGTGTTTACGTAACTGACTTGTCTACTAAAGTCTATACGCTGCAATGACTTAGGATAAAAAGTTGCGCCTACGGCCTATTTTGTGTCCTTGTTCTTTGTAAGGTAAGAAAGAGATGACGCTATTATGTTTAAATTCTCTAATCACAATATTATTATCATAGTCCTTCGAAAGGGCTCGACTGTTGTTAACGAAATTTTACTTGCTTTTTCGCAATGGACAAATATGTTTTTTTTAACTATATCACATTGAGAATAAACTAACAACGCAAAGTTTTACACTCGTCTTATAACAATGTTCCTATACAACGTTACATAATAAAGTAATAATTTAAATAAAAGACTTTTAACGGTTTAAAACGCGACCCATACTTAAAGTTATGTTTTTAACTACGGCCCGAGGTTTATGATGCTTTGCAGAAGCCATGGTCGCGAGGCAAAGATGAGAGGGTACACTAATCTACTACGCTAGCGCCATCTTTAAAAAGCGTTTTGTCTTATGGCGTTATTCGCGTAAACTACAAATAATACTAACTAAAGAGTTTGTTTGTTTGAAGACGCTGATCTTAAGAACTGCTTTGAATTAAAAAAATAACAGCTTAAACTAAAAGTTTGCAAAACAAATTTTGATGCACAAAATAACTATTCTACGAGGACAATAAATCTAAAAAATAAAATCAAAAAATATAATCCTGTCATATTCCCATAAGAAACTCGTGGCTTAACTTAGTATTACTTTTACCTCTTCAACATATATATTATTATAAGGAATCTCTCTATAATATATATTTATACTATATGAAGACATATATCCAACCTTTCCTGCTTTTGAACCAACGAACCGTAACGAACCTTTCAACCGTCATACAATGACCCTACAGTTAACGGCCTATTGCATTAGAATTTAATATGTACGATATTCATGGAAAGTGGATTTCATCGGATACATATTGGATCCGTTTTCATCATATTAATTTCGCGGAATATTATTTGTGTCTTAAAAAGCTCTTGCGGGTAGGAAATAAAATGTTCTTCTCTTATTGACGAATATTTTATTTAGTAGACGTTTTTTTACGATTACTTGTTAAGTAATGTCAGTAGTTTACGCGAATAGTACACATTTAAATAAAACGTTTTTAACAGTTTAAAACGCGAAATGTATTAGTTAAACTAACGAAACGTTGGGCCGTAAATAAAGTAATTTGTAAACAAGTTAAACATTTCGCGTTTTAAACAGTGAAAAGTGTTTTATTTAAATAATATGTTAGTGTTAAAAAGTATTAAAAACACACTGGCAAGTTGTACCGCCCTTTTATAAAACAACCCTTCTGAAATTCGAATTCTCGGTCTTCTAAATAAAATGCGCTATCCCCATGCTGTCTAAGTGATAATCGGTTTGATAAATATGGCGTCATACTAAATGAAACTGTCTAGACTTCGCACCAGATATTATTTTTGTCTACCCGTAGTATGTATTTACTTGTTGTTACGAAGTGTCTTCGTTTCGGCTTTAACCAGTCAAATAATTATAATTGTGTTGTAGTCGTGGGACTTGTCAGCGTGGAAGTGATTTGGGATAGAATTTTTAATTATTTAGGCTGTTTATTAATTTCTGTAACGGCGCGTTTAAGGCAGCCAATCTATGTTGTAAGTGCTATTTTGCCGCAACACTCTCACCTCATATCACTCCTACTCTAACTTCCACTCTCATTCCTACACTCACTCCCACTCTCACTCCCACCCCCACCCCCACTCGCACTCACACTCCCACTCCCACTCCTGTTCCCAAAAAACCAAATAAGAAAGTTTCATTGTCATTGCTTCAAAAACTACGAATTTCCATTCAAACTTTCATCACCTTTTTCAACCCCTAACTACCCTTATTTGGCATTAAAAGTGTACAATTTCCTTTCTCAGGCTCTAAAATATCTGTGTACCAAATTTCATTTAAATCAGTTCAGTAATTTCGGAGTTAAAGCCGGACAGACAGACAGAAAGAGTTACTTTCGCATTTATAATATTAGTATAGATTGATAATTTCCTTATTTGTTGTAAAACTTTCAAACATAACCAGTAGCTTAAATAATTATATATCATATAGATAAATCTACCTTACACCGTTAAACGAAATGTAATGAAATTTTTAACAAGATTTTTTTCAATAAATACGTCAATAAAAACTCCATACATTATTTCAAAATATGTTTTATCTATTTACCATCATTAAACAATCATTTTAACTCAAATGTAAAACAGAAAACTTGTGTTATAAAGGCTAATTTAAAAAACTTATTAAGATCCGACACGACATCGTGTCATGTAAGAAGCGTAAAACATCAAATAGATATATAGATACCAATTAGCCGAAAATAGCACAAAGTATGTAGCTACCAGTGTAGCCACTTGTGTGTCCCGTTTTAAATCGGTCAAGTGTAAGTCGGACATATGGCTAAACAAATAATGATTTTTTAGTAAGTGAGTTTAAGCTGTGGGATTCTTTAAGATTTGGTAGGACTCTTTCTTCCAATGGTGCGTTAAAAACCAGAGTAGAATAAAAATGAACTACTATTAATTGGTATCGTAATTGATTCCTTGTAGCTAATTGGTTAAACAACTAGCAATGCGCCAAGCAGATCGTCCTCGGTTCGGATCCCGAGAAGCAATGTTTCGGTCGGACAGGGCACAGAAGTTAAATCAACGCAAGCCTTTAAATAAACCACTTTAACGGTTTAAAACGCGGTGTATATAAGTTAAACTTATTTGAAAATTATCTTAACTATCGCGATATTTCATTTCGTGTTTTAAACTGTTGAAGTGTTGTATTTAAATTTGTACTACACGCGTATTTTTATTTTATTTACAGACAGTATTTAACTACAAGTCTGTTAATAAAATCCATCTGTGAAACGAACACAGAAATGTCCCACGAGGAGAAACGGGTTTTCACTTTATTAATTGGTATTGCAATACACAAGCAATGGAGGCTGTTGAAATAAATAATATTCTCCCATATCTTAACATACAATTGCTTTTTCCGCCCTGCATGATGTCTATAGCCTTTCCAAAGAAATAGGCAACTGAACTATGAAGGATTTGTTTGTAACGGTCTGTTAGTTTCTGAGATCAGCGCGTGAATCTATACAAACGTGAAGCGATCAATATTGATTTCGGCGAAATACAATTTCGTGTACACTGATGAATTGTACACGAAATTATAAATGTCTCAAATTTTTTCTTTTAAATGAATTGTATTATTTATAAAACCCTATTAGTAGTACAATTTTATAAAGAGCTTAATTAAAGAAGTATATTTTATCTCAAACAAATTTACACACTCATTCACTGTCTAATAATTAAAGAAAATTTAAAATTAAAAACATCGAACTTAGAAGAAATGAAATTCAATTTGAAGAACGTAAAAACTTAATTAGAGTAAATCCCCTTTCCCCTCGTGGGACATAGGGCGAAAGCATTTCTCCGTCCGTTTTAATGATCGGTTTTTACAGGCAAGTCAGACTTTTGTGCCCTGCTCGACCGAAACAATGTATTGTTTCCCCAGGATTCGAACCCAGGGCGTCTCGCGCTTAACGCAATGCTAGGCAGCACGTTCAACCATTGGTAAAAAAAACATTGCCATTCCAAAATTATGTTAACAAATTTAAATTAATGTTTTACCCGTTATGACATAATTTTCTTTTCATTTCCAGAACACCGGGTCGAGTGAAAATGACGAGAAAATTCCTTTTCTGTTTCCCACTGCGGCTCGGCAATATCGTGTTTGGTTATATTGTTATTGTAAGTGTTATTTCTTCATTAAAAATGGTCCCGCCCGTTCCATTAAAACCGTTGCTAAAATAAAATCAGTAGGCGTTTAATTTTACACAAAACGAACACTAGAAATGCGATAAAATGTTTTAACTATTCTTTCACAAGATATTAATTTTATATGAATTTAAATTCAATATTACTTTTAAATCTATTAGAATTACTTAGAAAATATGTTATATACTTGATAACCTTAAAATTTGTCCCTAGTCCCAAAAATCTTTATTTAAGACTGTTGGTAAAACAGCATTCTTACTTCAGAATATTAAACTAATATTTTTAAAAGTAGCTTCAAATTGAAACATTTTGAACGATTTAAAACACAAACTATATAATTTAACAACGACCCGTCATGACCAAACGATCATGGCTTCAGCACCCGTAATAAGCTTCTTAATATATTTCGCATTTAAAACCGTTAAAAGAGAGTTAAATGTGGACTATTGCCGTAAAATACAGGCAACACTGAAATATTTTTTCTTTTTTCAGATAATAAGTCTAGCCGTAGCATTGTTCCATCTCTACCTTCTCGCCTTGAACATAATCTCAAAAGATGACACGCAAAATGAGAAATTCAACAATTTCGAAAAACTAGAAAGCATATTCGGCGAAGAGAAGAAAGATCTAGTCACGATAGTCGTAATGATATATTACTTGACATATATTATTATTGGACTATTATTATTTGTTTTCGGTGTTATATTCACTTTTGGAGCGCACAAGGTAATTTTATTTGTTTTTAATTTCAAATCTACAATGCCCTAATTGACTAAAACTACGTTTAGGACCTTTTTAGGCAACTGTCACGACGACAAACCAAATTATAGTAGTAATATTTAGTCGTCCCCATAAATTAATACTGTACATTTGTCTTATGGTTGCCACCGTGCTCTTTTGTGGCCTTATACTGGTAGGAAAAAACACAAACATTGAAAAAAAAAGTGGAAAGTTTTATCTGCCAATTGTAATGTCTCCAGCAATTGGTAGATTATTAATAACAGGATCTATAATGCAATTATAATGACATAAATATAAACAATAAACTGCTGTTTTTTACCTACGAACTGATGTCCTTAATTTTATTTGAAAAATTATATACCACGGTCTCACAATATATTTCATCTATCTCAACTAAATACTGTCTGTTGTTTACGCGAGTAGTACACATTTAAATAAAACTTTAATGGTTTAAAACGCGATATATATTAGTGGAAATTATTTTAACTACGGCGCGACGTTTCGGATGCTTTGCCGCAGACGTGGTCACGGGGAGACTAGTAACTATAATATATCGCGTTTTAAACCGTTAAATATTCATTTAATTTTCGTCTCTATCAGCCAGAAACATATTTAAAAGAGAAAATTATTCCGGTGTTACGGCAACAATTTGTACTCTAACTTCCCTTTGAGGAGGATAAGGAATGGAACATGCGTTCATGGAATTTGTTTAACAAGTTACATCAACTTCCTTCCTCATTACGACTTGTCAAGTTTTGAAGAGACATGCGCAAACTCAATGTTCTTTCGTTACGTGAAGAAATTAATTCAATAAATATATTTAGGTATAGTTTGAGAGGCTCGTTGGTGTAACGCTTCAAATGTATAGCTAATAATCATCGTGGGTTCGATGTCCGCCGCGGTCACTCGTGTTTGTTCATTCAATGAAGATAACTCCATGGTCAGTTAGCCGTTGTCTATGTTTGAGATTGAATATTGCTTATAATTATTTAATACCATTAAACAAAGTTGTATATAAGATATTTTTTCAAATAAAACCAGTTGTTTTTGAGATAGGTGTGAACATACAAACAAATAAACCAACTTATTTGTATCACGTACTATTCATGTTATTCAAATATAATAGAACTGTACAGTAACAGTAACAACAACTAGAAATTATACGATGAGTATGTTTTTATATATTCTTTAATTGTATGCAGTCGGTAGCTGGGTAGGTTAGTTTTTGCAAGCAACATCGTCTGAGAACAAGGTGTTTTTATCTCACACTTTCAGTCAGGGTTAGCGAACAATTTCTCTATGTTAAATTTGTAAAAAAATACATGTTTTTTACAACTGTAACGAAAGTGAAAAAAACATAATATACAAATTAATTTTATACGTATGTTGCGTTAAGTTAGGCTAATTTAAAGATAAAAATAAATTTAGATCTCTCATATATATATGAAAATAAACAATACAAACATCCCAAATTAATAAATATAATTTTACCGGCAATGCATATAAAAGATTACTCGTATAATTAAAAATGAATTTAAGAACGCCTATGACGGCTGGTGGATAAACACCTTCTTTTAGTAGGGGTAAATAAAATAATATTAAACCAGAGGTTTAGCTACCCTGAAGCCAATGACCTTTGATGGTAGCGGAGCAATGTAGATAACGATTAATAAAAACTCACACCAAGAAAGCATTTCCCGGCAAAGTTTTATGGAAACCATTTGATTGAATTGATATCAATCTGTAGAATGTTTACTTATCTAAGAACTTTTGCTTTATCTATATCTATTGTTCCATTTTATCATCCTCTTTAAGAACAGTTAGATTTCTACATCTATACTAATACATACAGCTGTTTGTTTGTTTGAACGCGCTAATCTCAGGAACTACGGGTTCGAATTGAAAAAATATTTTTCTGTTGGTTAGATCATTTATCGAGGAAGGCTATCGACATCGCGCTTCAAATTATATAAGCGAAGATACAGCGGGAAATGTAAACAAAACGGGGGAAAATCTTGATGTCTGTGGGTTTCAGATGCGTACGCTGGGAACACGGTTCTAGATATCTAAAAATGTGTGGAAAAAATGATTCTTCTTTAAATTATGTAAAAAAAGTCCGCGACTCTATATATCTATCTTTTAACGTTAACTTGCAAGAACGACGGGAAGGGACGCGATCGGCTAACAAACAACAGTGGGTAACAGCTTAAGTTTATAAAGAGAGAAGAAGAAAGATAAAGAGAGAGATGACGGGGTTTGCAAAAACCAGTTTGGATGCCCAAAATAACGATCCTCGCAGCCGAGATCGCTGGCACACCTAGTTTATTATATATGTTATGGGCAAAGTATGTATGTATAATATAATAAATATTGTATATTGTAATAAAGTTTGTATATTGTAAATATAGAGTTGATAAACAAACAAACATTTCTGCGTCTGATAATGAAAATATAGTAACTAGTGAGCGAGGTAAACTTCGCTATTAACTGGTATTAAACAAATTTATGCCCTGCTTCCAGGTAAACGAGTGTTGTGTTACAACTTTCTTCATCTACAGTTTCTTTCACATTTTCTTCACTGTTGGCTTAATTGTTTGGGAGGCCATAACCAACGGGTGGATACAACTTGGTCTCATATTTGTTTCAGACGGTAAGAAATAATTTATTTCAGTATAATTTAATATACATTTAACATGAATAACATTTAATCATGCTCCTTCCATCCTATGTCTATTGTTATATAGTCTGTAATTTACGCGAGTGGTACACATTTAAATAAAACACTTTTAACGGTTCAAAACTCGAATCCTTCCGTGACCACGCCGGAACGTCTGATCAAAGTTAATAAAAATTCAATAAATAATTAATCAATTGTAAATAAGCTAAAATAAATGTTCATTGTAAAACATTTCGCTTTTTAAACCGTTAAATTTGTTGTATTTTTAAGATATGTCATTTAGAATACAAAGTCCTAATACTTATAAAAATCTAAGTGAAGTCTACAAGCGTGATTATAGATAGCGTGTCATATTTCTTTAAAAATCACACTTTTAACTAGTCAAAAAAGTTTATTTTTTACTATCACTCGATATTTCTTATCAATCTTGTTATCAATATTGTATTTAATAGATCGGTATAATACAAAAAGAAACTGACTACCTCTAAAATTTTGAATAAATGTGTGTTTATTTTTCATTTCAAATACCTAATCAGTATGAAATTTTACCATCGACAAACAGTCGTTTTCTAAAAGCGTATAAAAAAATGATATTTCTTTTTCCAGTGCTCCTGATAATTTGTTTGTTCAGCGTCAAATATCTGATGGAAGCGATACGGAATGGGAACATCTACAGTCGGCCTGGCGAAGAGCTCTACAAATATTGACGTTATCATTACGTAATATACATAAGCTTTAATTTATGTACACCCTGCTAACAAAGAGTGACAAGTTTGACAATTGACAATAAGGGCGGGGAATCGTTGGATAATGTATTCGATTATTTCATCGATATCTTTAATCGATTCTATACAAAATAATAAGAAAGTTGGAAATCTATTTTTTTTTATTTATAAGTACAAATTCTATTACACTTCTACAGGAAAGCCTGGAGCCCTGTATTGTTATAAGAATATATAAATAAAGGTTTTATAAAGTTTAATTAGAACTTATGTATGTTATTAAGGATTTAAACAATATACTTTTGGCTCTTTAAAACAAATGAAATAATATTTGTAAAGAAACAATATAATTATAATTCTTCTATTGGAATTAATAGGTGTATGAATTATTAAATCACATACGTCTCTAGTGGTTTGCCATCTCAGAACGACAGGGTCTCCCCTTCCTTAATCAGAACATAAAACTATTTGTAATAACATATAATAGGGCAAAAATATGGATCTACATAATATTATGGTTGTCTTGTTATATAAATCAATTGTATTCTAAATAATTTGTGTTTGCAATGTAACAAGCTAATTTGTATGATCATTAGTAACTTTGTATGTTGCAATTATCGTGAAAGTTAATTTATTTCCCTGCCAGAAGTGATTAGCGTGAATTTTCTATTGAGGACTGTTAATAAATTACTACTTCTTACTAAACTTTTATTTATCTTAATCTATAATAAATAAATTACATTCATACAGCTCAAGACAAATGAAGATCACAGACATACATTTTTGGACTCAAATACATTGAGATATACACTAAAATACGGACCTTGACAAAATTCAATGAAAAAAATGTCCACAACCGCGATGGTTGAGTCAAACATCCGTTTCAAAGAGAACTTTTAAATTTGTACTCCTTTTTGGGGACACAGTGCCTTAGCTCCGAAATTATAACATAAAGTTATTGCATATAGGTATTCAATAATTGGTCAAGTTTAACATCACTAAGGCTTCTTCTTCTTCGTCTTTTACCCAGCATCATTGGTACTACCATCGCCATAGTAGCTGGCACCATACCAGCACCCACCGCAGCCAATACTGTTGCACTATCTGGTGAAGACGTAGATACTAGTTTCTTCTTTATCGCCTTCTTCTTAACAGGCCTCTGCTCTGACGCATCAGCTTGCAAGTCAAACTTCTTGTCCATATCGCGTTTCGACTCTTCGACCGTTTGGAAACTCTTCTCAACTTCCAATAAGCCACCGTGTGACGTTGTCATGTTTGCGAGTGTGTCAGATGGCAGAACAGTTAATGACACTGACTGATGACTTGTGATTATTGGTGTATTCTCTTCTGGGACATCCAGCGATCGGTGCCGTTTTTTATTCTTATAACCTTTAGTTGTTGATAGAAGGATCCACTGCCCATCTCCGTATGGTGGTCTTGATGACCGATCGTCTTCAGGCTCAGCATCTGCGTATATAACTTGTGTGGGACGACGCAATGGACGCCGTTGCATAGTTGACTGGTGTAGAGCTTCATATTCATAAGGGAAGTTTGAAGGTCGAGAATCGGTAATCACTGAATCAGAAGATCCATAGTACACGCTATCCTCGTTTGGGTAACTTTCGTCTTTGTCACAGTTCGGTTTATTAGGACGTCTACTATCGTCAGGAGACCACGATGATTGTAGATTATGCATCGACATTTGTGGGCCTTGCATTTGTTGCATTGATGGCTTTTTCTTCGTCCATGTTGGTTTAGATGGCACTTCCATGTCGTATTCCGGTGGGATATGCAACTTATTGTTTATGAAACCTGGTCGACTCAAAGTTGGTTTCTTTTGAGGAAAGTTGTACGTATACTTATTGGTATCACTGTCTGCATCTTGATAAGTAGGATAACTATCGTCCGAAGAATATTTCGTATCTTCATCGTCGTTCCAATAACTTGGCTTTTGTTTCTTTACGTTCGGCTTCCATTTAGAAATCTTACTCGACGACCACGCTACTGGTTCCAGGGTGACCCAACCGTCTTTATCGTCATATGGATGTTTATGTTGTTTTACTTTTAATCTATTCCATGACGTAAATACCTTACCGTTATCATCGCTCTCTGCTTCTTCAGCGCTTATTGATGAGAATCTATCTCCTTTTATTTTCTGTTTCTTAAGCTTTGCAGCCAAAGCAGCAATTGCTTGTAGACGTTCATTGGAAAAGTCACCGAAGTCTTTCAGCTTTTCCATTTTGTCACCGTTGAATTCATCAAATTCTTGCGGGCCTTCATCTTCAATAAATCCTTCTTGGCACGACGGTCCATAGCATCGTGGTCTATTACCATTTACATCGTGCACAACGTGGGTCATAAGATTCTTCATAACGAGATCATCGCTTTTTCCCTCTGTATCCCATTTGCTTGGTAGGTTATCGAATCCGCCAGTTTCTATAATCGTTATTGGATCTCCCCCGGGAACGTGTAGTTGATAGGTTTTCGCTTTATCGTTGTATTTCTCTATTTGCGTTTGTCCTGAATTGGGTAGGACGAGATGGAATAGGCATAACGCAACTAGCACTGTCATTTTCTTAAAGATATTTTCACTTTCGTTTGCGTGTAGGCGCGCGAGTAAGACGCGCGTGGACTGAGCGCCGGCGGCAGTCGCAACACTCTGATATAGTTTTGATAGTAGATGCACAATAATTGCCCTCCCTGCTCTGCAATGGTAGTTTTGAGCCGGTCACGACGAATGAACAACATAATTACATGGTGATTGTCGTTTGTCGGTTTATCTTAATTCGCCATCGCACTGTCTCTCGCGACCGTGACCTGTGGCTCGGTGAAAACATTACCAAAACGAAAGATTTCTCCAAACAATTTATTTATTTTAAGATGTCAATTTTAAATTAATTAAATATAATTTAAGCAACATTAAGTAAGTAAACTAACACATGGTATTTTTTGATGTTACAGTATTTGAGATGTATAGTTAATCTATAACGTTTTTTTCAAAGTTCCCTAGGCTGAGCTCGTAATGGTTATCGAATGATCTTTTTCGCTGTAATTGCGCACTTTTACCAGTCTCACGAGAAACTCATCAGGTATGCACAAAAACGCGGTTAATCTAGATCTGTGTTACTTAAAAACGTTCAAGATAATATTATTAAATATAAAGTTAGCTATTACAGTAACGATAAAGACTTGAAAGATATATGTTTATATCTGTTAATCAGAAGACTTTGTTTGTTTTGTAGTTTTATTTGGTACCTTCATTTAATTACAATTCTTGGCTCTCCTTACATCCACAAAATAAAGTAGGTATATCTTATTAGAATATACTAACTTCTTAATTGTATAAATAACTTGTTTAGTGATTTTAAACTAATACTTATATACCTAAGGCCTAAAAACATCATAAAATGATCTTATGAAATAAATATTAATGTAATAACACAAGGAGTAAAGCAAACCGACAAGAATTGTTTGTTTTTATTATATTTTGTTTGTTTTTATTATAATTAAGTCAACAGAACGACGTTACGCGGTCGACGTTGTGGGTAACTGCTTACATGTTTAAAGATGAAGAGAAGGTTTGCAAAATCAAACTTGGATGCCCAAAATAATAATGCTGACGAAGTCGTATGCACAGTTTAAATGCGCACTACTACTAGTAAAATACATGCGCCGCAACAAAAAGTAATTCACTCAAAAAGGCTTTTTACAATTGGAAAGGTACATTTATCGTGCTGTAACAAATTTTGTTCTTACGCTTAGTTACGTAACGTTAAAATATCGCTAAGTTGGACTTTCTCTTTCAGTGATGCAAATCGCCGAGTAATCTATTTATAATCGCGAGAACGAACTTTTATTTGCTCATGAAAATTCCAAATTGATTCGGAGCCAAGCAACTGAATTAAGAGATATTTTTCCTTTAAGAATTTCAAAGGAAGTCATTTTCATATAAAAAGATATCATTTAAATTACCCGTACTAAAATGCGAAAGTTTGACGTAATTTTACACCCAAACGAATAGACTAATTTCTATATTTGGCATGGGGCGAACATATTTCTGTGTCTGTTTCATTGATCGCTTCTTTTACAGGCAAGTAGTTTATCACTCTCTGCTCTGCCCTATAGAATCAATATATTGCTTCCCTAGGAGTCGAGTCTAGGACCTCTCACAACGCAATGCTAATTAACACGTTTAACCATTGGTCTAAAGAGGCGGTCACGTCGTGTTGTTATGTTTCACAAAAAAGTCAAAATCTCAAAAAGTCAAAATCATATTGATTATGTATTACAGACATATGGTATAACATTGCGTGAGTTGTATTAAGCAAGAATCTTTTTCCCGGTAATGATCGATTATTTCGGTCGGCCGGGACACAGAAATATGCCCACTGTACCACACTACAGAGAAACTCCGTTTAATTTATCATTAAGAACAAACAAAGTACAGCTTTCACACATTCGCGGATCTTACCTAGATTTTACTAAATCTAGGTTTCATTTATTACATTATTAGTTACGGTCTTAATGTAGGTGATGTGAAAACAACGTTATTACAACTACTTACTTTTATTACACATTATCTAGTTTCCTCTAACTTGCTCTCAAAATGTTTAGTCATACACATGCAGCAGCCGTGGTCACGGGGAGATGTATATTAAACGAAGTAAAAAATATTTTCAAATAAGTTTAACTAATATATCGTGTCTTAAACCGTTAAAGTGTTTTATTTAAATACATACATAGTATTATCAACTATACAGGCCGTTTTTTTCGTATTGTACAATAACTTATTCAAACTCATTCCAATGTTGTCTAAACGCCTACTGTCAGTAGTTTACGCGAGGAATACATATTTAAATAAAACAGTTTAACGGTTTAAAACGCGATATATCTCCCCGTGTCCACGGCTGCTGTAAAGCATCCGAAACGTCGGCCCGTGGTTGAGTAATTTTCGAATAAGTTAAACTAAGATATATCGCGTTTTTACTGTTAAAGTGTTTTATTTTAATGTTGTCTCCTTATTGAAAGCTAGATATTACAAATAAAGCACATAACATCACAAATTTAATTCTTCAGAGCTTTTCCTTTATTGGTTAAAGGCGTTGCCTAGCAATGCATTAAGCTAGAGAGATTCAAGGTTCGAATCCCGGGGAAACAATAAATTGTGCCAGTCGGGCTGGGCACTGAATTCTGATCCACCTAGTTACTTAGTTTTTACTAAACGGACATAAAAATGTGTTCGCCCATATGGGAAAACCGGTTTTGTAAATTAAAATACATCTAGCTCTCCCAAGTAGAGAGTTACGAGTTTTAGCTATAGGCTTAAGTAATTTTGTCATCCGCTTCACAATTATCCACAGACGATCGCAAGTGAAAACTCTACGAGAAATGATTGTCAACGAATCAAAAAGCGTTAGAAAGCATAAAGGAACCGCCAGCCGTTAAACGAAGATGCATTTAACGCAAGTACAGCCGTGACAATTTCTACGCAAACGTACTTTATCATTTGAAAACTTTTCACATGATGGCATTATATGAAATAAAATTATAGATTGAAAAAATTTACGACACGGGCGGGACTCGAGCCGGCATTCACAGCTTTCTGTGCTATTGCTTTAACCAACTAAGCCTAGATTTTTTCGACCTATTGATACATGCACCTTTCGCGCAATACGCGCGGAACGCTGTCGATGCCGGTTCAAGTCCCGCCCGTGTCGTAATATTAAAGTTTGCAAACCTTAATAACATTTAATAAGGTTAAGGTAACTTCACCTGATAAAGGTAATGGATCAATAGCGTTTTCAGCTTAATATAATAGCAAAAAACTTTAAACTGGAAGAGTTAATAAATAAAGAAAATAACGTTTAAAAGAATATGTGAAACGTTATAATAGTCACATTTAGCTTTGAAACTGAAATTCTTTTTGTGTTGGTTAGAGTATTTATCGAAGAAGGCTATATAGCCTATAGCCTTCCTCGATAAATGCTCTAATCAACACAATATATATAACATTGCCCTATGACTAATACAAGCGAACATACAGCAAGAAATGTGAAAAAAAGTTTACAAACATAACGGGGTTTGCAAAAACGAATTTCGATGCCCAAAATAACGATTCGCTGACACAGCTAGTACTATATAAAAATGACTTTCACTTAAGTCTTTCTTGGTCCTTCATCTCTTCACCAATTTAATGTTAGCTAAACTTATAGGAAGTCCATTGTTGTATAGAACAATGTGACCATAAATTGTATGAATTACAGTGAACATTCACTCTCTTATAATAAAAATTACTACTGTATACTGCTATCTTAGGATTGTTATGAGTACAATGCTTATATGTTGAACTAGCTGTGCCCGCGACTTCGTCCGCGTGGATTAGTGAATTGGGTTAGATTTTTTAATTATTTAGGCTGTTTATTAATTTATGTAAGGGCGCATTTAAGGCAGCCAATCTATGTTGTAAGTGCTACTTTGCCGCAACACTCACCTCGCATCACTCCTACTCTAACTCCCACCCCCATTCCCACTCCTATTCCCATAAAGCCAAAAAAGAAAGTTTCATTGTTCTAGCTTCGAAAACCATGAATTGCCATACAAACTTTCATCCCCTTTTGAAAAGGGGCATTTGGCATTAAAAATGGGTTTGGCTATGTCCTTTCTCAGGCTCTAAAATATCTGTGTACCAAATTTCATTTAAATCGGTTCAGTAGTTTTGGCGTGAAAGCCGGACGGACAGACAGACATAGCTACTTTCGCATTTATAATATTAGTATAGATTTTAAATATATGATGAAATAGCCATGAACTTCAATCACATCGCATCTTGTTGATTTATTTTGTGACTGGGGTGTACCTAGATTAAAGACTAACCCTCAACGTCGACTATAATAATGACTATAATGTAAGCGCCAATGTACGAAATACTAAAGATAGGCGCAAACAGTTTAATTTAAATAATGCTACACAATGTGATTGTTTGGTGTTACGTAATAAAATAGTGCATTTCACCAGCAAAGAACAATTCAGTTAAAGGTCGATTTTGCTTTAGACAATCGGACTTTATTATTTACAAAAGCATAAAGTCAAGCGTTACTATTTTTCTTCCCTTCGTCCATAAAATACTTTTTTACTAAATTAGAAGCGGCTCCACACCCGCCGCTGTCCTAAGTTCAAAGCGTTTAAGCAGATCGTGGAAAGTGCTACAAGATCTCATAACATTGGCGCCAATTACACTTTCGAAGCTTACCGTCATGACGCAACTGCCGTGACCAACTGACTGACCGACCATGTCCCTATTCATAGTTTCAAATAATATAGTATATCATCGAGAAATTGCTACAGTAATCTAAAAGATTCTTTGAAATAATATATACAGGTATAAAAATCCCAGAAAAACCTTTAACATGAACATTTCTTAAACACTTTAGCGGTTTAAAACGCGAAATATATTAGTTCAACTTTGAAAATTACTTTAACTTCGGCCCCGATGTTTTGAATGCTTAGGATTGTTGCAGCAACCGTTAATGTATTAAATAAATATTTACTACTCGCGTAAACTTCTCCTTTCAGAACCACGTAGCATATTATAATGAAGTTTTGTTTGTTTATTTTGGAGATGGTCGTTGATAATGGTCGAATTTTCCTATTAACAAAATGATTATAATCAGGGACCAGTAATTTCCACACTTAGCATATAATTAATCGTTTCAAGTGGAACTCAAACTAGAATTATTAATGTGTAGATAAGCATCAACACATTGATTTTGTCAATAGCGCCATCTTGTATTTCATGTTTAGTTATTACTTACTTTCATTGTGAAGCTTTCAAGCTTACGAAAGCTATTTCGAAAAGCGCCCTCTTTTAAATTTTAATGAAAGTTTTATTCACTGAACTTCTAAAGCCAGTAAGTAGTTTTAAAATTTACTACGAGATGGCGCTGCAATAAAAAAATAGTTTCTATTAATTAATAGGATTGTTTGCATGATTTACGCTTAAAAGCTTACACAACGAAATAGGAAAAATGCCATGTTTAAAGATTCTGTCAATATTTTTTTATGCTTTAATTATAAAATGTAAATAGAGAAAGGAAATTTACGTAAATAACGTAAGTTCGTAAAAAGGAACCTCGTTGAGTTCCATTTGAAAACAGTACTTAGAGTTCTTATAACTCATGCATGGTAGAGCATAACACATAACTTGTTTGCATTATACAATTTGTATAATGCATAATGCTTTGTAATGTTTTGCTTTCCACGAATGAAAGCCTCCCTGATCTAACAAAAACATACTACTTAGTTAAAATGAACTACTCTGATGTAATAAAAAAAAAATATGTATCTACATGTTATCTAAATATTATAAAGAGATTGATGAGAAGAGAAACAAAAGAGCAGAATCGATTAATTTTCGAGTTCCAATTCAACGTTGTGCCGGTTCAAGTCCCGACGTCGTATTTTTAAAAAAATCTAAATTTACAGAATCTATTGACTAACTTATCTTGTACTGTCTATAGTTTACGCGAGTAGTACACATTGAAATAAAACACTTTAACGGTTTAAAACACGATATATTAGTTAAACTTATTTGGAAATCATTTTTAACTTCGGCCAGACGATTTAAATAAAATTCCGAAATTTCAAATAAGTTTAAATAGTATATCGCGTTTTAAACCGTTAAAGGTGTTTTATTTAAATAACTTATCTTATGACAAATACCTCGCAAACATTAAATCGAGTTTCAATCCTTTTATCGAGACAAGCAAGTCATTCCTGCTACCATGACCGAGTTTCGGAAAATTCTCACAAATTAAAATGAATGTTCCAGTCTACATCATTTTTAGAGTAAAACTATAGGACGTTACATAATGTATTATCAAAACTGAATCACACTGGCCTACATAACTATTACGGAAGCTAGTATTTTGTCTCAGTATTCCGTTCCGTTACTACAATGACGCGTAAGAAAACCGTAGAGGTTTTTACCGAATATGTTAAAATGTTATGTTGTATTTAAAAAAAACCTACTGAGCAAAAATAGAAATATTTCTGGAAATGGAGTGAAAGTTATTCAGTACTTATTTTGTGTATTCTGATTTAATCAAGATTGTTAATTTACTTCAATAACGCTATATAATGAACGATTAACGTTTCTATAAGCACAATACCTTTATGATTGTTAAATTCGTAATAAAACTACCCTAAAAAACTGTATTACGTTTTTGTAATATAGAGGAGGACATATGCATTGGGTTCGCTTAATGTGAGGTGAAATACAGAGACAGCACATGTTGTCGACCTAAGTTAGCTTTGTATATTCGAAATACAAATTTTTAAGTTAACTTTTAGGTTTGTACTATTGAGAACATTAAAAAATAGTTATATCAACACAAAAAAGGACTTCGTTTAAATCGGCTAAAATCAATTCTTGTATCTTATCGGTTCCGTACATTAGCGAAATATTTCCAAGAAAGTAACTGGAACCCTATTACAACAATGCCTCCATTAGCGGATGTCATCGTGCGTGCAAAAAACAAAAGAGGTTCCGAGATAAAATAGCGTTCTGCACCCGAATTGTCATAAAATACCTGCCAGTTGCTAACCAACCCTCTCAAGAAATGGTCGTGCTTATCTTACTCCTTCTACCCTTTGCTTCAGCAGAGCACTCCGGCGCCTATTCCTCGCCGCAGTATGCGAAGAAGATGTACCCGAAAATCTACGACACCAGCGCTTTACTACCAAAAGAAGAAGCTCCTGTACTATTCAAGAGTCCAAATATTGACAGATTTGACAATAGCTTAAATGACACATCCTCTTTTGGACGGGCGTCGTTCCTGGATTCGGCGGGGAGCTTCCTAAGCGGCGCCGGGGGGCAGGTCATGTCTACTCTGGCGAAGGATTTCATCGCGAGGTCCACAGGCAGCAGTCAGGTTGGTTTCGACTGCATTACGCAGGTTCGTATCGCACTGTTGGAATTGCATGCGCATGAGTCATTGAATGTTTGCTCTTGATAAGTGAGTCAGACAATGTATAGATTCAGGAGCTGGTAGTAAATTTAAATTTAGAGGTAATGTTTCAGTGTATTGACAATCATAAGTGTACATATATGCTATGTACACTTATGTAGCGTATGCACAAACTTTTTATAGCTAAATAATGTCTATACTTTACGCGAGTAGTACACATTTAAATAAAGCACTTTAACGGTTTAAAACGTGATATATTACTTAAACTTATTTAAAAGTGATTTTTACCTTCGGTCCGACGTTGCGGATGTTTTGCAGCAGCCGCGGTCACGGGGAGACAGGTCTCCCTTTGACCATAGCGTGACACCGTTAAAGTGTTTTTTTTTTTACATGGATGGCTTGTGATTTTATTTTGTTTGAATAGATAAAAACGTATTCGTCATTACCTAAATCATAACGTTCTTTTTAATTCCGTATATTTCTAGGTACCGCATGGCAATATTTTAAATAATTAAAATTAAACACTTTTAAATTGTTGACACCGCGAAAGATAAATTATATACGAATCGACCCCTATGACAACGACTGCTGCAAATCCGAAACGTCGAACCGTAGTTAAAACAAATTATAAATAAGTTCACTAAATAACAATAATAGCTCAATAAATAAACGTAATAACGAGTCTAGTTGCACTGTTTATTTAAATGTGTACTACTGGCGTACAATGCTTAATTTTTCAAAAATTATATACATGTCGTATTTGTACAATACAACGACTATATATTAAAATAAAATACTTTAATGTAACGGTTTTAATGGTGAAACTTAGTATAGTTATTTTGATTACGAGCTGACTACCATTGTGACCACGGATGCTGAAGAGCCTTTGAAACAACGCGTAGTAATTAAAAAAAGTTTTCAAATTTTGTTTACTTTACAAAAGGTATATCTTAAATTGACAAAATATTTTCAGCTTATTTAAAAATAAATCAAAATTCAAAAAGTAAATAATATTTTAAAATAGTTATTAATATTCATTTGTTTTTCACGTTAGGTGCTCAGCCTAAATCTAACCAACCTAGTGATTCTGATAGTCCTAAAGGCTTTAGTTCTGGCCGCTGGTTTCTTCGGAGCTGGTGCGTGGAAGGGTCACCATTACGGAAGGAGTCTAGATGGTACGTACCAGAGATTCACGTTTTAGAAGCTAGTTTAGAAAGTTGTCGTTTTTGACATAAATACGAAACTTTACGTGATCTCGATATATATTTACATAAAAACATTTTAAAACTTAAAATATTAAAGTACGTAAATGTATAAAAAAGTAGGAAGAACTATTAGTTATGTAGTTAGTAACGCCGTAGTAGTCTCCACCTAAGTATTTATTCTTCGGTTTTTGTATCGAAATATGGTTTCAAGTATTATACATTTTTATTACCTATTCGTTTGTTTGACCTGAAATATTCTAGTTGTTGCAAGGAAAAGTAGGAAATGTCAAGGAAAGTTCGTTGAGTGTTTTCGACGGTTTAAGAAAGCTTGCAAACCCAAGAACTATTCTACGCGGACAAAGGCGCAGGTACAGCTAGTGTTTAAAATTTATCAACATAAGACTAGTGAGCCCACATAGCCTTCCCAGTTCCAACTTATATAACACCGGTAGTAAACATAACAGCCCGTAAAATGACCACAGCGCACAATAATCCGGAAGCTACACGCTCTGCAAATACGCATCTGTCAATAAAGTTACTCAATTTTACACCCTCTGTCTATAAAATAGAGTATAAAATACTCTGCAAGGGCTTAAACCTTTGGCCACGCGTCCGAAGTGACCAGCAGGGTTTTAAGTTAATCCAATATTAATCGATGAGTTTTTCTTGTCCAGTCTTCAGTAATCCTGTTGATGGAGGATTATCTTGCAGATTCTATACGTCTCGTGGCTGTCAAATGATAATGTTATTATTTGAAAACTTTAGTGTTTCACATGTTAGGGCACACGATGGCACTATACAAATTAAAAATCGATTATGGATTGAAAAATAAATTGGACACGGGCAACAGCACGGCTGTGGATGCCGCTTCAAGTCCTGCTAGAAGCGTAGAGAGATACTTGGTCTGGTCTCTGGCATGTAATAAGCAATTGCTAACAGTTTATATTTTTACAAAGATTTGGGCATCTGAAGATATAAAGCCGATTATGTTGCTTTTTCTTCAACCACATAACTGTGACTATTTTGACGGGGTCATTGGTAATGGTAGCAATGTATGGATAATAACCAGCGGTTCGTGGGTTTGAACTCCACCGAGTCACATTTTTCAAATCGATTTGTAAATCTGACTTCGTCTGAAAATCTGAGTACTAAATGGTCGATAGGAATATCGAAATTCACACGGTTTCGGAATTTGGTTTTAGTCAGAATATTGCCGCATTTTTAACGGTCTTAAAAAAGTTTTATTTATCATAATTGATGTCTTTGTTAGTGGATGAGAAAAAGTTAAACAAATTAATACCTACCATATGATTACATTAATTTTATAGTCAGCGATTTGTTCCCAAAGATCGAAAGAATGCTTTTTGTGTGTTCTTACGTCAACATTAGGTACAGTATATATTATTCGAATATACGTGACAAAAATAAAACTTATCTTTCTTTCAGACAACACAAACGCCACATACATAACAGAAGATGAAATATTGCTCTACTTGAGCTATCTCGTTGGTCAACAGAGTCAAAACTACGGTTGTCTGTACCGTCTGTCGTGCCAGAGACCAGACCAAGCATCTCTCTATGCTTCTGGAGCTGAACTCATGCTGCAAGGAACCAAGTTGATAAGAGGGTACGAAAAATGTGAAGCTATGAAAAATATAGTATGTAGGTAAATGGTTAAACGTGTCTTTTTTGTAACTGATGGTGTGAAGGCCTAATGCACGCCTACGTCCGACTATAGTGACGTGGGATTACGTTAAGCACCAGAGGTTCTGGGTTTGAAAACCAGGGAAACGATAGATTGTTTTTGCGGGCATGGGACAGAAGTCTGGCGAACCCGATCGATTTTGTATATCGGGAACGGCTTTTGGCTGTAAAACATCAGATGCGACCGATAGGGAAATGTGGTAAAACGGGGAAAATTATTCATCTTTGAGGGTTTCCATAGCGTCCGCTGCGACAACAGTTCAAGAAACCAAGAAAAGAATGATATCTCTCTAAATGATTTAAAAAACACGTCCAGGACATTAAATTTTTAATCTTTTAATAATAACTCAAAAGAACGACAGAACGCGACGCACCTCGCGGGGGCTACGATTTGAAAAGCTGAGGTTGTTGGAAAAAATTAATGCCTAATATTAACTATTTCACGCGGACGAAGTCGCGGGCACAGCTATATATATTATAACGGGAAATAATAAACCGAGCTCTTAAAGTAAATAGTTTATTGTCTTTTTAAGTAACACATCACAATAACAGATACGAAATATTTCAGGAACGATGTAGACCTGGAGCCATATGAAGGCGTGTCGAAGGGGATCAAGCAGGCCGCGACTCTTGGTCGACAGGGGATGCCGTGTGACCGCTATCAGTGCACTTAGTACTTCACCAGGTTCCATAGAATGACGGCCCTGGAAAAGGAATAAGCAAATTTTCCAGCCACTAATCCAACGATATAAAGGAGACTCTGAATGAGTCAGCCATCAATTGAAAATGAAGCTAATAATTTGTTTATTTTAGACTTTAATAAAAATAAAATAATAATAAAATAATATTTCACATTTTGTTGCACATAATGGCATATTAATTCAAAATCGAAACATGTATTAATTGAAAGAAATCGACGATGACGTGTAGGATACGGTAGATCAATTGGTTAGAGCAACAGCACGGAACGCTGTGGACGCCGGTTCAATTCCTGCCGGTGACGTACATTTCTTCAATTTGTAAACGAAGTACTAACGTATTACTATTTACAATAACAATAATAATAACCAACAATATAAATTATAAAACATTTTATTTTCCTGGAATTTGAACCTTTAGAGCAACGAAATGCTAATAAGAAATAATTAATATAATAATTCAAAGTTAATTATTAGAAAACTACCTATGCTATATGGAGCCAGGGGCTACCACTCTGGGCGTCCTCTCAGATGGATTGTTGAGTCGAGCAGCGCGGTACTCCGCATAAGACACGAAGCCGTCGCCGTCCGTGTCATCAGTCTCCAGCGTTTTATCTACTATTGCTAAAAGAACACTAGATATAATAAAATAAAAAATTACTTATACATAAAACTCATCTAAGGGAAGTGTACGAATAAACATTTATTCTAAAATAAATGTATTAGCTAATTACAATTTTTGAAAATGTATCTACTCCAGAAAATTTGCAAGGATAAAGATCATTCTCATATGTGAATAACTGACATACTTTTTAATAGGTAGAACAAGAAAAAATCAGTGTTTGTAGCACTAAAAAGTTTCATAAAGTATGTATATTTCAAAATTTAGTTATTTATTAAAGATCAATTTAATTAAAGTCGTAATTCTATCGTCACTACAATATATTTTCGTGCACTGTCTAAGTAGGTAAATACGGGAATGCACTAGAACCGAAAATTCGTAACATGTGTCGGACACCGAAATGCCAGGCGACGTGAGACCAGATATAAATAAAAAAGCATATACTTTACAGTTGTAGTCCTAAACAGACTGTAGTTTATGCGAGTAGTACACATTTAAATAAAACACTTGAACGGTTTTAAACGCGATATATATGTTAAATTGGGAGGGGGGGTTCTTTAATTAATGTTTTCACGTTCTAAACCATAAAAGTGATTTATTTTTATATAATACATATAACAACACATTTAGGAAATTAAAAAAGTAATTTTCAACTTTTTGTCAAAAAAATTAAAACTTACCAATATACGCATCTAAATTATTCGCTTCGGGTTCAATTGGCGAATCCAAGTCAGTATGAGATTCGTGTTCTAATGTGTGGTACACAGCCTGAAAGGATAAGCAAAAATTTAAATAACACACCGGTATCACAGAATATTACAAATCGCTATTCGTTGTAACTCAACAGAAGTAGTTCGCTTGTAACTCAAAATTTACACATTATTAATATAGATAGCGGCAGCACGAATCCCTTTCTAATGGTAGCAATAAATATATGATCATTATCAATTTATAATTTTACCGAACAATATTGGATTTCTGGAAACCTGGATATTAAATTAGGTAGGAATATCGAAATTTCTAATTATATCCGAATATCTAAACCCTAAATAGTTCAACAGCACATCTTGTTGAGATGTAATATGGCTGGGTTATTTCACCTGCCACGAAGTGGACCTCATGCTTGTCTGCCCTCCTCTATCGTAAAAAAACCCCAGCTATGTCTTCGTATGCTTTCAATCTAAACTAGATAACCTTTAACATTTCCAAACCATCCAGCATTGAGTTTCTGTCGAAGTCATGAGCTGTGAAGTAGTGGAATTCCAATTCTTCTGGGCTCATATTGGCCAAGATTTCTGGGGTTAACTCCCTAACATCTTCCTCTATGTGTCTAAAAATACAAAACAGAAGTTATGAAAGAGAATACCAAGAGTAAATTGAGAAGGACGTGACTTGTATAACTTTCGTGATGTAAAACACAGATTACAGATGTAAGTATTAGTATGTAAGTCTATATAAAGTATAATGTAAAACCTCCAAGTCAGACCAACAGCACGACACGCTGTGGATTTGAATAAATTTCAAAATTTAATTTAAAATCGAGTACTAAATAAATATAGTGCCATCAAGTGAAAAATAGTTCAAAGGTTAGACGTACTTAGTATCGTGTAGCAATTTGGATTCTTGTGTTAACTTTTCAGTCCCTCTCGGTGTGTAGTGGCTGTGGGTTTGCGCCACGCCGTGGCCAGATGGATGGTGGGGACCCCTTCGCATGCTGGACGACATGCCGCTGAAGAATAATATGGTGAGCGCTGAAATAAAATTGACATCACTTACCTAAAAATCTATCGTGTACATGATAGATACTTAGGTACCCAAAATAAAGCTGTCAGTGGTATAAATTTAAGTCTACATTTTACGTTAATAGATTGAGATAAATAAAACGCTTGTAATGGTTTTACACTCGGCATATTTTCGTTCAGTTTTGACAACAGCTGCTGTGTATGTTAACGAATATATTTCTCGCTTTCAACGGTTAAAAGTGTGTTATTGAAAATTATTTAAAATTTCGTTAATGATTACAAAATTAATTACTTACATAATTATTAAATCACCTAATGAATAAAACTAATTAACAATTAAGCTTCTATTAAGAGAATTTGTTTTATACTCTATTGATAATAGGTCTATTATTAAAAAAATACTTAAATAACTGCGAAACATTAAAACACGTGTTTCATGAATATTGTGATTGCTCTACGAATATTTGTTTAAATTTTGTATAGTGGTTTTTAATATATGATTGATAAGTGACAAAAAAATAAATAGCTTGCTACAAATAACACAGAGGTTATTTCCGTGTCCAACCCTACAAAAAATATTTAGTTTTGCTATACCTCTCCAATCTTTCTTAAAAAATGATATCTTGACATTAATTTTATAAAATTTTCACTTATAATTCATATGAACATCGACAAATTGGCGCTGAATACGAGAAAAGATTGACAGTACCATACCTGTCTATAATTTGGGCATTGTACGAGGGTGGGCAGCTGGGCCCACGCCCCCAGGGGTCTATCAGCGGGACATAGACCCCACAGAGATGCAATATTCACACCTCATTTCACAACTACCCCGTCTATAAGTCTCTTAATTGGAATCGGTTAAGAATGTGTTTAGATGTGTTTATGTAATAACTTTATTACTTCTCTCATTTCTATGGCTTTCTTATTCACACGGATTCTAGATGGGAGCTTTAAGCTCTTAGGGAGAACTACTCAATTATTTTCCAAATATACAATAGAAATAATTTACTCATCCTATCATCGTTCTATCATAAATCCATTATTACATCTAATGGGAGTGTTACATTAGTAACAATTTGACTTGACTTATATTAGTATGTGGTAGTCATTTCAAATAAAAAAATACGTCCGTCATTAATAATATGTTTTAGTGTGTGTCTTGCACTAATGTTTTATATATATAATTGTAAGTAAGTAATTTATTATTAGTTTGCGCAATAGAGTGTTTTAATATTATTATGTAAAGTATAACTAATAACGTTCCGTGAAAACTGCAACTCGAACGATTCCAACCTAGCTACTTTAAACGCGATGTAATACGTTACGTAAGATGACACTAGTTATCGAAAAACAAAAACAGGTGTTAATCACGCACCCTTTCCAAAAAATCTATTACCATGCACTTTCAATACATCGTATGAATAATTTATATTTGCGACCCTCTCGATAAAAGTGCACAGTTGTTCCTTCGGAAAGACGAGCCGGCCTTTAATCGGACCCCACTTCATAGTGTACGAAATGAAGGCATAATGGGGTACAAATTATACGGTCGGTGACAAGTGCACTGTCCGTATGTCGGGGTGTCCGTCAGAAGTGGTGTGCCGAAGAGATACGGCTGCTAAGGATGTCGTTCTCCATCAAAAGGGCGACGCTATGCGTAAAAAAAATCATAAGATGTATTGACACCATTAAACTCATTCGACCATTTTTCTCCAATTCTACATGGCTGTTTTTTTACACAAAGTGTATCTTCACTGTAAAAACAGCTTTTGAATGTTTTATCACACGTGGGAAGACAAGGAACTTCTACAAAGTACACGAAACGGCTTAGTTAAAATAAGTTAACTAAAATATTTTCGCCTTGTAAACGGGTAAATATTGTCAACTACTATTTATCTCCGATTAACCAATTTAGTTAATTAGTATATTATATTAGGCTCATTTTTATTAATAAGCTCGTTGACTTATAATAGTAATAATTTACTGTGTCATGCATACCTCTTTTGTTACTAAGTTTTCATTTCTACCGCGGTTGCTTGGAGAGTTACAGCTATTTAGCTATAAAGCCGCTGTTTGTCCTTTATTTCCAACAATTTTATATTTTGTGTTATTTTTGTGAAATAATAATAATATTTGTAAATGAATATTGTTTTTTTTATTTAATGATACAATTATATTAATGAACCTTAGTTGAGAACTTTCTTATATTAATTTATCATCTGTGAATATTTTTGCTCAAAAACTATTAGCAAATAGGCCCTCTAAACTTGTCGACCGTGTGTCCCTTGCAGAACTAGGGCTGCCCAAAACATTATCGCCTCACGCAGCCCTAATCCTATGCGATTATTATAGATCCGACCACGGTTCGAAGACTCCTTTGTGCCCTATCTTTGGTTACATTTGTTATAAAGTGATTATACTTTCATTAACCGTACCTCAATAAAAATAATTATTTCACGAAAAAAAAAACAAACAATAGTATGACAATCAATACAATAAAAATAATTAAATATAATAATATAAATACTTCGTCGATTTTTACGTAAACATGAATAATTTTTAATTAGATTTATTGCATGTTATGTAAGATTTGTTTGCTACTCTTACAAAGCTGTAAAATATTACTATGATACCATTTATCGTCAAAGACTTCTCTTATCACTCTTTTAGCCCAACATAGCTATGAGAAAACTGAAAAAGCTAAGTGAAAGTGCACACAAATTATAATATCATTGACTACAACAGAATATTAGACTAAAATATCGAAAGAACAATGGCGTTTCTAGGCAGGAATTAGTAGAGCATTTTGTAGAAACAAGACGTACCTTCAATCCACATTTTCTCACATAACACAATACTTAATATGAACCAAAGCAAATCCAAAAATTATTCACATTATTGTTTGTTTTCAAAATGAAGCTTCACAGGTCAATCACTTCTACAAATGGCGGTGTGCGGACTGCGCAGATGTCAAAACTCAAAATTAAAAATAAGGTTTGATGCTTGGTTTTAAGATCTACTTTTCGATGACATACCTTTGACGTATTTCACGCATGTCTTTTGCGGACGAAAATAATGCGCAGACATTCGCCCAAGAAAGCTTTAAGAAAATGTTACTAGATGTCGCTAGTTTGGAGAATTTTTTGTATTTTAAGTACAAAGTTGAACAAAATAAAAACACCGTTTAAGACCCAAGTATTTTTATATTATAATAAAGTAATTATTTTAGTTATTCAGTAAAAAAAGACATGTCTCGTAATACGTTTAAAATGCAGTACGTGTTAAGAATTAATATTGTAATTCAAAAGAATATGTTTTTATATTTTTTGACAATTATTAACAGAATTAAAATATCTTTACAACATCTCATTTTCTTCCAACACCGCTGAAACAGATCTTTATTCCCTTAAATGTAGGCACAGTGAATTATCGCAAACGTTTACACCAATTTCATCTTACATCCGCGAAAATCGTATACAGAATTGGTCTTACATACTCTCTTGTTAAGTGCAAAAATTGCTTGAACCTAAAACAATTTCAGCCATTTTCAGAGTGAATTGTTTATGTTTATCTGTTAAAAAGAGACGGTTGTATGTACGTGTGAGTACCGTATGATCAATACATTGGGGGATGCGTTGTATGAAGGCTTCCCTAATGGTCGTTTTCTTACATTTGCATGCTAATTGATTTCACCACTCAGAACCTTCCTTTTGTCTTACATGTGACGTAAATTGCAACAAATTAAGTCCCGTCGGAGCCTGTTTAAGTTTGAATGAAGCTCACCGTTTTAGTTGTTCATATAAATGCCATTTAAACCCTCTTAATGTTAAACTTAACAGCAATTCTTAGTAAGCCCATGTTAATAATTAATTACTACCAAAAAAGCTATTTTTTGTTATTGGACTAACTTTAGTCCGTGTTAGTCCTAAATATCGTGGTACTATTGAGAAATAAGTCCCAAACGAGAACGGGTAATTGTCAATTGCATTAGAAACATGAATTTCGACGTATCATAAGCAGTTCGAATCAGAGATTTGCGAGGGTGGTTGGGCGGCGTTGCTAGGCAACGGGCGCTGGGGCGGGCGCCTCGGATCACTTTTAAACTTTCATGTCGGAAAGTTTTTAAGGTTTGCTCGTGGCACTCAGGCTCTGTTCCTTTTTGTTTTACATCTTTATGCTTTAAACGTGAATACCCGTATTTTTCTGTCTTCAAAACATTAGTACTATTTATTTTGCTCGCGTAAGAAGATAATGTGTTGCACTACATACAGTTATGATATGTAACTTATACGTTTTATAATATTACAGTTAAACCTTCCCCCGTGGGGCATTTAGCGAAGAAATTCTGTGTCCTTTTCATTGGTCAATTTTATCTACAAGTACTTTACCAGACTTCTGTGCATTACCGAAGTATTACGTATATCGATCAAAGCAATGCTAGGCAACGTTTAAGCTTTTAGCTACAGAGGTTGTTATGTAACATATATACGTTAATTTTATTACTAATTATTTCATTTCTAAACCAACGCAGACCGCTCCTTTGCGGGCGTTCTGCAATATATATGTTAACTTTTATTATCTGTTTCTTGTTTAATAATAGATACATAATAAAGTATTTTAATAGCCGTGAAATCATTTAGGTTACTTGTTTGTTAATACTGTACAGATCATACATTACAAACTAAATAGATTCAAAAAAATATTAATATCACGATAGTATTTGAACCTTATACGTGATGCTGGTACAACCAATTGATACAATCATTTCTAGTATAATCTATGGGCGGTAGCAGTAACTATTTTTTTTAAATTAGGTCTCCGATATAAAGTGAGTCAATACACGCGACAACAAGGAGGTTTGCATTTGAATTTGTCATAATAGCGAATAATTATTATCTAGTAACTACTTTATCCGAATGCAAAGTTTATATAAGGCTGCCAGAGGCAGAGTGGCCTAATAACCAAAGACATGAATTTCAATAAAGAGGAAAATAAAAATGCGCATTTATTGAAAATGAATTTGTACTATTATTTGTGTGAGAATTACGTTAACGATTTTCGGTCACTGTGCTCTTGTAGATTAACATTTTTAGACTATAAAATAAGTCAAGTCATAAAACTGCAGTTAGGCTACTTTGCCTCTAGCCTCATATCTTCAACTTGCAACTTGTTTTCACTGTAGTACAATTCCTAATACGTCGTTTACAACACATGTGAGCCTCACAAACTTATCTCATTAAACATTTAGCAATACCAGCTTTGAATTTCGAAGGCTCTCAGATGATTTCGGGACTCGTATGAAACTTCCCCATCGTTGAGAGTGTTCCGTACAAAATTGATGAGCTGAAGAAACCGCGCTTCAAGCCCGGAGCCCGATGTTGCTTTTAGCCTCCTAATTGCCGAGCTTTTAAGACCGCGTATTCGTTTGACGTCTACAGTAAACTTGGAAAGGTATACCTTCACTTTTGCTTTTTACAAATGGGAGAAATCTTTTTAGATGATACTTGAAAGCTTATATTAGTAGCCATATAATATCGATGGGCACGTTGGCGTAATGTAGTGCAAATAATCAACGGGTCCCGGATTCGATCCCCTCGGGTCAAAAATTTTTTCTAATCAATTTATAAATTTTTCTGTAACATTTTACTGGAAATCTGGTTGTTAAATACGCATATAATAAATAGTAGAAATATTTAAATTCCGTCCGAGTCACCATGGTCCACAGGCAAAAAAGCCATAAAGCCACAGATGTAAAGCCGTAAAGGTGAATTGCGTTTCAATTTCAGTCAGTGGATTTCCGAATTAATCCAGATTTTCAGACGAAGTCAAACATATACATTCAGACATGGGGAAGCCATAGATTGCTAACATTACACTAATGAGCCCGTCACAAGTCCAATCTGAGGTTTAAACAAAACACGTTAACGGTTTAAAACGCGATATATGTTAGTTAAACTTGTTTTTAAAATTATTTTCAAACAAATACTCGCGTAAACTACAGACGGTATTTCACTCTTAGGATGTTTTTCTTACATTTGTTAGTTCATATATAAATTTTCATATCGATTAAAAATGCAAGTAGTAGATAATGAAATAAAATGATATAATTTATAGAATATATATAGACTAAAATTCGCTGAAAAAGGGGGACCAATTAAAATGTTTCTATAATAGCTCATCAGATTAAAAAGACCACTTAACGGTATACTTAATAATATAAAACGCCTATAGATAATAAATTATTCCGTTTCATTTACAAGCTCAGATACAGTTCTCCATTTTCATTAAAAGTTTACAACTTTTCGCATCGACGCTAAACTAATTTTTTGTTTGCCTTCCGACACGTGTCAGATAAAAAAAAAGTTGAACGTTCTAATTTCAAATTGTACGGGGCGGGGACTAGTGCGCGCGCGTAATTAGGCGGCAAATTTTGACAGCGGGGCAACTGCAAATTTTTCTGTCAAAATATTTTCGACAAACAATTGACATTCTGCTCTGCGCGCACGACGGCCGCGCCCACACCTCTCTAACAAAACAAAACCACAATTAGCGTAATAGTTACATGTAAATTGTGATTTAAATTCACAATAGCGTTTTACGAGAGCAGTCCCCTCATTTCGCAGAGCGTTTAGACATTCGTTATATCCATGCAAATTATTAATTGGCTCTCTCGAATTAACCTCTTTAGCAAATCAGGAATGTCATGTAAATATTTGATAGCGGAAAATGAGTGGAAAGGGAAGAATTATAAAATTATCTCTCAAACGATTCGGAGCACCGAAAAGGGAATGCTTTTAAGAGCTTTTAAAGGTGTGCTTCATCTCTTTCACACCGATCAAGTTTTGGGACAAACAGAGCTTGGGACGCCATTTCTATACCGCCGGTGGCCGATTTTTTGACCTCGCTTACGTGGGGACTTAAAAGGTTTTTAAATCCTTTTCGTTTTTCTAACATAACATATCCAGTTACGTTTTACGGGGAGAAAACAAAAATTTTATAGCTACATAATATTATTTATTCATTTATTAAATCTAATCTTTAGCCTAAATATATGAGAGTAACTAATATTACCGCCAATGTCTGTCAATGATTTAACAAGCTATGTATGGCAAGTATGGTCTTAGGTTCAAAAGCCGGCAAACGAAAATGGTTTCGTTCAGACAGGACAATTGGAAATGGAATTAGGAGGAAGCAATGGATGAAATCGATCAGTGAAACAAGACACAGATATTTTGGCCTCATATTTTCAAAAAGGGATTTTCATATAGAACAATTAATATTTGTAAGTATGTAGTATCTTTCATTCTTCAAAAAAATCTATTTTTAAATAAATCTATCAATAAGTACCTTCTATTATTTATCTAGTAATACATCATATAAAAAAAAAAAAAAATTTAAATACGTACATAAAAGACTATATTAGGGGTTGTCCATTAATCACGTGATCTTTTTTTAGCATTTTTTAACCCCTCCTCCCCCATGGGTGATACGTAGTGAGGTTTAAGACCAATGTACCTCTCGCGAAATGTAATATCAACCTAAACACTTGCGCATTACGCTGAGGTGAATTAATATTTCTAATTTCTATTTATTTATCTGTTGGTCGATTGTCAGTGTACATACTAATGACGTCGGGAACTTGAGAATTTCAGCGCCATAATCGCTCTGAGAATAAATGCGAAGGATATAACAACAAATATAATGAAAGGGTATTTCAAAGAAGCCGGTTCGGTCGGATGGATAACGGAACGCCTGTAGCTATTAAAAACTTATTAAACCTCATCTCGACCAATTACGCCCTAGTTCCAGGCATCCCTTCCTCACGGGAAAGTTAAATGTAATCATACAAAATTCTCATCAACGGAATTACGGATCTCATTTGTCATTTTATATTCATTTTGCGATGTCATTTCAGAAAATCACATATTGACGGGCCCGTTTAATAGTAATGTATGGTTGATAATCGACGGTTCGTGTATTATATCTTCACCGTTATTAACTTATCTCTAATCATTATAATTTTTCTTTAATATGTTGGACCGTGTCTAGAAAGAGCCGTGAAGTTCTATCGCGTTTTAGTTTCAGTCTGTGGATTTACCCATAAGCCAAAATAGGTCCACAACGGTTTACAAATTAATAGACTAGGTAGATCTCACGTTATACGGATTCACAATATGACTTGAACTTTATGATAGAGGAGAACTCATCTTATATTGAATCACAATTATAAATAATATTTTTTGATAATAAATTAATTATTGCAAATGCAATTGATACAAAATACATTAAAAAAAAATTATAACTGTGCAAAATCAATCGATGATTATTTTTAAGTTAAACGCTTTAATTGTTTAAAACGCGATATACACAGTGTCCCCGTGACCACGGCTGCCGCAAAGCATCCGAAACGTCGGGCCGAAGTTAAAAATCATTTTCAAATAAATACTGTCAATGGTTTACGCGAGTAGTACACATTAAAATAAAACACTTTAACGGTTTAAAACGCGATATATTAGTTAAACTTATTTGAAAATGATTTTTAACTTCGGCCCGACGTTCCGGATGCTTTGCAGCAGCCGTGGTCACGGGTCTCCCCGTGACCACCCGTCAAATAAGTTTAACTAATATATCGCGTTTTAAACTGTTAAAGTGTTTTATTTAAATGTGTACTACTCGCGTAAACTATAGACAGTATTCGATGACTATGTCTTTGAATTGCGCTAAACGTTATATAGGCCCAGGATTTGACGCAGGATCCGAAGCTTCCTCCGCTAGCATTCTTGCTTGTAGTTACGCATTATTTAAAAAAAACACAATCAGGAAGATAAGAACCGATTTAAAATTACTATAACGAACATTCAAATTAGACTTTAATCGTTTAAAAACGCGGAATATATCTATTTGTTAACTTAATTTAACTACGTATTTCGAATGTTTTGCTAGTTCCGTGGTCACGGGAGGACTCTGCAGCATCAAAAACGTCGGTACGTTAGTCAACAATATTGCGTCTTAAAGCATACAAAGTGTTTTATTAAAATAATTTCTACTCGCGTAAATACACATACTGTATATGATATTTTCTACAGAAATGCTAAAGTTCGGACTTGCTATATCTTTAAATATCGATTTAAAGATATAGCAAGTCCGAACTTCGAACGAGCAACGTCACCGGATGCGGGCGTCCACAGGAAACAGCGACGACGTTTCTGCGCCTACCTTCATTTACATCTGCGTTTATGTAATTTTTAAATTAGAAAAAATATTAACATAACCGTCTTAAAATAAAAAAGTAATATAATAATTCGTTCTCAAAGATAAATAATCAAATATATTACCATTTTTAATGATAAAATATTTGATTTTTTAAAATATTTGTTTTAATTTTTTTATATCAACGCAATATTAAGTTTTATGATTAAGTAAGGTGAACCTTACAATGGTAGTGTCCCAACTGTGGCTCTAAATAAAGTCTTGAGATCTCAAGCCAAGAAATACTTTAAAATTCGTTTTTAAAACAGAAGTATAAAATATAAGTTATGTTGGAGCTATCAGAACAAAATAACTTGATTTAAAACGTCCACCATTTCCTTTTAATTTTAAATTCGTTGTTCCGTTATTCATTTTTTTTTGTATTATCATATTTAATAAAACACTAAGCGATTTCAAATATGACTATCTAATACATAGTTAAAATACTTTTAACAAGGACCCCAAGTTCTTGGACGAGTGCGTTGCAGTGCAGTGATGTGTAGAAACGATTATATTTCGTGTTTTAAACTGTTAAACGTTTTTTATATAAACGAGTCCTGCTGTCGTTAACTATATATAATGCTATTTTTTAAATAGAATGTAAGGCTTTTGTAAATAATAAACACTTTAGGCTCAACGAAAAATGTATTAATTTCAAATTGGAACAGTTCTATTTACACCGTCTTTAACTTCCAGCTTCTAGGTATAAATCAGCTTATATCCAAACACCAAATAGCGGCCACGTGTCTCCAATAACAGATGAAAGACGTATAATTTGCAGAGCGGCGGTTATTACGCTCGCAAAGCATGGGCGGGCTGGGGCGGATCGCGCACATGTCCAAACAAATGTTGCAAATTTGTTGATTTTCATCGATATTTCTCATTCAGTCGAGTAATGAGGAGTATACATTGAGAGAGAAATTTAATAATAATATTAAAACACTTTATTGCACAAACAAAGAGAAATACGAGGATTTCTTTTATTTTAGAGGATGACATGCGTAGGATTCATTTGATGGTAGGAGAAACACCCGTAATATTTTTTATTCTTTTTAAATAAAATTATTATTTTTAATATCTAACGAGTTGCACTGTCCAGCTGTTTTGGCTTTGGATATTCGGAAATCCACAGACTGAAACCTTAACATGATTAACGTTCACAGCATCATCTGTCGACGGTGGTTAGTGACTCGGACGGAATTTCGATATTCCAACCGCCAATTTATTATTTAGATTTCCCGACGAAGTCTAACATGTTTTAGAAAAATTATAAATTGATTAGACAAATGTTGGACCCGGTGGGGATCGAAGTCACAACCCGTTTATTCAAGCCGTACATTGCTCTCATTACACCAACGAGTCCGTCATACTGTTAAAATTACTATATTTTATACATATACATAAAAAGTCAGGGCAAAGGCGGCCTATTGCCTATGGAAATTCCTTCCAGGCAATCTTTGTTCACAGCTGATAGAAACAGTAAAACAATTAAAGAGTAAAAGTCAACAAAATAGAAGAACGCATACATTTAAATAAAACACTTTAACGGTTTAAAATGCGAACTTATTTGGAAACTCATTTCCAAATAAGTTTAACTAATATATCGCGTTTTAAACCGTTAAAGTGTTTTGTGTACTACTCGCGTAAACTATAGACAGTATTTAGAACGCATACAATTAATTATGACTTACAACAAAATATACTAACACAAAAAAGGTATACACAGGATACAGAGGATTTAAGACCCAACACATCTTATTGTTAGCACGGTTTAAAGTTTATCGCCATTAGTTTAGTAATGATAACCGATCGACTTAACAAGAAGGCGATATCATGTTGTACTTCTATCTTCAGGTTGATACTAGAATTCTATTTATTTTTTCTAAAAACCGTAAAAACATTTTCTACTAGACCAATTAGGTTCTTCATTAAAAATTCAGTCGAAGTAAATATACTATATAATAATTAGTTGAACACAATATTTTTACTTAATATATTTACTAGAACTTGAACACGTCATAATGTGGTATTACTCTGGTACCATACATCCATCAAGTATGCATCATTTAATTATTTTACTAAAACATATACATGCGTAAGAACCTCACAGATTTTATACTTTCATACTTGATAACACAGGCCCTGTGGCGCAACGGATAACGCGTCTGACTACGGATCAGAAGATTCCAGGTTCGATTCCTGGCAGGGTCGAGCCTTTTTTATTAGACTGCTTATTTTAATTCTAGGATCTGGTAACACATCTCAACATTTTTTAGGATGATATATTTCGTATTTGTTTGAATTATACACGTAACGATTTTTTTACCTATATTAACCATATTGTTGTTAGCCATATAATGAGGCGTAAAGGAACTAATTAAAAAGTTCGTTGAATTCCTATACAAAAACACACAAATTACACACATACACTCACACAATACAACATTGTTTCATTCGGGCACCTCACAAAAAAAATCCATCTACTAACTTACTTATATTTACTATTTTTATTTAAAACTTCATGTTCTATTCATCTCGTATCGTAGTTAAATTTAAAATATCATAATAAAATAACAATGAATTTTGTTATGTTTTGACAGTTCCAGATATAATTATAAAATGTTATAATATGAAATTTATATACGAATTAAGCTACTATACTTACATTAATTGTAATTACATTAATACGCAACGCCGCGTGCGCAAGTACCTATGATTCACATTGACCGATTATATTTTTAAATTTCACATGGACAGTATTTTTATTGAAACATTTGCGTATGGAATTCGATATGTATAATGATATTCATAAATTAATGGGGCTGACAGATCATACTATTAAACCACTTGTTCAAAATGAGCTGGTACCTTTTATCTTAAATCTCAGTAGGGTTCCTTTATTCAAATGTGGTCAAAGATTTGAAGTAGAGATAATATTGGTGAATAAAAATCGACTAAAAGTATTTTTTTAATAGAGGGTATCCCCCTCTATTAGACAGGCAAATTTTTGGATACGGACGATAAATTGTTTTTAAATTTTTTTGCAGTACCTACATTTAGACTATTTATATGTTAAAAAATCGATGACATGGTCAGGCCTTGAACTCACCGCGTTCTTTACCGTCGCCTACTAATTGAGTTACCGTGTCCAATTTTTCAAATTAATTATAGGAATAAATATTTTTTATTTAAAATACAATATAAGAAAGAAAAAATAATAACTTAATATAAGGTATCTTATCACGACAAAGACGTCAAGTGGCGTTTTAAGATTAACCGTGAAATGAACAAAGCATACTCCACTCTCATCATCGTAGCTACATAAAATTCTAAAAATATCACAGAAATAAATATTCATGCCGTCACATGTCTTCCATTTCAGCGGATTTACCTCAAGAAGTTCATACGTGATTTAGTATTTTGTAGAACAAAACATGGTACAATGCATAAACTTTAAACGCAAGAACGACGAGAAACCATGGGGACAATAAAACAAAGAGGAACGCTCGTAGCCCGAAGCGGTGAGACGCACCCCCGTGTCGTGCGAATTCGGACCAATCAGACAACGGTATGGGCAGTCACGCTCCGCCCACCGCCGCCCCTGTTTCTACCCTGGCTAAGCCTCGAGGACGAAAGGGACGCAGCATCCCCTCGCACCGTCCACATCGATCATGACCACCGTTTCGCTCTATCCCGAGGGCGTCTCCGTGACGTCCTCTCGCGCAGTCGCGAACAATTAGTGCGCGGGGTGGTCCGTCCGTGCACCACGTCACTATAATGTGGTTAGTCAGTGAACGTCGGGGCCGAGCCGACGGCGACGGCACGGAGCACGACGTCCGAAGCGCGGGAGAGCGCTGCACGATCAGCCAGCGGGCCGGCCACAGCACGGTGGAGTTCAAGAGCGCGGCGTGCGCGGGGGCCTCCGAGACCCCCGCGCCGCCTCTCACCGCACTGCCGGACCCCCAGCAGTTCAACATTTTCCCGGCCTTCTTCAGCCGCCAGCTCAACTTCAATAACCCGGGCAGCCAAGGTGCGAAGATCATGGAGGAGCTGCGACCGAATTTAGTGGGGGGTCTTCTGGGTGTCCCAGGTTTGCTGGACGAGCATCAGCACGATGCTAAGTTCCTGCCTTCTGGAGCCGAGAGCAAATACACGCCGGATAAAGGGAGGAAGTGCAGCAACGCTTCTAGTTCATCGGCTGAAGAGTTTGGCGGATTGTATGGTGGGGAGCATGCTGCTACACCGCCAGCGCCACCTATCAGCCGGTCTCTGCAGGACCACACAGGTACTGTCTATACAAGTAAGGTTATAATTCACCTTATGTTATATTCAACTTAAAGCAGATATATCTTATTAGATCTATGGCGTAATTGTATCTCTTCTCACACGAGGTCATTATTTATTTATTTACTAAACTAAAATACATGAAGATTCGTATCTTCATGTATTTTAGTAAAGATCTTATATTTTCCTAACATTATACTTTACTAACATTTGAAACATGAAACACATTGATTAAATACTGTCTATAGTTTACGCGAGTATTACACATTTAAATAAAACACTTTAACGGTTTAAAACGCGATATATTAGTTAGATAACTAATAGAGTACCTTAAAGAGTTTTTTATTATTCATTGGCTCTCTCAGGCTCCAGTATCTTTTCCATCCGTTTGTAATTCTTTTGTTTATTTCTTGTAGCATAGGTTCTTCTCGAGTTATAAGTTGACCCAAATAAATGTATCCTTCTCTGTACTTGATTTCTACTTCTTTTATTTTTATTTTATCTTGTACTCCATTGGTCATCAGTCTCGTTTAATATCTATGTATACACCCAGCATAAAAAAATACTCACGCCACGGACTTGAATTGAATAAAAAATATTTACACAATAGGTTTTTTTTATATTATATTCTAAAACAGATATATCCAACTTTAAATTCTATGAAAAAGCATTGCTAGTATAAGTACAGGACATCGCAGATTAATATCGAACAGAGACTAGTAAATATGAAAAACGAATATTCATATATGGTTTCATTTTAGTCAAATTGGTATGAAAAACAAAACTATGAATATAATATTTCGCCTATATATATTATTCACAAGACATGAGAAATAAAAGTATTTCAGCGAGTTACGTGCGATATCTTTACCCTAGTTGTTAGTCACATATACAAAATTTGTGAAAATATCAAAATAAATAAAGAACATCATACCGTGCTCCATGTTGTCTGTAAAGTGTAATGTAAAGATACTGTCTGTAATTAACGCGAGTACTACACATTTGAATAAAACATTTTGACAGTTTAAAACGCGATATATATCAGTTAAACTTATATACTAATACAAAAAAATCTATTTATACATAGAACGACCTCCAAAGCCCCAAGCAGGTCACCACTAACAATTTCGGACACGTATCTATCGGAATATGAACGTATTACAATCCCAATTAGAGTAATATTGCAAACAATCGGCCGTAGGCTGACGTCATGAATGCGAAATGTCGCTAACGACCGCCCTCGGCTGAAAGCTGAATTTTCAGGCGAAATGCCGGAGCTGCGCTGAATATCATTAGGGCTGTGTGCGTGAGTGTTCACGTCTATATTTAGGTGTTGGTCACGTCACCAAGCACTTCATTTTTTTAATGATTACAGACGAGCATAGGCTTCACTCGATGGTAGCATGAATCTAAACAAGAAGAGCTGTTGACCTGAATTGACTTTGGATATTCGGAAATCCACAGACTGAAACTACGCGATTGAGCCTTTTCATCTGTAGACAGTGATTCGTGACCCAAACAAGATTTTGATATTCCTACCACCCATAAACTAATAAACATATAATTGTTGTTAACTTTGTATCTGAAAGGCATTATTACATAAGAGGTAAAAATATTAAGAAGGGAAATAAGTATACTTATCAACTTCACCCAGACTAATATTTTATTGTGTTACAGAACACTAAAATTGTATACCTACTACCTGTTCTGTAATGATGGAAAGTTATATAATAACTAGCTGTGCCAGCGACTTCATCCGCATAGAATAATTATTTTGGGCGTCAAAATTTATTTTTAAAAACTTCCTCTACATCTTTATAAATACTAACTGTTACCCAATGGACATTTGTATTACGTCGTACGCGTACGGTCGTTTCAGTCTTTCCTGCAAGATAGACATAGAGCGTCGCGGACTTTTTCTTAGATAATTGAAATAGGAATGATCCTTCCCTACACATTGTTTTGGTTTTTTGAACCATTTTCACAGTGTATGCAACGGAAACCCAGCAAGAGGAATAATTGTTCAACTTTTTGTCACATTTTCCGCTGTTTTTTCGCTCCTATAAGTCACCCTGTTTTATAGTCTATGGCCTTCCTCGATAAATGCTCTAACCAACATAAAAATAATTTTTCAATTCAAACCCGTAGTTCCTGAGATCAGCGCGTTCAAACAACCAAACTCTTCAGCTTTATATATTAGTATAGATAAACGTATTTATTTAGCATTAATTTAGTACAATGCAAGAAAAGAATTAATGTAATTACAATAAGATAATTAATATAAAAAGGTCAAAGTTTAATTTAAAGAAAAGAGATGTCAGAAGGGTCTTGCATCAGCGTGAGCTGTAGCACAGTTATGCTTTTCAACAAACCGCTCAGCAACTCTCTAATGTTTTAATTATAATAATAAGCCTTTTTATTTCTTGTTTTACATTATCTCTTGGTGCTATATTACATTAAACGACTACTGTTATACATAACATATTGATAGAGAGGTCTAGAGTTCAATGAAGCTAAAAAATAAAATCATTAAATTACAAATACTTTATTATCACCTTTTTATTTACATTGATTGAAGATTGACGTCGTTACAAACATCTGTTGAGTGGTTTACCTACGATTCAACATTACTGACCTCACTTATGGTTTCTTTATGTAAAAACGTTTTTGGAACCGTTCAATTCAGTTACGATTTCGACGTCAAGATATTTTGAATTTTGATTAATTATTTAAATCCTAAATATAGTATACAGTTTCATTGTGTTTAACAATTTTGTCATCTGGTAAAACCGGTGTAACTTGAAAGAAGAATTTTCTCTTCGTCAGTCGTTTTAGCGCAATTTTTTTATTATTAGTTGATTGAGTATTGTCATTGCTATCCGTGTCTTGTCCGCCTATGTTTTCTTCTGGTACATTAGTCATTAAATTTCCTGGTGGCGGAGATACGACCGGTGGGTTAGTGACAGCTGAGTTTAAATTTGTTTCTGGTAGTCTCGTTAGTGGTATATTGATGTGAGGCTTTACTTTTGGCAACTGACTAAATACAGGATTGCTAAAATCATTTGGATTATTCGTATGTACACCTTGATTAACGTGAATTATAGGATAGTTATTTACAAAGCCAGCTGGTCGATGCGGTCTATTGTAATTGTTTGTTTTGATGTTTCCAGTGTCTCCATTTCCTCGATTTATAGCGTTCTGCTGCTTGATTTGATCCATAATTGAGTTGATTTTGCTTACATCCTGCATTATTTTATTTATATTGCCCGAGCTCCTGCCTGGATTAACATTGGTTATCGGTCTACTGACAAGTGGGTTAATGGGTATTGGACTTAAAACGTCATTGCTCGATAATGGATTACCATGTAATCCAGAATTTCCATTTGTAAATGGGAGTCCTGATACCTGGTTCGTGACTACATTTTGGATGTTCGTATTTGTTGCGACGTTTGTTGGTGCATATCTTCTATTTTCACTATCATCATCATCGTCATCGTCGTTGTCATTATCATTGATACCGAAAGAACCTTTACTTTGCGAATTAACCGGTTGGGCCCAGTTAGTATTTCGTGGATTATATCTATCTCTAGATGCAGCCAAGTTCTGTATGGTTCTAGATAGCTGATTTATGTTTTGATTATTATTATTATTAAACAGCTGTGTCGAAGGTGCAGTATTTCCCAAAAGTAGATCCAGAAGTCCAGCATTGCAGGTTGAGAACAGAAGCACTGAAATTATAGAATTTATATTATCTTTAACATATTTACGATTCACGTTTGTAAAAAATCGTCCTTCAATTCATTTACAATATTTGAATAATTTAAATTAACTATTAGAAAATGAAATAACCAATATGCCTACATTTTATATGTATATCAGCAAATAAACTTTGAAAGTAAGTACAATAATAATTACATACCTAGGAAGAAATAAGCACAAAATCCATTGGTAAACTTTTTCATGTTCACTAAAACATTATCACAGTTAAAATAAATTTGAATAACGTCCGTTATTCATGATGATATGAAGAGAAATGACGATCTCTAAATATTAATTAAACATCGTTTAAAAATACATTAGCTTAACTACATCATTACGTCATCACTCTGGGCGGGGATTTTTTATTAATTAGCAGGATTTATAAAATTCCATTATATTAATGATTAAGTGTCATGATCATATTCTTATTATATTACAGATTCGATAAGGAATTTTTATAAATAATATAAATTATTTAATAGCTATCTATTGAGTGAACACTAGCCGACCTGGCAAACGTCATTGTTATAAAAAAGTTCTTGTAAGTTAATCTTGAAAGATGTACATAATATATTATCGCGAACATTTTCTTAGATTATTTAAAAAGAAAATAAAATATTATAAAGAATAAAGGAAAAATTATTTTTTGGTATACTAAGCCGTTTTAGCAGCGCACTCAACATAAAACGTTTTTTTTTCACATTTTCTTCTGTTCTCCTATTAGCCGCAGCCTGATTTTTCATAGGCTTGTTCAATAAAAACTCTACATAGCACAAAAATATTTTTTAATTCGAACCACTAGTTCCTGAGATTATCGCATTCAAACAAACAAACTTCAACTTTATAATATTAGTTTAAATTGAATAAACAAGCAAAGCCTTACCAAAGTCTTAATCATTTTTTTTCTACAATCATTTAATATCGAATACCTTTCCTTACCCTTCTTAATTTATTACTATTGCAGGTTCAAACAACAATAAATACCCTATTATAAATAAACAAATAATTTTCCCCTATTTAAATTAAAGGCTCATTTATTTCACTAACATCATAATAACGCGTTATACTAATGATATCATTAATAAATACGACAAATTGAGGTCTAAACCCAGGTGGTGATAAACGCATACAACCCTATACAAAGATCACAAGACACATGCGCATGAGCTTGACATGTATTTGTATCGGTTGTTAATGCGGGGCGCGTGGCCGGAAATACTTCGCTACAGTTAATCCTTTTATGTGGTTACTCATATTTTTTGTCAAACTAATACTTACAAACAAGTATTAACATTACTTATAACAGGAATGAAGGCGTATTTTACGGCAAATGAACATAAATGATAGTCCAAATAGTTCATAGTCTAAAAGTCATATTAATTATTTTTAAATACTTACAACTTAAATTTTGTAATTTATAACATTCAAATTTGACATCGCTTGTAAAATGCGAAGTTACGGTTTAAAATCTTGGCTAGTGCAGTCCAGTTTTTTTTGTTTCCTTAAAAAAATTAAATAGAACACTTTAAACGGTTTTAAATGCCGAACTTTATACAGAGTTGACTTATTTCCGATTTAACTTAGGTGCGGTTTCGGATGCTCAGAGTCCCCCCGCGACGATGGCTTTAGCAAAACATCCTAGAACTTATAATTTGTATTTTAAATCGTTATTAATGTTTTATTTAAATTAGTGGGTACTACTCGTGTAAACTATAGTACCTGAGCTTACTAGCAAATGTTACTGAAACAGCCAAAGAGGTAAAGAGACAGTACCAAACCAGCAAACTTAACTTTTTCGTCTTAAACTACGACCTACCGTCAAAAAGGTGACACGAACGCATAAATAACTCATAATAAAGTACGCACTCAACATAATAGAGTAATCCTGCGCACGCGCCCTCATAAACGAGCCGTTGAGCCCATTGTACTTACACGATTCCATCCGATCAGCTGCCACTCGAAAAAGCAACAATATCCAACGGGTTAGAATTAATGCATAGAGTATAAGTATTCTTGCTTAGTATATTAGGTTTTAAAATTAAAGATCAAATAAGAAAACAATCACTTCAATAGATCTGTCAAAAGTTTTTGTTTAAATATTAATAAATAATTTAAGAAAAAGTCTATAAAGAGAAAATGTACATAATATTTTGTTAAAATATTAATATCGAGATATTTAATTTAAGAACAAAGCACTATATTCGCTATAAAGAAAAATGTACATAATATATAAAAAAAAAGACTGAAATTTTTTTATAGATTATAATGGAATTATCAGACTATTTTTCTAATAACTATCACTAAGTTGCCATTCAACTAAAGTCGTGCAAATAAATTAAAAAGATTTCATGTAGTTTCGCATTTATTATTATTGTTAAAATAAAACACTTTTCAATGTTTAAAATTCGAAATATTAAACCGTTTAAAGTGTTATATGTGTAATAATAGGAATTTCATTAAACTCTGAAATAATTGACGCGCATAACGCGTTAAACATATTTGTATTTTTTTCAGCTTTTATTTATAAGCTCTAAGTTTGCAAGATCCTAGAATGACTTAAAAAAAACTGATAAGATATTAAAAAAAACACTTTAACGGTTTAAGTCGCGATATATTTTAGTTAACGCATCCGAAACGTCAGGCCATAATTAAAAAAGTTTAACTAAAATATATCGCGTTTTAAACCGTTAAAGTGTTTTATTCAAATGTGTACTACTCGCGTAAACTACAGACAGTATTACACTGATAAGATACTAAGTTTCTGTGCCAGTAATAAAAAAATATATATTTAGTCAAACAAAGAAATCCCGTTTCCCCTCTTGAGGTATGGGGCGAACACATTTGTATATCTCTTTAATTGATCAATTTTATTCAGCCAAAACTAGGACTTCTAGTGTTAAACGCAATTGTAGGGGACGCGTTGGACAATAACTACAAAGACGGTTAAAATCAAACAGTCTATTAAATAAGCATAAATCAAAGACATTGAGAGAGGTTTGCGGAATACTAGCCGATTATAAATGTATTAGCAGCATGTGATAACATATGGACTACGCTCGAGGGGCGAAGCACCCCGTCGTCGAAGCAGACCCCGGGGTGCCAAATACGTAATAGATTTCGAGATTTATTATAAATTGCGATTTTCGAGAGCCATACCATTTTGGTAGTCGCTTTACAATTGTAAAATAACTACTTAGTTTTATTGGACAATAGAACGGGTGTTTTATATATTTTTTCTGTCTCGTTGTGACCGCGGTTTTTGTAGATTTATAGAGCACCCGAAACGTCGAGCCGTAGTAAAAATAAATTAACCAACATATTTCACGTTTTAGACCGTTGAAAGTGTTTTTTTTTATATTCTAAAGGAATCAATAATTATAAACACGGCCACGCGTTTTAAACCGTAAAAGTATGTCATTTAAGTGTGTACTACTCACGTAAACTACAGACAGCATTTAACATGTTTATTTACCCAAATCTGCTTAGTCGTCACTTTTTTCACTACATGTGCAGTCACCCGACACCTCTCGACCGCCACAGATGGCGCTTTTATGTCAATCGTCATAATTAGGGGATTAGGCCCCCCTAATGACATGTTACATTGAATCTTTGTTACACCCCGAACGAATGCACCCTATTTTGACTTGTCGCAAGTCAGTTGTGATTCTGGCGCTTTTATTGTAGCCGACGGAATTTGAGATGTGTCTTGAAATAATAGACAAATAACACATTCTGTGTTTGAAAGCTTTATGACGCTGTTGATGGCACTTACTAAATGAGCTGCCGTGAAAACAAAAATTACTTTATTGCCACCACAAAAAATAAGATTAAAATAAATGAAATTTCAAAAATATGTAGCGAGTAGCGGCGGCCTTTTGATAAATAGTGATTTCTTCCAGGCAGCCTTGTAGATAGAGATTTACAATAATAATTGATAATAAGGGTAACACTAAAACTATAATAAGTCTATACAGTGACTAGTTGTGCCTGGGTTTTATAAAACATTTAAAGAGGAATCATTATTTCATATTTTTTGGGTATCTTGAAGTGATTTCGCAGCGCGCGCAACGGAAACCCTCAAATATGAATAATTTCCCTCACATTTCCACATTTCCCACTATTTTTTCGCTTCTATTAGCAGCACGATGTTTTATAGTCTAAAACCTTTCTCCAGTGCTTTTGTGCAAGAATTCAGTGAATTAATTAGTTAATTCTGTGAGTTTGCGAATATCCAAAAGATAAGATAGGTCGATAGCGCATCTTCTTCAGATGTTATGTGGCTGGGGTATTTCACCTCTCATCAAGTAAGCTCCATGCTTGTCGTAGTCCTTTATCATAAAAATATGTATTGGTCGCCGATGTGCAGTATGTTTAGCAAATGCCAGTAACAATGAACTTTAAACGTGACCTTTACCTTTTTAAATACCGATAAGTTAGTGATTCTCGTGAAAGGGGTATAAACTTTTTTAACAAAAAGTTAACTCTTAAATTTCCGTTACCTTTCGTTATATTTTCCGAAGGTTTTACGGTTAAAACGGTAACTTTATTTAATTAAACATATTGATTGGGTCTTTAGTTGAATAGTACCACGGCATGGCTAATAACGGGTAATAATATACTAACGGGTGAAGGGATCGATATCTATAATTTTTTTAAGACAAGTTGAACTTTGTCTGGAAATATTATGAATGGTTAGTAGAAAAATCAAAAATCGGTTCTCTCTGTGGACTTCAAAATTTCCAAAGCAAAATAGTCGATAGAGCATCTTGTTATGTGGGGATATTTTGCCAAAGAACCCCACGCTAGTCTGGTCTCTTCAATAAAAATATTTTTTTTTATCTACACAAAAACCTCTGAAAACGACTGAAAAAACTCCATTAAAAATGACCGCAAACACAACACGCTAATAGCATCAAAAAAATGTCAGCCAAAAAAAACGCCACCGATCGCCGTCAAAGCTCCTGAAACATAAAAAAGCTGCTTTTAAACGTTAAAAGGCTCCGTTTACCGCCGACGCAAACACTTAGCTCCATGTTAATTAATAAGTAGCCGGTGCTTCGTCAAAGGGAATGCATGAATACTTGCCGAAGCGACCTCCAGTGGCGCTTTTAAAATCGCCCCTCTTACAGTACCAGAGAAACCAAAGGTAAACTGATTACGACAATTTTAGAATTTTTGCCGAACGTATAAACGTCATATGTAACATGCAGAAGTATAGACTAGGCATTTAAACGAAAAACAATTCTAAAATTATTTGCTGACGGCGCTAATGTTTCTCAAAGACACTTTGAACAAGATTCAACAAGACATCGTTTGAAAAAGATTTCAAACGATTTTTTTTTGTATTCGAACAGCTAAATTCATCGCATATGTTTTAATAAATTAGTGATTCACGTATGTCTAACGATATAATAAGAAGGACAAATAAAGATTGGGATTTACCTGATGAAAGGTAAAAGTCAAAACATCAAATACTGTCTATAGTTTACGCGAGTAGAACACATTTAAATAAAACACTTTAACGGTTTAAAACGCGATATATTAGTTAAACTTATTTGAAAAAATATTTTTAACTTTAGCCCGACGTTTCGGATGCTTTGCAGCAGCCATGGTCACGGGGAGACACATTTATCGCGTTTTAAACCGTTAAAGTGTTTTTGCAAAACATCAATTTAAGATATATTGACCCCCTATTTTCGCATCGGACATCCGGTAAACACAGCCTGAAACTGAAGCGTATCTTACAGCCTTTTAATCTGTGTACGTTGTTTCGTAACCCAATGTCTTGGTTAAAGGCAAGCGGTAAGATTCACTTGTAGATGAGATAGCATATAACATCTAAACAAAATGCGCTGTCGAGCTGTTTTGGCGTTGGTTATCAAACCCGTCGTAACACCTAATAATGTCCTAACCAAAGACACTATCAAGGCAAGATCTTCCAGCAAAAAAGGACCACGACCACCTCAGTTGACGAAGGACATGTCCCTTGTACCGCTTATCTCCTCCAGGTCCAAGTCTTCAAGCTTAAACCCACACTGCAATCCAAAGTCCAAGTCCAAGTCGAACTCTCTGATATGTCATAGATTTTATAGGGCAATGAGATATTATTTCAATAAAACACTAACGATTTAAAACGCGATATATTAGTTAAACTTACCGTGCTGTGACTTATTTAGCCACGTTAGTGACCACGGCTGCTGTGAAGCATCCAAAACATATAATTTCCAAATAAGTTTAAATAATATATAGCGCGTTTTAAACCGTTAAAGTGTTTTATTTAAATGCACTCTCGTAAACTACAGATAGTATTTAACTATTGTTTTATAGCTCTTTACATGAATAAGACCTGTCTAGTAAGAGTACCTGAAACTTCACTGAAACCGAGCAAGGAATGATTAGGTGTAACGACGTTATAGAAATGTAATTACAATTACGACAGCTCCGAACTTGACCTACGGTAAGGATCGATGTGACCCACTATGCAAATAAGAAACGGTTTCTTTGAAATGAACGATGCCGTGTTTAGGGTGTTTACGCAATTATGCATAGTAGATTCGGTTTGAATAATTAGTTCATCTTAACAAATCGTTACAGGGATACCAGCGATCGTTTCTGTTCGCATAGACAAACACATAAGGAGTAGAAATCATGTATTAATAGAATTACAGTAATTGAGCTACCGAGCAGCACGCAACGCTGCAGGTGCTGTTTCAAGTACCGCATTCACGCTTTTTTTCAAATTTCAATAGATTTATAATTTATATAATTCCATCATGTGCAAAATATTAAAGCTATGGATAGTATAATCATAGAAGTTAAGCAACTCTAAGTGATGTTCAGTTAATAACCAAATGGTCGCGGTGGGCTTGGTGCTACGGTGCTACAGCTTGCTACAAGCTACGCCATATTCTATTTAATTAAATTTATTACTACAAAACAATATGTTCACTCTTGACAACAAAAAAGTAAAAAACAAAATTACATTATATTAACTAAGTTAGTAGTTAAGAAATAAGAAGAAAGTTAGGCATTTATTATTTAACCATCAATCATTTCATGGCTGTAACCAACTGTTCGTGAGTTCGATTTCCTATTGTGGCGAATATGTTGATCAAAATTAAATATTTCGAAAACATACGTTAGATTGTCTGAAAATGTGGACATTCAATAGTACAAACATTGAAATGTTGTCCCGGTCTTAATACACCGTCGGCATCGATAGGTATTTCTAATACCTATTAGGTGTTAACTCATGTTTTATCTCTATTCAAAAAAATATATCAATCGTAAGTATAAGTAAATTAACTATGTCGTTTCATCAGCGGAAGGCGCATTCAAGAAACTAAAGCCGGAACCCGGCGGAAACGGCACGGGGTCTGGTAGTTCTGCCCTGTCACCTTCCCTGGGACCGCAGCATGCCGGTCACACACCCACCACGGCGTCTTGTCCCACGCCAGCACGACGGCGACATAGGACTACATTTACACAGGTATTCATCGCCTATATTCTTATTTAGGACAAAATGGCCCGATAACTACTACTGGAAGACAAGTCTTATATTTGACTCTTTGTATTCTCTTTAACAATTACGCAAAGAAATTAAGTGATAAAACAACTTTTACACTGATAAATAAAGAATTAAAAAGGTGTTTTTTGTTAGTCCATCGTTCCATCTAAGTACTTCTCTACCTACTATCTACTTCGTTGATTAACTAGATCTCGGCTACAATTATCGTAGTAATTAAAAAGTTTCAATGAATAATCATGAATAAGATTTTGTTTTACTAACTGCAAAATAAATATAACCCTTAGCAGACTGTTTATAACAGTTGAAAGAGTGTTCATTCTTAAATAACTGCCTTGAACTAGCGGCTAGTTATTAAATAAAATACACGTATATATTTATATCAAGAGTAACTTAAGTGTTTTGTATGTGTTTGTAATCATCTAATTGTCTTGAATGAAAAATATATATGAACAGTTAACATTATTTTTTGGAGTACAATTAATTAAACTCTGTATTAAAACATAAACTTTTATAACACAGGAACAATTAGCGGAATTAGAAGCAGCGTTTGCCAAATCACACTACCCCGATATCTACTGCAGAGAAGAGCTGGCGAGAACGACTAAACTCAACGAGGCTAGGATACAAGTAAGTTCAAGTTATTTTATTTTCCTACATAGATAACAGGTGGGATGAGAGCCCACGTACAGTCCTAAATACCACGCTGTGCAAATAAATTACTTATTTATTTAAAACCAATCACACATCTTTACAGAATAATAATTCTAACATGAGAGTGAGTTAAATACTGTCTGTAATTTACGCGAGTAGTACAAATAAAGCATCCGAAACGTCGGGCCTTAGTTAAAAATACTTTTCAAACAAGTTTAGCTAAAATAAATCGCGTTTTAAACCGTTAGTGTTTTATTTAAATGTCTATTTTACAATTTCTTTTTTCAATCCTTAATTTGGTTTCACTAATCTTTACATACCACTAAATAATAACTTCTTCTTCAATCTACCAACCAAGTTAACTTATTTCTCCAGGATACTAACCCCTGACCTATAGGCAACCATTTAGCTACAGAGGGGGTCTATGTATTATATAATAAATATAAAATCTTAATATTCAATGCCCTGGATTGGAATCCGGGAAACAATAAGTTGCTTCGGTCGGGCAGGTCACAGAGATCTGATCAACTACTTGCTTATAAATAAAACCGATCATTGAAACGGAGACAATAATGTGTTCGCCCCATGCCCCAAGCTGGGAAATAGGATTTTACTTTTTTATTGTATACTTATTAACGTGATAAACAAATTTTGTGAGCAGCATAGCTGACATATTTGCAACTTCTTTTTGACGGTCTCGTTGATCTAATGGTAGCAATGTATCTAATACTCAACGGGTCTTGGGTTCTATCCCCGTCGGGTCCAACATGTTTCTAATCAATTTATAATTTTCCTGAAACTTCACCTGGAAATTTGGATATGACAGTGGGTGGTGGATATATCGAATATCCGTCCGTGTCACGAACCACCGTCCACAGATAAAAGAGCTGTCACGTTTAATTACATGTCGGGTTCAGTCTGTGGATATCCGAATATCCTAAGCCAAAATAGGACAGCGCACCTTATTTACATGCTGTAGGCTAGGGTATTTACCCATCATCGAGTGAACCCCTCATCATCATAAAAAAAAAATTCATTTCGAAATAGTGAAACAAACGAGCCGTACAATTAAACTTCCGAAATCCCCGAAATCCCATAAAAATAGGAAAGGAATATTATAAGCGAGAAACAAGTCAATAACTTGTTCTTACATCGACTTGAAAACTCCAATGATCCGCGAATATAACGTAATACAATTTGTAGCGTAGGCCGGAGGCGGATTGAATTAAAGCGCCATCTGGCATGTGAATACGGAATACTCACGGTTAGAGATCCTTATCTGAGTTTTAAAATTGCTCAATCCCCCGGGAGCCTATTGATTTGTCCCCGGAGCGATTAATGCGTCGCTTTAGATATTTTATTCAGAACACGTCGCTTAGCATTGTCTTGTACGGGTGTCCTTAATTCTTCAGCTCACATTCGCGGAATATAGAATTAACTTAGCGTTTTTAGAAAGGTCCCTTCTAGAAAGTCTAAGAAGTAATCTGAAGGACTAACATCGACTAGAATGAAGGCGAACAAGTCGTATCGTTACGTTTTATCGATTCAAACGCGAACTAGAAAATAAAAAACTTAGAACACTAATATAGTTCGCGTTTTCAACCGTTCCAGTGACTTAGTAAAATAGACGTTCGTCCACATTTTTTATCCTTATAAGTGTCGTCTTTTTCTATCAAATAAAATGCGTACTTTATTTTGCAGAAGAATAAATAAATATATAATAGATAACAATAATAAACAATATATAACCCGTTCCGTACAAAATAGATTAGTTTCAAGTTTAACAACGTCATTGCATTTATAAAAGGATCAAATAATCATTATTTGATCTTTATACTATATTATAGTATAAAGATCAAATAATGATTCCTTTCTCTTCCTTTTAAAGTTAACTGCGCAATACAAACTCAACATTGACTATCTTTTAGCATACGCCTTTCCATAAGTGTCTAAGAGCCCACGTGAATTCAATTAACAAACATTCTTTCGCGCTTCACCGTTAAAAGCGAAACACGCACACATAATGTCACGTTATTAACGTAACGCTACATAAGAAACGTTAAAGACGAAGTACCCTCCTAGAGGAAATTTCGATATAAAAATACAACGCCGGGCGGTGGTGGTGGGGTGGTGGGGAGCGGGTGGCCCCTGAGGCATTGCAATCCCATCAAATGGATCCATAACGAAGTTAGCCGTTCATCCTCCCCGCGCGCCTCTACATTGTCTCTGCCCTCAAATGAATTCTACAATTGGAAATAAGAAAATGTTTTGTTGGAACTCGCTTTAACGTAAAGACGACCGTTTTCTTTAGACAGCACGGCGTCCGCGCGGATGTGAATTGTTTTTTTTGCCGTGGTTCATCGCTAAATTAGATTTGAAGCGTTTAAACTGTGAAGTGAAACTCACTCTCTTGTTATATTAGGCTGTGGTAGATTCTTTCCGATATCTAGTTTTAGAATATTAGTATTTCAGGACTTATATAGAAGAAGCCTATATAAAGCATAGTTCTTATGTTATATTGACGTTTCACAGATTTTTAAAAGATTATTACACATTATTGTACAAATTCGTCAGATTTTTACAATGACTTTGGGTAATTCAAACGTGACTTTTCCTTTGTTACATGTTTAAAAAAATTAGTTATTTAGGCGTTCTTCGTTTATTTGGAAATAATATTTTTATTTATCTACATCTTAGATCAAAGATTCAATTAAAGGTACTTTTTTGGAATAAACCTAAAAGTTTGAAAGCATCAACACTTTTACCATATTATTTGACATGATGGCGTAAAAATCGCAATATATAAACAAAATAAAAATCGATTTTTAGATTGATTTTTTTCCCAATGGGTCTGCCCGTGTAACAAAAAAATTTCAATTTTAAATCTATTTTTTATATATAATAGAATAGATTTAATAGTCTTGATATTTGACAAGAATTCCGTTATAAGTCACGTAACGCTATTAAGTATCTTTGACGAAGTCTTGACGTATCGCAGTAAGTAGGTACATAGTTTAAGCCGGGAAATTGCTTCGTTTTTCATCACAACGCGCGCGGCGAGGGACGGATGTCGGATTGCTTCGCGAAAAACTAATATCCCATTTATGTTTCTTCGCCCTATTTACTATACACCGTTCTTGATTTTCGACCCTAGTGCCATTGTTATACGGTGCACAGTGGAATGTTTTGGGGTAGCTATGGGTGTGTTTATGTGAAAGTGCGTTGGGAGGGCGTCTCCCCTGGTCTCTCCCTCTAATCAGCTGTAATCACCATATCAAACGACGCACGCCTCATTCCCGACGACAACAGATTATAGTCTTGTGTGTTTTGCTGATGGCAAATTTGGTAATACATATTTTTTTTATGATGTGGAGGACAAACAAGCGTGGGTATGACTTGCTATTAGGTGAAATACCATCTATGTTAGACGCGCTGTCGAGCTAGTTAGGTTTTGGATATTCGGAAATCCACAGACTGAAACCAAAATCCATTAAGCTTTATTTAATATCCAGATTTTTCAGACAGCGTCCAATAAGTTTTGGAAAAGTTAGAAATGGATTAGAAACTTATTGGAACTGAAATACTGTCTATAGTTTACGCGAGTAGTACACATTTTAAAAAAACACTTTAACGGTTTAAAACGCGATATATTAGTTAAAGCAGACAGCCGCTGGGCCACGGCTGCTGGAAAGCATCCGAAACGTCAGGCCAAAGTTAAAAATCATTTTCAAATAAGTATAACTATATATCGCGTTTTAAACCGTTAAAGTGTTTGATTTAAATATTGGAACTTGTTGGGATCGAACCCGCAACCCATTGATTAGAACATAATATACCGCGCAATTATATGTCGGGAAATATTTTTTTCAGTTCTTAGCGGTTCTTTAGCATCTAGTCACATATGAATATTTAAAGTTTAATACGATTTTATTTACCGATTTCTTCCTTTACACAGGTTTGGTTTCAAAATCGTCGAGCGAAATACCGCAAACAAGAAAAGCAGCTCCAAAAAGCGTTGGCACCAGCCGTCCTCCCTGGCTGCAATGGCATGATGAGAAATATTCAGGGCTACAGAGGCTACCAGCCGTATCCACATCCTAACACTATTAATAGGTATCCACAGGTATGTAAAGCTTTTGAGATAAATTCATGTAGTGATTTAAAGTAAATCAATAATAAATGTGCAAATACATACAATATACTGTCTGCAGTTTACGCAAGTAGTACACATTTGAATAAAACATTTAATGGTTTAGACGCGATATATATTAGTTAAACTTATTTGAAAATTATTTTAACTACGGCCTGACGTTTCGGATGCTTTGCAGCAGCCTTGGTCACGGCAAAGTGCAAAAACAATTGAAGTGTTTTCTTTAAATACGTACAATATACTTGTACATGATTATTCTAAAAAAACTATTCTTTTTCGTGTTTTAATGTTATTTATAGCTTTATTGTAAAGAACTAGCAATTTCTTTTTTTAGATTTATTTGCTCTTATCGTTATTGTCACACATACTTCGTAAAATTATTATTTAATTTAAATAAATTTTAATAAAATACTGGATGCAGTACATATTTAAATACAACATTTTTGCGACTTAAAACGCGACATGAAATTATTTTATTTATGACATTATTTCGCGTTTTAAACCGTTAAACATTTTATTTATGAAAATATTAAATAGTTAAAAAAAAATTCAAGAAGCAATAACAATCATTTGAATCATAATTTGAAAATCCAGTTAAGTTAAGAAAGTCACCATATTGTCAATGAATTTCAAGAGTTCTGTATCTTTTGTAAAAACGTAACATATAACATAGTTTACTTACCTTTATTAATTGTTACGCAATAACCTTATACAGCTTGCGAAAGCTTAATAAAGGACGTTGTTCTGTAGCTCATTACAATGCGTTGCTAATCAGTCCCCTGATTACACGTTAATAGCATTGCACAGGGAACTGACCGCCGAAAATAATGCAAATGGCGACCGACCGACGCGGACGTCGATGGACAATGACTATTGTCCCGTATTTATCTTTAAATCTGAACGTTGATTGGTTATTGAAGTTGCAATTTCGGAAGGATTAATTCTGTTGCGAATGGAATTCGAACGATGATTTATTATTACGTCAGTTACGCGGTTTTGACGAGAGCGAGGCATTCATTTTTGGCCTTCTAGCCATCAGCCATCAATCTATACTAATGTTATAAAGATAAAGGGTTTGTTTGTACGCGATAATCTCAGGAACTACTGGTTCGAATTGAAAAATATTTTTTGTGTTTAGTAGAGTATGTATCGAGGAAGGCCACAAAAAGTTATGACTAAAGTCTTTGATATATAGATTTTAATCTACCATAAATTAATATGAATTGACAGATGACACGTATCTGTCAAAATATGTCAACTGTCAAACTGCTCTCGATCAAACGCCGCGCTCTCAAACGAAGCACGATAAGCAAAAAATGTACACAGCTCTCTAGCATACTAAATTTAAGTGATAAAAATAACATTCACACAATATCTATTATGTATCACTTCAAGTTTAGGGTAATAGTCTTTATTAGTATAAAAAATGTATTATCAATTTTAACCCTTGATTAATATCGAGTTCAATTTCTGCTCGACAATTCCCTGTAAAAAAACTGTTAGCAGTAGCTTACAGATGTATCTCTTAACTGTATAGAAACTTTTCTTTATACAATTAAGGAAATTAATAATCAAAGAATATAAAAAGGATACGTTTTTTTCTTATAAAAGTGAAGATCTATTCATTTTTCTTTCTCGCTATTAACAATTTAAAATTTGTAATTGATTACTCTCTTTTTACTTTAATTTTTAAGTAAAAGTCATCAGTGATACTTTAAGAAACGGCTTGTCGCAGCATATTTCAAAAGAAATAATACGGTCTTTGACACCATCTATGGTACATTCACATAATGTATTTTAAAGTTACAGAGCTATACCAATTGTATACATTTTTATGTTATGTTTGACGGCTATTTGTTTCAGGTTTATTTCAGGTTTCAGGTGACTGTATCAGGTTTTTTAAGTATTCAGCCGTCATAATTGATAATCTTTTCTTGCCTATAATTTCTGGAAACGTGGAAACTAAAGGTTTACCTTTAAAGTTCAAATAGTCACGCAAATGTCCCACAACCATGCATTTATACCTTCATTACGACGCACTCATTATCCGAAGTGATAATTCGACCAGCGGATGTTCGCCCGATAATTGCGACATAAAGCAAACGCGTGAAAAACTATTAACTTAACCAGATAATTCGGTTATGCATTTACGGTACATCTGTCGGTTTTAAAATTTACTTAATTACTATTAACACTAGTTATATTATCGTGCTTATTTTATAACAAGAATACACAACTCTAATGAGACAAAGTAGTTCTTCTACCTACTTCATAAGAACAATATCTATATTAATCTAAATCCCTTGTTTTTAGAAAGCTAATTTCTAAACATAACAATATTATTTTTTAAGTAATTACAAGTCTTACTTGTTTTTTTTTTAATTATACATTATGACATCTGAAACATGTTTTATGTATTGTCTGTATCCGACAATACATTTAGCATTAATGTAACGGATTTAAAAGCTAAATATATAAGTTTAATTAAAAATTACTGAAACTATAAACTAATATAACTCATTTTCTTCAAAATGCTTCAACTTCAAATTCTACAACTTCACTTTTAACTCTTAAAATTGTTTCAAATTATATAAGTATAGGCTCATTTAAACAACCAATTTTAGCAGTCTTCATTTAAGTAGTTAAAACAGCTTTAGAAGTGCTACGAAGTCCTACGAGGTGCTACGAAATTAACATCTTACTTAATTTATTTAAGTATATTTTTTCTTTTACCAGCATCACGGTAGCTACGAAGAGTTACAGAAGGACATATTCTCACTATCGCAGATGGGTGGCGGCTCATATCCGATGCCACAAGGCTTTTCAATGGGCCATAGCGCAAACATGAGCGCTGTTGGTATGCGACAAGATTCAATGGGTAAGACAGTTTTGCGTTTTTTTAAGCAATATATAAATATGTCTAAAGAATTATTATTTAACTTATTTGAGATACAAGTAGTATAAACACAATACAAACACAAATAAACACAAGTAATTAAATAAATAACATACAAATTGAATATTACTAATACGTAATTATAGAAAAACATTAGAATGGTTTTTGAATTATCCTGCTTATATACATAAAATAAGAGTCATATACATTTACAAAAATCATATTTTCTTGTGGGACGCGAGGTGAAAACAAAGTACCACTTCTGAAAGACCGCCAGTTAGAAGGGCAAGTCAAAAAACACTCAAGTACACACTTCAGGAATTTACGGCTAATTTTGAAAAGGCAAAGCCACACTCAATCCATTATATACTTTTTCAAGAACCATTTAAGACTAATTAAGTAAAAAAAATTTTACCTCTGCAAGATTCAACATTAAATAATATTATAAAAACACTAGCTATGCCCGCGACTTCGTCCACGTGGAATATAACTTTGGGTAGGTTTGTAACTTAGGTTATACAAATTGAATAAACATGCACAAAAGATACAGTTTCACTGCAAAGAGCTTATTAAGGTATTCAAAGTATATCCACGGTATATGTTTTTTTTTTTGTTTATTTGAGTTACTTTTGCATTATCAAATTAGTAAGTTCTATAAAAATTAATTACGATACATCCACATAACTTTTCATACCCCTTACTACCTTTTATTCGTACAGCAAAAGGTTTTACAATGCATGTCATCGAAAAAGGCGCATTCAAGGCAGCCGATCTGTGTCTTAAGCGTTACTCTGCCACATCACTCCCACTCCTACAATCACTCCACTCTCACTCCTATTCCCAAAAAGTAAAAGAAAAAGTTTCAGTGTTCTAGCTTCAAAAATCACCAATTTCCCTACAAATGTTCATCTCCCTTTTCAGACCTTAATAACTCTTTTGCTGCCTCAGGCTCTAGAATATCTCTGTACTACATTTCATTTAAATCGATTCAGTAGTTTCGGCATGAAAGCCGGACAGACAGACAGACAGAGTTACTTTCGCATTTTTAATATTAGTAGTGATTGACTAAATCTAAACGTATAAATACTTAGTGCTAAGCAAATGTTTTTTTTGTTTACTATTTGAGGTCGGTTATTTTTTACTATTTTATATTGTTGATCTTTAAGATCTAGTTGTACACAAACAGGTCGACTAGCCCTACCTTTATTAATATGCTGTTTGATTCACATGTAACTGTTTAAATCTTGTAGCACGTCGCAAGCAAATTAAACCCGTGTATAGTAGAGTTGAAACTCTTACAACTGTGGCAACTTGTATTTCAGTTTGAAGTGTAAAACAAGACGTGGCGGCGGCAGCTTTCATCAACTTTATATTGGCTACGTCAAGCCAATTATAAAGTTGCGCTCAGCTTTGGGGTTCAAGCCGCGTTTTTATACAATCCTTTATAATAATGAGAAAACTTACTCTTTGTTGGTCGTGGACAATTTCCGACAGATGATGGCGAATATTATTCTGCCATTTGAAAACTTTTTCAGTACACTGAAAACTTGCATTTTACTTTCAAAACGAATAGCATTGACTGCACTTTATATTTAAGAAAAATATTTTAATTCTCTGCAGTTTGCGAAAGTAGCTCATATTTTTAATAAAACACAAGCAGTTCCGAACGAGATAGACGTATTACTACTATTAGATTTACTTAACTAAACGACCCGGCGTTTTGGAAAGCTTTGCAGCAGCTACAAAGCATCCGAAACGTCAAATCTATTATTATATGTTTATCGCCTTTTAAACCGTTTTATTTAGTTTGTCTCTTTATTTGGTTGTTTAATATAATATATTAAATTTCGTAGTTACATCCCTTATATTCACCGTTCAGCTAACTGTAAATAAAACTTTAGTCTGTACGTTTTAATTTTTTTTTGTACTACACCCTCACGTTTAATGCACTTTTAATAGACATGAATTTTGAATATTATCAATTTATATCTACTTCAAATATCAAGCGTGAGGGATCATTGAAAATGGGTGTTATGTTTTATGCAAGAACAACAAAAGAGTTGTAGTGCCCCATCTAATTTTTATTTTTATTTGGAATAAATTATTTGATTTAACTAATAACTACTAAACGCTATTTTTTATATCCAAGTATCTTTGTAAAGTAGAAAAAAATAAAGTAAGTAGATTAGCTAATCCTTGAGCAATTACATTATTTCATGAGGACTAAAAACATGCAATTTATGCATACATAAAATATATCTAGAATCGAAGACATCGTAACAACTAATTTAATATTCCTCGAGTTTGCGGCCGGAGATTATAAATTTGTTCCCTCAAGTCAAGATGTTCCTATATCTTAGCTTATACTATTAATATTGGAAATGCATTTACAATTTAGAGGTACCACTAACTAGGTAACGTATATATATTTTTTATGTTTTAGGATGAAAGACAAGCCGTGAATTAGTCAGTTTTTTGCAGTAGCATAGTAAACGGTTGTAATAATATATAATATGTATACATGTTCACATCTTAGTGATAGTATTTATGTTACATAGGTTAGCCTAAAAATAAATAAAATATCCTTCTCTCCATCGAATAAGAACTCCGTAATAATGCTCTTTTTAAAGAGTTTTTTTCGCTCTCTCATCAAAAATGCGCGGGAAAGCATGTAATAGGGGTGAGCCGCGGGCGAATACCTGCGTAGAAAAACACGGCGTAATGGAAGCGAGGCATCGTACCGTGGATATTCTAATAAGAAAATTTCCACTACATTTACTTTGGCGGGCGTTCTCGCGGCGTCTTCGCAAACATCTTATTTCCTACGGCGAGATTGCATCTTGAGAAAACGCGAGGGTCGACTCGTTCACTATTCGCTCCCTACCTAAGGCGTCTCGTTATACCTAGCTTCACGGGGATAAGGTGATTTTCGAATCTGAGTAGGGAAGTATTTCGAGTCAACAGATACAATAAGAAACTGACTTTGAATACACAGCACACAGACAAAGAGCCGAAACCATTCGGGTTTTGGTTGTAGTCTGTGGACTTCACGGCTTTGTCACCTGTAGACGCTGTTTTATAACTCGGATGGAATGTTGATATTCTTACCGCCCATTTGATTTCCAGGCGAAGTTGTTTGTAAAGTTATTAATTGATTAGAAACGTATTTGACCAGGTGGGGATCAAACCCAGAACCCGTCAATTATTGGCTAATATGGCTACACGCTACCAATTGTAGCCACCAGTGGACTAACGAGCCCAAAAAACTATTATACATTTTGTGTGCGAAAGAAATATGATTTTATATTTATATACAGTGTTTTGTCTCTCTTTTTTAGTTTTTACATAATTATAATCAGAAATACCTTTAAAAATTTTAAAGTATATAGCTTGGTTTTTTTTAGTATTACCACGGCGACATATACATACACCTACATCATCTCTATATCTCTTATTTTGTTGTTTAGGAATGAGCGCTGAAGATGAGTGGTATAACAAATCATTGTCGGCACTCCGGATGAACACGGGCCACCACGCGAACCTCGCAGCTGCTCCGATGCTGCAATACCAGACCTAATCGCTGCTACACGGCGCTGACTATTCGCCGGCGCCGGCGCACGACTATGCGCCATAACGCTGAATGACGTTTCAGTGTTTATTTAGTTGGATATACTTATCGCAAAGGTAGAATAACAATGTGTTGATAATTTTATCTATCTGTAGTTTACGCGAGTAGTACACATTATAATAAAACACTTTAACGGTTTAAAACGCGATATCTGATATATTAAAATAATAATTATTAAACTTATTTGAAAATGATTTTTAACTTTGGCCCGACGTTTCGAATGCTTTGCAGCAGCCGTGGTCACGGGGAGACTAAAAAAACTTTGAAATGCTTTAATTAAATATGTACTACTCGCGTAAGCTATAGACAATATCTAAAAGGCAATTTGCTTAAATTTTATATTATGAAGTTAGAATATTCTACAACTTTACTTTTACTTGCTGAATAAAATATACTATAACCTAGCTCTTAAGCCGTATATTTCGAATGTAAATAATACGATTTTAAATTCAATAATGCCACTTGTGATCAAAGTCGTGACTTTGTTCCCTAGAAGAATGTATGCTTTTCTATTAATTTTGTCTCAAGTATAGCTAAAATTCAAGCATATAGTTTCCTTCATTTGCGATAAGTATACCCATATAAAATATATTTATACCTCATAAATCCAACAGTATTAAAACAAGTGTTCTCTATCAATAACTTAGTTCAATTCCAGAACACGCACAATAGTTAAGTTAAGTTAATCTCACATCTTTCGTTAAGATAGCGGTATCACAAAGCTCAAAATTAATGTATTTTACTTGTTTTTGCCCTAAATATTAATTAAGCATATTGTATGTAATTTTCTTATTGTATCTGAATGTAAAAAAGGAAATAATTTTAAATCGTACATAAGTTTCTTATCAATAGGGATAACTAACTAAATATTTCAACGAAATTGTATTTTACCAATTAATGGCACTCCGTCGTTAATGATGTAAATAAATATACATAATTGAAATAGAACAAAATCCAGTGTTGTCTGAAGTTTATCGTAATTTATAAGGCGTAAGGCCGTGATAGCTTTCATGTATTGTTGGTATGGTAAATCATCAACTATATTTTTTTTTGTAAAATGCAAGAACACTTTTATTTTTATGGGTCTGAATATACAATTTTAAAGTAAATAACCGACAATGCTACTTATAACATTATATATTATATTATACGCAACTCACGTCGTAGTCACAAAATTTTGTATTAGTTCCGATGCGACGCCATTTAAAAAAATTTCGTCATCAAAATGGCGGCCAAGCGCCTAAAAATTCCTAACAACACTGTATTATTTTTTCTTGTTAAATTACAATTGAACAAAAACATTTAACATTAAGTCCTAAATGTACAGCAACTAAACAGTCAAGTTTAAATTAGATAAGCGATAGATTTTGTTAAGAATTCCTTTCGGTAATCATAAATATTGTATTCTACTTAGTATTTATTGTAATGTACAGCTCTCATGAAGTAAAATTAACTTTAATTGTAGTACATAAGTAAAGTTAAGTGAAATAGATAACACACATTCTCCATTACAGACACATACATATTTATAATTTCCTGAGAGAAGTGGAAATTATCAATTTACACATTACACCATTTTTATGTTTTGAAATTTAATTCCCATTAAACAGGATTATTTAACGTGGAAAGTATCCATTTGTTTACTATTGTAAATAAAACTTTTCCTAAAATATATTTCAAACTTATTCTGTCTAATCTGGTATTTTTTGTTATTTATCTTTATTTTTTCTTATTCTAGTCAATACCATGTCTAGTCTATTGATTTTTGTTAAATTACTACTATTAGTGATATAGGTTGATTCCGTGTAAATATTATTGTAAGCGGGTTATTATGACATGTGTAAAATTAAATAAATTGTCTAAAATGTGTCCGTTTTCTTTCCTGTCTGTAAATCCCTGACAGACTGCACTTAAGGAAGTGATTGGATTATTTCTTGGAGAAGAAATAATCCCAATAACTAGAAGATTCTAGTATACTTGAAAAACATTATAGATTCTTAGAAATCGAGAGATTGGAGAAACCTATAATAATTTTTTAAAACCCAATACTATAGTAGTAAAATACGTTTTATAAAAGAACGATAATATTAAACCAAATAATGTTATTTTTTGAATCATTTGTTGTATAATTTTACGGTCAGATACTTATATTACTAATAAAAACAAATCTAAGATATCAAACAAATTTATTAGTATGTCGCAACTAAATAAACTCATTCCGTGCAAGAGCGTACTGGGGGTTGGTGACGTTGTTCCGGCGGAGGTAGGCCGCCAGATGCGATCCGACGATCTGCTCACCGCCTATCGATCGCCAGAAAACAGCCGCCTCGTGGCGTAGCGCTGCGTTCTGTCCGCACTCCTACAAACATAACCTTCAGAATATAAACCCGACATTTATATGTAAAAGTTTGTATGGAATATCGAAAATACTTCAATGTTTTTTTCGAAACAAGATGTGCTGTCGACCTATTTAAGCTTTGGATATTCGGAAATACACAGATTGGAACCGAACGGCGATTTAACTTCACGGCTTTCATATGTGGCCGGTGGTTCCTGACCCGGGAGGTATTTCGACACGTCCCGTTGATTATTGTTCATACATTGCTACTATCAACGAGCTCGTCAAACGTTCTTTAGAAACATTAGATTCTTTAAAACAAGACGGTTTAATATTTTCTGTAACCAACGCATAAAACACTTGCAAAATAATTATTGCATTTAAAATAGATTTATCAGTTACCATTTAAACGTGATAAATATCATTTTCTTATATATTATAACTTGTATCCTGGGATATGATTCAAGAATTTCTCATGCTTGATCATGATTGGCAACTGCTATACTACACGATACTGAAACGATATCATCTGAATTAGAATATACCTTTGATCTATCTCCACTACAAGTCACAGCACAGCAGGATGAGGAATTGAGGTTTGTTTCCAAAACGCCATCGAGTAGCTCATTGTACTTTGACTTCATAAAATCGTGAACCTGCAAATTATTACTTTTTTATTTATATGCACTAATTAGTAATACAAATGACGTGTTTGAAGGGCTGGTCCCACGCACCCAGGTCGCATAAGAGTGTTTTAAGAGCCATCACGCTTCTCAAGTGCAGGGCCAACAATAACTGGGGTCGGCGGCGTTGATGGCATCTTTTGCTTCCAAACTTTAGGCTGGTTACAAAAACGTTCACCCACCAGGATTCGAACCGGGATCTCCTGCGCCAAAGCACTTAGAGACTAGTTGCGCTGTACATCGATTTTAACATTCGATATTCGCTAATTTACTGACAAACCGAGAGGCACTTGTTTGTCCCCTAAGAATCCCTAACATAACGTTAGTCTTGTTCAAGACTATCTCATCTCATTATTGCCTAATATTGACTATGTCTCCAATTTCCTATAGATTCTCCTATTCTATTGATTCTCTTAGTGACTTTCCACATACGTATATGTAAATATACTGCGCAATTTACCGTATCGATTCCGTGCTCTTTAATTTTCACCAACAGATCTTGAAATGCTTCTTGGTATAAAGCAGACATCCACGGCTTGTTGAAAAAGTCGTAGAAATCATCTATTAGATTTAACTGCAACAATATTTCGCGTGATAACCCGTTAAATGTTTCATTGATAAGTGTAACACTCGCAAGTATAGACCATAATAAAAACTTAAGAATATTTGCTATACAGTATTTCGTTAGACATGCGGTTGGGTGTTAGGTACGAATCCTGGGAGATACAATAGTTTCATTTAAATAAAATACTTTAGCCGTGGTCACGGGGAAACAGTTTAACTAATATATCGCGTTTTAAACCGTTAAAGTGTTTTATTTAAATGTGTACTACTCGCGTAAACTTTAGACACAATAGTTTTAGTTAAGCAGGACGCAGAATCTTAGTCTTTTTTACTATTTACAACCGAATCAATAAAACAAACTGAAATATGTTTTGCACCATACCTATATAGGGGAAACGAGATTCGGTACTGAAATAATCAAATACAACCTACAATTTTATTTATTTATTAACAATTTAAGAGAAATTTTCAATCGGATAGTGAAATTTGTAAAATATATCTTTCAATTTGATACGAGCCATATTCAAATCAGCATTAGGTTCTGGTTTTGGTGCATCAGTTTTATTCAAAACTATTCTTTTAACTACATAAGGCCACCTACAAACGAACTTCTTAAGAACGCATTTTCTTATACTGTAATTCCTTGTATTATAAACAACAAAAAAACATTTTACTGGTGTAATATATATGAGAATACAAATGGTAGTACCTCAAACCTAGCCAACAAATTATTGAAATAAGATTCGTGTCTTCCGTACAGCAAGATGAATGTCTCCGAAGAAAATTTCTTCTTGGAGAGGCAGGTGATAGCTTCTATGGTGTGCAACGCGTTGATTTGGAGACGGAAGTAGTTCTCGTTCTTATCTGTTATCAGTGTGTGTCCCTACAGACAAGATTATTTTATGAATGCTAATCATCTATCTCGACACGCAGTAGCGTGTCAAGCCAAGTTCCAGCTAAAGAAACGGGCTAGCTAACGCCTAGCGTGTCACACACGTGTTATGACCCTTATATAACTTAAAATCTATTAAAATCAAATTAAACTTTAAGATCCATTTTTTTAATAACAGCAATTTTTGTACATATCCTCCAATAAAGCAAAAAAATAGCGTTTAATACTCGTTATATATACTTGAATTTTACATAGAACTTGGTATTTGAAAACTTTAATATTTTTACATGTTATTGCACATGAAGGCACTATATAATTTAAAAATCAAACATAAATTGAAAAAAAACGGACTCGGCAGCTCAATTCCTAGAGCACGGAACGCTGACTGACAATGCCGGTTCAAGTCCTACCCGAGTCGAAAAATTTCTAATTTATTTTCGATTTTTAAATTATATATAAACTTGGTACTCATTTAGATTTCCGTTCTTTTTACTGGGAAGCCCACAGCCGAGCATAATTTTTGTATAGAACTTGGGTCTCCGTTTTTACATTTATATTTTTGGCTGTACATTTACGTAAAGAAGTGAAACTAAAAAGGATATTAGCCCTTAGCTTTGACCACCCGGTAGAAAGGAAACTAAACGTATGAAATAAATATAAAACATGGTTAATTTCTCTTGTTAATCTATGTATGTTTTCTCGTCTGCAGATCACGAGGCCCCGGGTTCCTATTCTAGGTGGGGCGAATTGTTTGGAATTTAATATCTTTTATTATTAGGTTTAAAATACAAAATGGTTTAAAAACACCTTCATATCTGAGTTGTACCTGATGAGGAAGTACTAATTGCACTGCCATAGGTATTTCAGGGCCTGGTCTCCTTAGGATCAAGTAGTACAAAGGTCCTGGTAATGTCGCCGTTTGAGCCAACGGAGAATCGAACTTTGGGACTGGCTGCCAGCGTCTTAAAGAATATAATGAAACCTTCTATTGATTGATATCGATAATTAATATAAGACACAGATAAGATATATCCAAAGTATTAAATTAAAAAAAATTATACGTTGGGGATGTCACCTCCGATTAAGTGAAACTTTTATCTGTTCACGTCAATCATAAAAAATATAATATCGGCCATAAATGTTTTCCAGGAGTTGAAAACAGAGCTTTTTGTTTTATTAATAGATATTTATGTCAAATATAAATTGTATGTTTTACAAACACTTACCCTTTAATAGCACTCGCTGAAAGACGTATACCACTAGCGACACTTGCATGTGACTCTTTGAATCTAAACAAAGACAACACTTGCTTACATAACGTGTTTTAAATCTATAGGATTTATAATTGCGACAAAACAGATGGGACAAGAAATAAATCTATACTAATATTATAAACTTAAAAAGTTTGTTTGTTTGTTGGCACCCGCTCATCGAACTACTGCATCAAATTGAAAGATTATTTTTGTATTAGACTATTTATCAAGGAAGTCAATAAAATATTAGGCTGCGACTAATAGGAGAGAAAAACCAGTGGGAAATGTGGATCAAACGAGAGATTTTATTTTTATTGGGTGACCAATTGCGTGCCCTGCGGAAAAATATATTAACAAAGTCAATTTTTCTTTAATAATCTAAGTAAATGTCCGCAAAAAAAACGTTTATTACGCGTATTGTTGAAACTGTACATTACTATGTGTTATATCTCAGCCAGATAAAAGTTCCAAAAAACGAAAAATGGCTCTGAACTCTGAGAAAACACGTTCGTAAAGCACACGAGCTTAACTCAAAAGCGAGCGCCATATAGCAAAAATTGGATTTTACTTAATTATATGATCTTTATCTGGTGAAATCAACTAACGCAGATAAACTGGAACCGAAACTAGATCGTTGCATAACCTCCCCTGACGACGAATCTGTCTCATTGACGCCCGTCATAAACGGATCCAGTTTGCGAAGAAACATTCGCGCCATCTGTAATCAAGAGCACGGACTAAAATATACAAATTTTTAAACCATCTAATGAAGTCGAAAAATGTTTTTGTTTAGTCGTGTTTTGATTACTTCAAATGTGTTATTCAACATTTTTAAATTGTAAAAACATTAATAAATAAGTAAGATATTTATTTAAATAGACGCTTATTACAAAAAAAATATTTATTTAAGAGTCTCTGATAAAATTTATTATATTCTAAGATTAGAGGCGATTAAACAGAATTAAATGAAAAAAATATTATAATCAAATATTCGTTCCTATAATATACACAATATTCAATATGGACAATAATTCAGTTTTCTACCTAAAACATTTCTTTTCTACGTTAAAGTTTTTTATAATGACAAAATTACGAAAAAATATTCTCAAAAATAACATTTAGACTATCAATTTAATGTAATGAACACCAGCAATAAATATTTATAGTTATGTCATAATACCTTCCTGTCTAAGTGTATATTATAAAAAGGATTGTGTATTTTGGGTATATTATGTTGCAAAAATCTACTTTGGAAAAATGTTTCAATGATTGATACAAGAATTTGTATTTTGTGGCAATATTTGAAAAATTATCACATAGGCCCTGTGGCGCAACGGATAACGCGTCTGACTACGGATCAGAAGATTCCAGGTTCGAATCCTGGCAGGGTCGTCAACAAGCTTTTTTGTACTATAGTTAGTACAATTTATATTAATATTTAGTGTTTATTGTCACAAATATTGTTTTTTTTTTGTTCTGTAATAAGATGTTTTAGTTTGAAACATTGAATACTATATTGAATGATTATGTTACGAAATTCGTTTCATTTATTCTATAAGATTTAATTTCATTTAAAGAAAAGTGATGTCAAAAGTGTCTTGCGTCAACATAAGTTGCGGCACAGTTATGCTATGGCACTCATTTTTAGCAAAACCCAAATGTTTGTTTTTCAGACAGCCCTTATATAACTATTTGATATTTTTAAATAACAGTGACTTAAGCGGGAAATATTTTTAAATAATTAGTAACTAAATACTGTCTTTAGTTTTCGCGAGTAGTACACATTTTAATAAAAAACTTTTTAGGTTTTAAAAACCCTTTTTTTTTTTTTTTTTTTTTTTTAAATCCCCCCCCCCGTTTTTTTTTTTTTTTTCCCCCCCCGGCCCCGGGGGGCCCCCCCCCCCCTTTTTTTTTTTTTTTTTTTTTTTTTTTTTTTTTTCTAAAGTTTTTTTTTTTTAATAATTTTTGTCCATAGTGCTTAAACAGCTAAGGACGACGGGGTCTCCCCTTCCTCGGTCAGAAGGGACCTGGTTTACTTATATGCCAAACTTAACTTATTATTATTACGCTATCTATATCTACTATCTATCTACTTTATAGTAAATCTACGTTTTATAACTATTGCAATTATTATAGGCGTAAATGTAAACTTCTATCTGTCAACGTTTGATGTAGTAGTATAGAACAATGTGTTTATATTCACCGCTTCTCCCACATCCTCTGAAGTGTAATATTTATGCAATCTATTATTAGCGTAGAGCTTTCTAGAATAACGGACGCACGGTCCAGCCGCAAAAACGTGTGGATCGTTCGTATCGAAGTTGGGCCCAACCACCAAACCACCGTCATACACTAGACCACACTCGTTTATCGCTGAAAACGATGTTTCATGAAATTTTATCGTCGTGAAATCGTCTTGTTTATCACAAGTGGTTTCATAATCATTTTAATTCAAAAAGTTTATTTTAAAATCGTATATTAGCTTATTAATACTATATTCGTGTCTTATATTTAACATTTTGTTTAATAATAAAGCTGAAAACCAAAAGTACGATATTTCTACATTTATCTCAATGGCTCTTTTCTCGTTAAACTAAAAAGAACATCTCATTTAATTAAATTTAACATTCGACACTCGTTGCACGAATGTTAAATTTTACCAGATTACGAAACCGGGACCTCGCGAACCCAAATTTCATCAACCCCCACTCGTGGTCTAGCGCTGAAACTGCTCACACGAGTACCTTAGCATATGAGCATATACACAGCATATCAGCAAATGCCATACCTTTAAATGCGTAGACATCAATCGCTCTCAATCCATAGTAAAACAGAGCGAAACACGGCAAATGCAACGCGGTGAGCGGCGAAATAAGTCGAATAGTTTCCACTCGGTCATCCTTTTGCCACCAACCGTACAGATAAGTCCTTCTGTAGACTTGAATCTTCAACTTCTTCAGTGATAGCTGCACCCGCTCGTCGACCTTTAAGATTAAAAACCTTTTTGTAACACTTGTAGCGTTCAAAATGCGAAACATATTGTATGTTGTCCGTCTCCCCGCGGAGGGGGGCGGACGCATGCCTGTGTCCGTTTCAATAAACGGTTCTTTTACGAGTTGTTGATCAGACATCCTGCGTCCTGCCAGACCAAAATAGTCTATCGTTTCTTTGGAATTCGTCCTAGGACCTCTCGCGCTTAACGCAATGCTAGACAATAAGTTTAACCATTCGGTTATAGAGGCAACCTCCCTCTCACGCATCTTATCTATCTAAATATATCAGGTATAACTAAATTAAAATCAAAAGAGTTATAAATACTGTGTATAGTTTACGCGAGTGGTACACATTTAAATAAAGCACTTTAACGGTTTAAAACGCGATATATTAGTTGGAAATGATTTTTAACTTCGGCCCAACGTTTCGGATGCTTTGCAGCTTTTATAGAAGCTTAACTAATATATCGCGTTTTAAACCGTTAAAGTGTTTTATTTAAACAAAAGAGTTTTATTTTAAACTCGAAGTAAAGTTCGAGTTTAAAATTCCGGATCGTGAAATAGGTGTTATTTCACGATGCGGACTAAACTTCGTCTATGGTTATTGAAAAGCTTTTAAGGTCTATTAAGTTAGTTCTTAAGAGAACTAGAATACCTAAATGAGCTAGATGACATACTCGCCTTAAAAACTGTACTCTTTTCATTGAATCCCGCTTATATCATAAATTAAATTTGTCTTATTAACTTGAAATTAAGTGTATAATCAATAAAATGATTTAAAACTAAGACAAATAGTTAGGATAACATTAATGAAGAGTGAAGACATGGACTAAGTGCTTAATATTTTTTACGTGTATATAATGTCTTTATATAAATTAAAAATCGATTTTAGATTTTTTTTTAATTACGATAAGGGCAGAACTTTATCCACATACTCTAACCAATCGAGTTAACGTGTCTATTTAAGTACGATATCGAAATTCGAATATTAATATAGACATGGACTATCACTTACTTAGGTCTAAGTGGTAAAGACTAAGGAAATATACATATAATCACCGTTTCATTATTAAAGCAATTGACTCTCATCTTAGTATCATCTTCAGGTGGAAAAGGCTCCACAAAAGCTATTGTCCTCGCGCTTATACCGAGTTCCAAGAGAGCGGCAATACAACTGTACGCTTCTACACAGTCCCCGTAAACCACGATCTTGTTGTCTTCGCTCAAACAACTGTCAGAGTGCTCTAAAGTATTAAAAGATACAACTATTTTTCACGATATAAATGAAATATATTTCGCGTATCAATACAAACAATTTCTGAACATGTCTGGAAGTCTGGATATAAAATGGGTGGTAGAAATATCCAAATTCCGCCTGAGTCACGGGTCACCACCATCGACAGATGAAAAGTAAAGTTAGATTTAATCGCGTTTCCGCATTTAGCCTGTGTATTTCCGATTGTCTTAAGCCATAAGTCAAAAACACATCTTGTTTAGATGTTATATGGCTGGAACTATATATAACAACTACCATACTACACAGAAATCTTTTTCTAGTATTACGATAGAAAAAAATAATGTCTTAATAATTTAATCTACTCACTGCATGTACAAACAGAGAAAACAAACTAACTAGTCTCTTTTATCAGAGCCAAAAGTTTTCTAAGGCAGGAATTCGCTTCAAACAAGGAGTTGATCAGCATAACATTGTCAGGCAACTCCGGGGGCGGTGGGACCCTGTCCGGTTGGTATCGGATATCGTCCATAGGCAACCGATCGCAGAACTTCGACGCTCTTAAATAAAATAAACACAAACAAATTCAGAAAAGAATGAAAATTTATTGTAACCTTTAATACTGTCTGTAATTTACGCGAGTAGTACACATTTAAATAGAGCACTTTAACAGTTTCAAACGCAAAATATATTAGTTAAACTTCTTTGGAGTTTTTTTTTTATTTCTTTAAAGCAATTTTAATTTTAATTATGTAATATATGTACTAAAAGGCATCAGGACTCCGCTTGTGCTCAGCAAAGTCGGTCCCTTATCAAATAACTAATATTGTGAAATAAAATAATTGTAACTAAAACATTTCGCGTTTAATCATTAAAAGTGTTCTATTTTCACACTTATTTCTTAAAGAAAAATCCACATTTTACGTGTATTGTTGAGAATAATAATATTAAATATAAAAGCAAAATATATAATTGTTATTAATAGTTATTAATGCTCAATTTTTCAGGTAGCACAATGCACGCATAAGTCAAGCAGATTTTAATTATGCGAAGCATGAGGAATTTTTATACATACCTCTGCTTTGAGTAAAGCTCTTCTGGCTGCCCGTAAAAAATCATTTATTTATTTATATAACTTTATTATCTACAAACACCACAATTGAGACACAAAAATAAAAATCATCAATGACATAACTAAGTACATCAATGCCCTTACCACCACTTTCCCCCCATTCCACATCTTAACTTACTTCACATCTGTACCAGTATCAGTTGATTCCTTCAAGTAATCCGGATGCTGGAATTGCTGACCGCAGGCCAATACTAGCTCATCATAGAATTTTATGCCTCCATCTTTTAAGTGGATGCATTTCTTTTTTCTGAAAAAAATAATAATAATTTACTAGATATGCTCGCGGCTTTGTCCCCATGGAATAGTTATTTTAATCAAAATGTACTTTTGCAAACCCCATCTGTATACCGGTTTCCCACGACATCGTCCGCGACCCATCGTTCTGGCGAGGTAATCAAAAAGACATGTAATCGCGCGAACATTTTGGATCATTTAAAAAGGAAACTCTTTCATATATATATATAAGAAGCCCATAGTGATGATGAATAAGATTCCTTTTTTTTCACATTTTCCGCTGTTTTTTCGTTCCTATTAGTCACAGCGCGTGTTTTATAGCAACTTTCAATAATTTTTAATTAAGTATAAATTAATAACATTAGGTACTCGTTTGAAACCGCTAAAGGTATTTAATTTTATATTGCATTTCAATGGAACTAAATGCAATTATTACAGATTCAACAATTACCTATCAATTTTAGCCATAACTCCCGAGAGAACGTCCACATAGTAATAGAATGGCACACTCTTGATGTATCTATCTGTGAAGCGACCGTCTCTTGGCACACAGATCTCCGCTGCCTTCAGACAATCTGGCACAGTTGGTAGACCATGTTCAGATACCAGAGTTATGTTTGTAAAACTAAGGTATTGGGCGCTAGGTCTGGAAAAGGGATTATCGCATTAAATAGAACTACTTTAAACGAGGTAAAACGGGAATTATATTTGAGTATGTGTATACTCGCGTACTTTTATTTTATTTATACTCGTGTACACTACACATACAAATTATGTATGGATATCAATTTGCATCTTTGAGCCGTAAGTAGTTAGACTCGTTGCTAGACTCTAATTTTGGATTATAAATAGAATAGTTCGTATTATCTTATGTATATATTTTTCTACTACAAGAAATACCAGTCTTTACCAGGGTAAACACAACAACAGTAATGGAAAATTGGTAGTTAAAGCAATATTATGAACAATATTATCAGAAGGAACTTGTAATATATATTTATTTCCCGTCTTAATATTGCATAAGTATATATAGACTCTATAGAATGTGTTTTCTGTCCTAATATTGAATCTATTGTGAAATAATTAATTATTTAATACCAAATTTATAACTATATAGGCAAATTTATCATTCTATTTTAAACTATTTTTATATATTTTCGAGTTTTTAATATAATTTAACTTCCGATTTACCCCATAAAAAGTGATTCAATAAACGACAGTCCAGTTCGACTCGCTCCCACGACCACGATACTATTGTTAACGTAAACCTTGGGCATGCTTGTCAAAGGTCGCTCTAAAGTCCACAGGGCAAAAGGTGTGGACCTGAAACACAAAACTTCATGAAATTACTTAATTAGCGTTATAAGGCATAGGTAATGAGGACAAATTATGCACTTCAAAAGAATAAAGAGGTATGTATTGTCTGTAGTTCACGTAAGTTAAATAAAACACTTTTAACTGTTTAAAACGCGAAATATACCTGTCGCACCAGCCGTGGCCATGGGGATCTCTAAAACATCCAGAACAACAGGCCGTAGTTAAAATAAATTAAAAATAAGAGTTAATTAAAGTAAACTTAATATTTCGTGTATTAACCCGTTAAAAGTGTTTTATTTAAAACATTATGTAGTGTCAAGCTTTTTAAACAATACGAAGAAAAATATTTTTCTTCATTAATTTTACTGTTAAATGAGTAGAGAAATTATAAATATATAATTATCAATGACATATGATCATATATTATAATGTGTACAACTTCTTTGATAAAATTATAACTATTAATTTTGGGGCTAATTTAATTTAATTTCGATTACATCAATGTCATTTTGTTCCCGTTGTTAAGACGTCAAACTTGACAGTAAATTTTTGTATATACATATAATAATCTACAGATAAAAAACATATTCAAATTATTTTTAAAGATACTTACATAGGCCTAAAGATCACTTCAAGATCCTTATTTCCTTTGACAATGGGAAAGAACTGTCGAGGGGACACTGGTCGCATTTGACTCGACAAAGACATCAAATGTCTGCTTGGACTCTAAAAAGATAAAAATCTAAATACTATCTTTTAGTTTAACGGTTGAAACGTCGGAGACATCCTCCATCTTTAGTCTCCCCGTGACCACGGCTGCTGTAAAGCATGCAAAACGTCGGGCCGTAATGAAAAATTATTTTCAAATAATATATATCGCGTTTTAAACCGTTAAAGTGTCTTATTTAAAAGATAAGAATCTATAAAAGTGAAATCTCTCATAGTGAGGCATGGGGCGAACATATTTCTGTGTCCGTGTGTCTAGGCGACCGAAACACTTCCCAGTTTCCCCTGAGCTTAACGCACTAGGCAAAATTTTAACAATTGGTTATCCAAAACTCAACAAATTTAAACTTATATGAAATGTAAAATTGCAAAATAAAATGTCAATTTTCAACAGCAAATACAAATGTCACAATAATAATTTTAATACAATGCATCAATTCTAAGTTAAATTAATACGTATATGTTATGCCATAAACAAAGTAAAACAGCGCGAGAAAGTAAAGGCCCCTTGTGATATAGGACAGAAACAGTTTTGCGATCGTCTCACGAGTGATTTTATTTACTAAAACTATTAATGATCGCTTTAACCGATCGAAACATATATAAAACTAAATTCTCTAGCATTTAAGAACAACTTTTTTAATATTCTAGATTTAGTAGTACACTAAAAATAAATACCGCGTCGCCTTTAGCGAAAAGTCTGCAAGCGTAGAACAGCGTTGTATATCTCGTGTGCCTAATCAAATCCCGTAAATACCAACGTCCGTGAGGCTCCATCACTGGTGACATAATTCCAGCCAGAATCTAAAATGCAATAATGTACGTTAGCCGACTTATTTGATACAAGGCAACACTACTTCTTTGGCAGGAAAAGGCCATAGACTCGGTAGAACATGCTAGAACGAACAACAGATGTTTTATGCACTTGTTCAATAGAAGGGGCCATTTAAGATCTGAAAAAAATCTATTTTGATTTTAGATATTTGTAAATTCACTGATTAAAGTCGAACAGATCCACAAATTTTCCAGACAAGTTCCAGAGGAAATATATTAATTGAACTTAGACCTGGAGGGAACTACAGCACTACACATATATGAGTATAAATAATATTTGAAACTTGCCAGCAAGATGTTTTCCTATGTACGTAGTAACTTTAGAGGTAAAGATAAACCACGAAGGTATTACAAAATAAAAGCTTCAAAATTCAAATACATACCGCCGCGTCAGTTCCATATTTATAAGGTTCAGACTCTAATTCGTACTGGGCTCTTATGGTAGTTGTATCATCAAGAGGACTGCAAGATAAAATTGAAAAGAAAATCGAAAAAAAAAAAATAGCAAACTATTAAACAAAGAAGAAAAAATGGCACGGACTAAAACTAAAGCAACTCTATTTGGCTCATGACGGTTTCAATTTCCTTCTTAACCTAAGGCCATTTAAACAGTAGTAAATTAACACAGTAAATTAACTAACCCAAGTATCACCAAACCAATAGGTTGATTTTGACTGAGTAGGGCGAAAGAAGACAGCGTTTGGATTTCAAAACTATCATGAAACAGATCCAAGATCTCCTGCTTTCTGAGAGAGTTTTCTAGAACATCGCCCAAGCTTACTGCATCATATAGTTCTGCTGGCCGAACTCGGACATCTCTGAAAAGTGTAATGCATGTTTACGCAACTTCTATCAGGACCTACTTCCAAAATAAAAGTTCAGAGAAACGTAAGTCTCGTGGTGATGTGAGGTAAGTTATAATTTTCGAGTCTTTATAGTTATTTGAAACCTGGTGATATTTAAAAAAAGGTTTAAAGTTGCTTACCCCCCTGACAGAATTAATATGAGCGACATATAGCGTTTCATTGATAAACCTCATTCGATAATTAAACGGTGTTACAAGCTGAAAAGTAAGATAAAAAAATAAAATAAGCAGCTTAGTTTTATTGAACAGAGATGGATAGACCAAGCATGGCGTTCACTGTTGAGGGACGTTGAAAAACCCCATGTAACATCGAGAAAGATGTGCTGTCAGCCTATTTAGAAAGCAGTAGAAAGTAAACGCCATAACACCTTATGATTTCTCCGGACGGAATTACGATATTCCAGAATTGTAACATGTTACAATCATATCTAGGCCCCGTTAAATAGATTAGGCATATATTGCTACTACTGGACGTGCCAATTCGAAAGTAGATGGGCAGATAGAAGTACTAGTAACAATTAACACAACCAAATGAATTCACTACCGTAAAATGTTCCAACAAAGGAAAACACGTGTGGCTCGTTGGTAGACTGATGATACAGTAATCTCTATCAGGAAAAAGCTCGAACGCTACTTCCAGCATGTCGAAGGCATATCTTGGGAGAAAATTTTTAATGATTACATCAGTACACATAGAGTCCGAAAGATTAATGTTAGTGATGACAGCGAAGGTTCAAAATCTCATCACTTTGATTTAAGTTTTCATATTATCGTTACTTTTCTTTTTATTCTCGCATAAGGAAATCTCTAACAGCGCAATCAAAGTACCCCGAAAGGACATAGTGAAATAATTGTTCTGAAAAACTTCTTAGATGAAATTAGAAACAAAAAAACTGATAAATACCGTTCATCATAATCGTGGTGCATAGCAAATAATTCCAAAAGGAAGGCGTTTGAAGCGCCGTGATATCGAATCGGTCCTGGAGGCTTCGCAGGCGGTACAACAGGAAACTCGGCTAAAGAAACATATGGTTTCAGAATTGACTCAATTTGACTGGTTCGGAATATAGAGTTTTGTAAAACTTGCGAACACTAACCTCTTTGGATTATACAATTTAAAAAAAACGTTTTTTAAACATAATTGCTTTTAAATAAATCACTTTAACGGTTTAAAACGTAATATATTAGTTAAACTTATTTGGAAATGATTTTTAACTTCGGCCCGACGTTTCGGATGCTTTACAGCAGCCGTGGTCACGGGGGAGTTTAACTAATATATCGCGTTTTAAACCGTTAAAGTGTTTTATTTAAATGTGTACTACTCGCGTAAACTATAGACAGTACATAATTGCTTTTCTTTTATTATTAATTATAAATTAAAGTTTTGTATACATTAAAATTCTGTAACAGACAGAAAATATTGCTGGCACTGACCAAACTGCATCGAGGCTGTTTTTAATAATAATATATTATACTACAACTAAAACTCAGAACATAAACAGCATGAAATGTTGTAGTCGTGGATCCATGGTAGAGACCCGACCCAGACACTTCTTTGAACAAAAATATACTGTCGTCTTATAAAATATGACGTTTAATTTGTTTACTCACATGACTTCTTGCCTATATCCTTATCAAGATATTTGTTGTCATAGAATGACTCTGTACGACGTATTTTGGCTTTATCGTCTAATCTACAATGAAGGAAGTGTATTGTAAAATAATACTCAATACAATACATACTATCTTTGAGAAATTAAAATTTCTGGTGACTCATAAGGTAGAAAAGTACGCGTTACCACGGGACGCCACATTGAAGTAACGCATAACGTAACGAAGCGGTTCCTTCCCAAAAGAAATTCTCTAATAATACACACAGAATTATTTATATAATACCTTACCATTTAAATAAAACACTTACAACCTTAAAAAACGTGATATATATTAGTCAAATTAATTTGGAGATAGTTTTAACAACGTCCCGCTTCCCTATGACCGCGACTGCTGCGAAGCATCGCGTCGAGCCGTAGTCCAAATAAGTTTAACTAATATATATTGTGTTTTAAACCGTTCAAATGTTTTATTTAGATATGCTCGCGTGAACTACATACACAGTATGCCTTAGCTTGCATTTTTTGTCTATCTGTCGGACTGAATTTTATAACAGTCAGATGTTACCAATTATTTTAAATTACTTTTCATATCATCAAGTAACAAGTACCCATCACTAAGTTTATCGTAGAAGAACTTCGGAACTTTGATCAAGTCAGGTTCAATATTGACTATATCATATTCCATCTCGGGTGGTTCATCTTGGAAGAAGTTCAAGATCTCCATTTGCGAGTATTGACCAGGTTGAGAGGGGCGGGGCGGATGTATGTCTTGCTCTTTGAACTTTGTAAATTCGTCTTCATCGAAAATCCAAGTCACCTGGATTAATATTTAAATAAAACACTTTAACGGTTTAAAACGCGATATATTAGTTAAACTTATTTGAAAATGATTTTTAACTTCGGCCCGACGTTTCGGATGCTTTGCAGCAGCCGTGGTCAAGGGGAGACTGGTTTAAACTCTCGTTTTAAACGGTTAAAGTGTTTTATTGAAATGTTTACTACTCACGTAAACTACAGACAGTATTTAATGTTGTTTATGCTATAAACGTCTTTAAATTAATGTTCATAACAAACCCTTGACTTCGTCTCTCTCGAAGCAGCGCTGGTAAAAGAAGTTTCTTTTTGAGGTTCCTTTGCTTCTTCTAACAGGCTGAAATTATGATCAATCCTTAACCCATACGAAAATATATTAAATCAGTATTATAACAGCAGTACATTTATAACATAGTAAAGTAGAAGCCAAAAGCTTTTCATTTAAAAAAAACTCGTTGGAAATTTAATTTAATTAAGGATGATACTAGTGTAAAGATGTAGATAACGTCTATTGGTTTTTTGGTTTACATTTCTTAAAAAAATATATACAGAAATTTACGGCTGTTTTGCAAATCCACTTGGGCTCTTGAACCGTCGTGGAGTAGATGACACAACTACGAGATATTGCGCGTTCCAGTATGAAAGCATACCTTAAATTTGAAGTCTCCGGTACAAATTTCTCCTCCGACTGTACTATTTTATCCAACCGCTTCAAGCCAGCGAAGGGTGACAGATCAAAGCTTTCCTCCAGCTCTTCAAAGTTGATTTCGGTGTTCAGACACATCACGCCAACTGCAATTTCTTTATGCTGAAAAAAATATTATTGAATAAAAATGTGCTTATGAAATATTGCATGTGTTTTTTTCATTTAACTATAACTTATTACGTATATGTAGATACGTATTTTCAAAATATCCCCCCCTCCCCCCTCTTCATTAACGCGCACCACAAAGGCCTACTATAGCACCAAAAAATGAGTGGTATAAATTTGTTGTTAAATTGTACGGATACATTGAAATTAAAGCGAGAGGGTAAAAGGGTGAAAATCGACCTTAACGTACCAAGACGCTCTGTCTTAATTCTAAAACTCAAAATACAATTTAATTACCTCGCATACAAGCAAAGCTCTCTCCGATTCCGGATGTCTCGATATTAACTCACTGACATAAAAATCCCCATAAAGTTGCCTTAACCGTAAAGAATGTTGCTCTATGATAGGTACTATGTCGTCATTATCTTCTTCGCTGTGGGATCCGAAAACGAAAATAAATGTTGGCAAATGTTTCTCAGAATAATTTTCTATGTAGAAATAAAATGTTTAATAAAATAAGTTAACAATATATCTCGCGTTTTAAACCGTTAAAAAGTGATTTATTTAAAACGACTATACTTAAATTGTGTATTGTTGAATTATCATGCAAAATTATTTATATAATGAACTAAGACTAACACTGCTCTTCTGATCTTAAGTTTTGGGCTAACTTCACCCCTCTCGGCGATGAGCAAAGTGGGTAGTTGATCCCCGGGGATTCCCCTTTCCATAGCCTGTACCCGTCTAAACGAGGCTTCAGAACGGGACTGACCTGGCACTAATACTGTAACGATCAAAAATGTCTCTTATTTTACAGATTTCTTGTTTAGATATTTATTTAATGGCGATATATCACAGCCATGTTTTATCTAAAAATCGCTACCTACCCTACATTCGCTTTGCATATTTGAATATCCACTGACACGCGATTAAACTTCACAGATTTAACATATGTGGACGGTGGTTCGAATGGAATTTCGATATTTCTACAAGTTACTTAATATCCACATTTCAAGACGAAATATAAATTGATGAGAAAAATGTTGGACCCGTTGGGATAAACCCGGTAGCCGTTGATTATTATCTATACATTGCTACTGTGACGCCAACGAACCCGTCAAAAAAAGAGTGAGATAAAGTAACCATCGTACAGAAACAGTAGAAGTGATCGAACAGAAACAGTGAAGTCATCGTACAGAAGCAATATTTTTTTGGTTTCCCCGAGATAGATTCGAATCCCTCGCTCTAAACGCGATCTATAAAGCATCTTTACAAATACTGTGTTGTTTTCTCATTATGTAATTGCTAAAATAAACTTACAGGGGTGTTCAATTATAGTACGTATAACAGCAATATACTGCAAATAAGAATCGTGCATGAAGATACTCTTAAGCATATTATCCACTAGCTCCCGCGCATAGATCGGGTTCCAGCACAGGAGATGGATGAATAGGGTGTTTCTTGAATTCAATTCAATGGATCTGGGAAGACAAATAAGGAAGTGGTAGAGGACAGACACGCACGGGGTTTACTTCATGTTAGGCGAACCAGTCAAATAACATCGAAACAAGATACGCGGTCGATCTATTTTGGATTCGGATCATCTATAGATAATATCGCAACTCGATATTTATAATCTACATATGTATAGATAATCCATGCCTACTTTACAGCATTCTTGCTATCTTTCTTCTTTTATATAATTATTGCAATCACCATTAAAGAACGAAGAATGTAATTAAGACATGGAGAGTTCTTTATGGTGGGGCCTTAACATTGGTGGTCCGTCCGTGGACTCCCAATGTAAAGAGAATTAATAACACAGTATAGGTACTAATTCTAAAAAAGATCCCCTCCAAAGATATTGAATAAAATGTAGTCTGGTTCGTAGCAGTGAAACGGCTTAGTGACATTTTCAAAACAGTCTTACTTCTCGGCTGTTGATAAACAGAAGTACCATAATCATACTTAAATTTACTCCAAATGAAGTCCTCCCAAGCAGCAGGGTTCACTGACGGCTGCAGTGGGTGGTCCTTAACAGCCAGAAAGCCAACTATCGTGTCGTTTATATCGACTTGACAGATGGACAAAACACAATTCTCCCTAGAATGAGGAAAATAGTAACTTATATTTCTTTTAGATTAAAGATTATAGGTATAGAATTAAAATAAATAAATAGTAGCTAAAACTAGGGGCATATATGAAAATCTAAAAAAAATATTTTAACTACGGCCCGACGTTTTGGATGCATTGCGACAGCCGTGGTCACGGGGAGACTTGGGTTTAGTTGCTAACTTTCATATTTATTAATTCATAGAATTTGCCAAGCAAGTAATGTCTTACAGAAGGTGCATTATATCCGAAGTTCCATCTATACGAAAGTTTAATGACATAGACTCGTTCACCAATCCCAATATTGCTGGAACATCTTCGGGAACTGCTAATCTCACTCTGCCGAGTGGTAGAGCTCGAAATACTCTTGAAACCATGGTCCACAATGCAGTCAAGTCCAAAAAAAGAGTGTTCTATACTTACTGATAGAATTATTGATTTGACAAGCAATAATAACTCTGACAGTGGACTGTCATAAAAGTCATTTTTAAATATATTGAACCACTTTAAAAACTCAAATGCTAATTTCTAGATATTGAAATTATTTTATTTTATCGCGTAAAAAAAAGAAAGGTAAAAAAAACTAACTATACAGCGTAATACACAGTAGTGGACGGCGCAACAGCGAGTTCTTGCGCCAATGTCTCAGCCAATCAGAAGGCTGTATTCCTGCCGCTGCACAGGCGCTAGAAAAGTATATAAATATAATAATTTTTAAACCCTATTTTTAAACTTAAAATAACATTAATAGATTTTACTTCATGCGTTGAAGCATATAATTGTACATCTTTACGTTATTCTGACTGTTGGTAAATAAGGTTTGAAGATATTTATTTACTCGTAAGGATTACATTACGAAACGCACTTATAACGAAAATTTTCATAATTTCGATGTACCTCAGGCAATTTTATATAATAGCTTAAATAAAAGATTACAAGGCTTTAGTTACTGCTTGAAATCAATCAATCAATGACTCAGCAATTTCTTTTTAAACTTTTGGAACTTTGCTAGGCAGATTATTATATAAATGACATTCACTTATAAAATCTCATTGCTACGCCTACTACTGCAAGTAAACATACAATGTATATTACTGCCTAACTGTTGGTAAAAGCTACTTAACAAAATTAAACACATAAATAATTACTTAATGTATTTATTATCCTGAAATCCAAACTCGCTGAATTTAGAATTAAATTTAACTAAATCATAGTTTGTAAAAACACGGTCCGACGACGCTGAGCTAACTCCATTTGATACGCGACAGGCGCGGTCGATAAACTAAAATAATTTATTTTCAAACTAAGACTTATTATTAGCATCAAATAAATAGGATGACTTCATTGTGGATCTCTTTGGGCGAAACCTACGCTTGTCAAGTAATATTAAGAAATACCAATATTTTGCCAATCAAAGCGATATTTACATGTAAAAACCCATGACCCACGCTAAAAATTAGACTAATTATAAAAATAGTATTAACCGTTACGTCGAATATTCGAATAGACTTAAAATACATCGATTAATTCTATGAGAAAATAGTTTTGTATCGCTAAAAGCGGTAGGCGGACATAAACCGTAACTAAAGTTGCGACACAGTTTAATTCACACACATTAAATTATACATTTTAAATATAGGAGACGTACAGAACAAGAAAGCAAGTGGAGGTGCTATAATATTCTTTTAGATTCATCTACACCATTTATTATGCCAGGACATATCAATAACGCTATTGTAAAACATTCACCTCCATTTTGTTTCTGTTTCATATTGTATTTGCTAGCTAAACCCCATACCTAAGAAAAGCTGTAATATGGGACTAGAGGCAGAGTAGCCTAACTGCAACTTTATGACTTGAGCTATTTTTGTCCTCTTAGTCTAAAAATGTTAATCTACAAGAGCACAGTGACCGGAATTGTTAACATACGCAAATAATATAAATAAGTATAAATTCATTCTCACCTAAGTTCATCGCGCATTATTTTCCTCCTTATTGAAAATCATGGTTTTGTTTTTAGGCCACTCAGCCTCTAGCAGCCTCATATATAGCCTGATGCAATCGCAAAGGTAATCGAAAAGCTTATACAAACATAATTTTGTTTCCACAAAGCCTGAAGGTAGTTATACAAAAATATTTTTGAAATTGAATTACTATTTAATACCATTTTTATACAAGGAAATCATCGGTAACCATATATTCAGCGCTAAACTATCCGCGATAATACATCTATTATAGGTTAACCATTGAAACCCAATTTCACCAACTAATAATAACATTGATTAAAGTTAACCGACCGTTAACTGTCTGTGACTTTGATTTTTTTAATCAAAATCATTATTAGGATGAAACTGGCTTTCCATTGTGTAATTTAATGCATACCTTACCTAATTCTTAGTGTAAATGTATCAATGTAATCAGTAGTCCGTAATTCTAGGAAATATATCTATTTTCAAACGATTTTACTTCTCTACAGTGAGATATGTTATGTGTATAAAAATATCATAATTACATCTAAACATTCACACTGTAAGACTGAAATATACTTTCCCTAACTAAGCATAGTTAACTCATTTTATTCTTCATTACTATTTGAGTATCATTGATAAAGTTAATATCGAGTCTTAGTCTAGAAGCAGTGGACAAAATACTAAAACTGTAACTTTTGTAGACCTACACAATATTATTTACATCATTGAAACATACATATAGGCGAGTACAAGTTGTCTACGGAGCTATTACGTAAATGCGTACGTACACGCGCCCGTAAAGTACTTTATACCCCAGTCAAAATAGACATTCGACTACAGTATACGTCAAAATCATCATTATGAATAGAATGTCAAAGATCCTAGGTGATCCTACTACTGAAAAACAATATTCCAAGTCAAAAGTACAAAATTAAGGTAAGACGAAGTTGTACATTAAAAATCAATTTAGATTGGGAAAAACATTAACGACACGGCCGGGACTTGAATCGGAATCCACAACTATCTGTGCTGCTGCTCTAACCAATTGAGCTACCGTGTACGATTTTTAATTTATACAATGCCAAGATGTGAAAAATATCCAGAGACTTCCTCGTATACCATTTCATCTATCGCACTTATGTCTTTTGACTGGGCTACAAGTGATATCTTACAGCTAGTGTTCATAGATTGTATAAATGTTAGATTGAATACAAGAACATCCAATAATCCAACTAAAACAGTTTGTTACGCGTAAACCAAATGACCCAGCAAGTTTTGGTTGTTTATATACATAAATGTATAGCTAGTGCTATGTGAAAATTATTTATATAAAAAATTGTGATGGTCATAAATCATAATGTTATAGAAGTTATACACAAAGGTATAGGTCGCGGTACAGATTTTCAGCGCTGAACGAAGTATGGAGGGGATAGTTGCGCATCTGTACAATCCCGCAAGCAATTGATTGGAAAACGTGACTGTACTCGAGAAGCAAGCGGAGCGTCGTATTAGTCCGAGAAAGGCAAAACGACGGGAACCAATCATCGCTAGCGCACATGACGTTCATGCGCCCGCGCCCGCTTCCGTCCATTCGATACCTTCATTTTTAACTTCTGTGCAGGATTCGTTCAGCACTAAAGATCCGTGGCGCTACTTATCTAGCGGTTAATATAAGACATACATTTTAAATAAATCTGCTATTTTAGAATTGTACTAAATTTAATAGGGCGGCAGCGTTGCTAGGTTTTGTACTAGCTAATAAACACAAGTTATTTTCAACGCTCTGTAAACATTTTTTTATTACTAATAAACGTATGGACAGAAATAAATAGCAATATTTTCCAAAATCCAAACTACATTTGCGTGAAAGAGACAAAAGATTACTACTCTTATTGAAACAAAACTATGCATCTTAATATAAAATAGTGGGTATGACTATAAAATTAAATTTAAAGAGTCATTATCATATTAAAAAAGGGGGGCAAGATATATACAATTCAACTATAACCTAAAAACAGCTACAAAAATGTGGAAAATGAATTTTCGGCCGTAACTTAATCTACCTTAATCGATTAACTTAAATATGTCTGTATTTAAACACTATTATTTACAATAGAATTTGTCGTATAGTCGGTATACAAAATACACCTTTAGCGCTACTTTCCTTATAATAGATATACAATTTACAAGTCAATATAACTGCCATATTTTTGAATCAATGTAATCTACACCAAACGTAGGGAAATTAATTACACCAAGCATATTAGTTTGAATATCCTCGTTCAACATTCGTGAATTGAAATAATAGTATTAAAAATGGATCTATTAAATTACTATGGCTATCTTTAGTGTTAATAACACTATTTGTAATCTTATGAATAATACAGATATAAACTAAGGTCGGTTTGCAGTAAGGTTTTTGCATGTATGTCATATTAATTCTTTGCAAGGGCAGGAAACAATCTCAGGTCTTCAATAACTGGCGAGGCAATGTGTTGCTCATTTAAATAGCCCCTGAAAGTAATTGTTAAGTTTAACTACATCATAGGCGTAAACAAATGAGAATAGGATAAATATTTGTTGAAAAAATCATGTATAAAATTACATTTCAGCTGCCACTCTGTTTAATATTAAATTAACTTTTATATATCTCATGTAACATATGTGTCTTAGTTATTTTTAAATACGTAGCGACATCTAATCCGTATACTGAAAGGATTATATTCAGGAATCCACAGACTCAATGCGAAGTCTACTTTTATTATTGATTGCACTTAAGTAGTGTTAGAATTCGTAATACTTACATCACTTGGAAGTCTTCTGTTTGGGCGGGGTGGTAGGTGCTCCGCCCTGTTCAGCAGAGGCCCCGATAGACACGCCCTCACTGTCTACTTCGGTCTGAAAACCAAATATTGTTATGTTCGACGTTTTTCAAGATACATTCCACTAATAATTATAATTTTTATAAGAAATAAAATATCTTTAATTTGGAAAGTTTCGTCTTTCGAGCGTTTCGTCAGATGATGACGTCTTAAAATGATGCTTTAACTCAGCAAAGACTGAGGGTCCTATAATAAATTTTAATGTTTGAATCAGGATGACATTCTCAACAAAATCGTTTTGCCCATTAATAAAAAAGTATTGTACTGAATCTAGATTTTAGAGCCATACCTTCTCATCTTTACTGGCGGTGCCCTTAGGAGAACCACCAGTGCCATTGTTGGCATTGTTGCTTTCTTCATTGTTCTCTGCTGCGTCTGTGCCAGTCGTGCCTGTAATAAAAGAAACTATTTAAACACTGTCTATAGTTTACGCGAGTAGTACACATTTAAATAAAACACTTTGTACAAATAAGTTTAACTAATACATCGCTGGAACAACAATAGTTTTCTCAGTTTTTCTTTGCCTAGATGCCACTTTTAAGGGTGGGACATCACTAGCTACGAAACAGTGTCGTCGTCCCCATTTGTTACGTCATTCCGACTATGCATTTAGTTCACCAGTGTTTTCTGGCTAAAGCATATGATACTAAGATTAAATAGTAATATCATTTTGTCGGCCTAGTATGTGTATTGTGCAATGTACGGCTTATAATCAACGGGTTCGACGTTTTTCTAAACAATTAATAATTTTTCTGAAAGATGTTGGACTTTCCCTGGAAATCTGGATATTAAATGGAAGGTAGGAATCATGAAATTTCGTCTGGGTCACGAACCACCGTAGACAGATGAAATAGTCGTAAAGTTTAATCACGTTTCGGTTTCAGTCTGTGGATTTTCGAATATACAAAGGCGAAATAGGACGACAGCGCATCATATTTAGATGCTATAGGCTAGGGTAAATCACCTACCATCAAGTGAACCCCGTGCTTGTCTGTCCTCCTCTATTATAAAAAAAAATATTTACCAGCTTGTATATGGTTGGCGTTACCGCGGTCGGCCTCGTGTTCTCGCAACACCGCATCCAGGTTATACCGCCTCCGATACGAAATGAAGAATGTTCGGACATGCGCTTCCGTCTTTGTGCCTAACGTTTCGGCGATTGCTTGGAAATCCTTACCTGTTAACAAACAATCACGTAAGTATTGGCTGTAGTTTTATGGGAGTAGTACACATTTAAATAAAATACTCTTAAAGGCTTAAGTCGAGAGGTTTTCAAATTTTATTTCAACTACAGCCCGAAGTTTCAGATGGTTTCATATTTCGCGTTTTAAACCGTTAAAAGGGTTTTATATAAACAGTCACATACTTAATACTTTTTAGCCTTATATTCAGAAGACTGTGCTGTGTAGGACTCAATGTTTACAACATATACATAGGTAAAATATCAACATACAGAAAAATTTAAATACTTTAAGTTTGAAAACTTTATTATTTCTTACATGTTATTGCACATGAAGGCACTACATAATTTAAAAATCGAAAATAAATAAGATACTAAATGAGAGCAACAGCACGGAACGCTGACGATGCCGGTTCAAGTCCTGTCCGAGTCGAAAATTTCTTCTCGAAGAATTCTTCTCGCTCACGTCGGCCGAACAGCCCGAAAAACAATGATATGCTGAACGCCGTGAAAGCCTTACACAATTTACTTTTAGTTGTGTTTTGTTTTTCATCGCAAGTATAAATGAAGGATCCTAATATCACACAGATAATAAATATAAGATAAAACAACACTTATTTCTTATCGACATCTTATTGCCTTGCAACCCCAGACACTGTTTTCAATAGCCAGAATAGTATTTATATCTTAATGTGCTTACGAACAGTTGCGTCATTCTTATGAGTTGTAAGCTAACCGTTTGAAGAAACTAGTTCAAAAATATAAAAAAATGCCACGCTCGTTGGTTCCGTGGCTAAATAACAAGTAGTGAGTTTCCAGTATAACGTTTAACAGAATCCATTAAATTTTTTTTTGACATAACCTAACCTAACATAGGCACGAAAATCTAGATACTAAATGGAACGTCGCTTTTCATTCACTTTGGAGTATAAATCTGCGTTTCGAAATCTATAAATGTCCAAAACCAAAATAAGTCGACAACACATTGTGTAGATATATAGCTGGTCTATATATTAACTTTCATGCTTGTATGTTCTCCTGTCATTCAAATAGATTATGCGTGTTTAAAATATGTTAACTATCCACATTCTTATCAACACAGACGACGACTCCTTAACAATGCAACGGTGGACGCTTTTGTTCCCCGAAGGTTGCAAGGCATTGATTCGATAAAGTACGTGCATTAATGACAAATGATAAGAGGTGCAAGAAATATATATCTTTTCATCACATACATAGATTTATGCACTTTTCAATGTAGACTCGAATTAAATAAAACAATATTAACGGTTAAAAACGCGAAATACATTAGTTAACAGACACGTCGTCGCGACGATTTTATTCTAGTGTGTAAAATATTCGCGTAAAATAAGGATAACATTTTCATTCAATATTATATAACAGATTTAAGTTACTTTGCGAGTTATGAAAGTTTTCAGGGCACCCTATTGTTGTACCTAGCAAAATATCTCCAAATTTGGTAGAGACCACAAAAATAGAAAAAAAGACACAAATGCAAAGGGGCTTTTAAAAAGCGACTCAATCTCCATCTTTTTGTTTGAATGACTCCTTCCGTGTCACAAGAACCCTTCTTTGTTTTACACATCGTATTTTATAGCAATATAAAACCTAGGTATACTTATATATATTTTTAATATATATTTTATGTGGGCATTGTCATGTAAAAAAAAATGGTTTGAGGTTAAATTAAAAAAAGAATGAACAAAATAAACATACAGTAGCTTCGTGATGAAGAAACCAACGAATCCTAAATATGACATACCATATTTTCGTACAGCGGTGACCGCCATAAGTAATTCTTCGTTGGTCCAGCGAGAATTGATTTTGGCCGGCGGCTCTCCAGGCCTGTACTCTTCAACACCTGCATCTCCCACTTTACGTTTCATAGCGCTGAGCTGCTGCTTGTTCTGTTGCACCTAAAACACATTTATAATGAAACCTTCGCAAATAGGAGCGGTAAAGAGATGATAACTAAAGTCAGGAATAATCTAGACGCAAAGCGACGTTCAACACGATTTTGAGCAAGCAAAAACGTCTTGAAGGTCCACCGGAGTGCTTGGCAAGGTTGTGCATATCTGGATTATCCAAAACAACGACTGGTTCCTGGTCTACTACGCATGGAAGCGGGTTAAATGAAAGGCATGTGTGCAGAATACGAAACCTAGATCATGGTCGCGTTAAGAGGATGTAGCTATGTTAGCGCAAAATATTTGTCGTGTCGCGTCTTACTTGTCGCTTGAGTGATATAATTTCCCTGTCCATCGCTTTGAGCATTGCCTCGCCCTGGTTAACGAGTCCTGGTTGGGGCGCGTCCCCGGGTTGCGGGCCGGTCGCCATGGCAACGAGATCATCGTGATTGATGTATATGCCCCTCGGTAAGCGATGCTTGTAACGGACTTGTTTAGAACCGGGCCCGCGCCGCCCCGACGGCCCGCACAGCGGTCTCATAGTGCCCGTGCGTCTGTCACATCATCGACTATGTTCAGAAACTGTCTACTACCTCCCTCTTCACGTTGGACCGCTGTCCGACGTCGAGAACCGTATTACGTGCAAGAAACAGCAGGGCCGTAGGCAGAGTCCGTAACACCCTGGACCAACGGGATTGTATACTTTCCGTTCGACCCAATCCGTAAAACACAATATCCCTGGACTCATGGTAACACTGAGTCTAATTGTGGGATAAACCAAACAAAGAAATACTACAGCTTTCATTGAGTATTGAACACATAATTATGACAATGTGTTAGAAAAAAATTGACAATTATCTGTTAGTCAGCCACCATATATTGTTATCAAGACTTAATGATAATTCTTACATACGTAAAATTTCCTGTCTACGGCCGAGCTATTTACTGAATACGTCTATTCTAGTATTCTAGTTCGCTAAGAACTAAAGGTGTAGGTTGGTCTGCTGATATTGAAATTTCTATTCACGATTCAAATCCGAAAAGCTTTGATAGAGTTAAAATCGACGTTGGTTAACAAGACTCTCGCGAAGTGTGAAGATGCCCTAAAGCTAATGCTAAGTTCTGGACGTGGAATGGACCAGCTAGACCGAACGTGAAGAGGGATATAAACTTATAGATCATGCATTTAGGGGAACTCATAGAACGCCTCGACACGCGATCTCAATGACGAATACTTTCGATCTTTCGCAATCGAGATATATCGATGCGGTATATGTCCCAATTATGCAAAACTTGTATGCGAGGCGGGTTATGAGCAAAACTTGTTTTTAAATGTGTTTTACCGACCTGGCGTGCGCGAGGCATGCCTGGCAAAGTTTCTGCGAGTTGTGCGGCGTTGTCTGGGAGCACAGAATTCCGCACACAGTGCACCATTTGCCGGCACTGTCGCCACCGTCGCCCTAAACCCCAAAACACTTTACTCCTCATTCAACAGGCCCTCACATACTTCATTTAAAAACCCGTTAGGATCAAGTATTCCGCACACATTGGAGCATCCAAGGGGCCGTTAAAGGAAGCATGCGGGGGAGGAACGGGTAGGATGGAACATGCAATACATATATGTGGACTCAGCACCGATTATGCCAGACACCGTCTCAATGATTTGTTACGTGTTACAGGGGATGACTAGACAGTAGATAAAAATGCAGAGCAGTTAAAACTTAATGAAGCAGAATTGATAAGCGAATATAAAATTAATACAGTAATTGTTGCATTGGTTAGTTATTTGAACAAAGTCTTGTTACAATTGAATAAGTAATATTCTGATTTTGGGCCTAAGCTTAAAGCATATTTGTTCAAATATCTTGCGCGTGTACAATAACGGAAAGTAATGAGAAAATTATCGCCATGAGCCACAATGAGCTGAATGAAAACAAAATGGATGACTCGCTAACGCAATTCAGATTGCCGACAAACTTCTGTACGATAACATCGAATGAATGACGACACACCAATAAATAGATACAGTGTGATGGAAGAAGACATTAAAGCAGGGCTCGGAAACCGGTCACCTTTTTCCTAAGTCACTTTTAACCGGAATGGAGCAGCAACTGTTTCCCGAAAAATTAACCGGTTAACTTATAGTTCTATCTACTTCATAAAAATTATAGTTCTATTTTAGGTAAAATTGTTTGTGTACAAAATTTAGCAAGGTCTGTCAGTTATTCTATAAAACCGTAGAATTAACTACTGTCTATAGTTTACGCGAGTAGTACACGTTTAAATAAAACACTTTAACGGTTTAAAACGCGATATATTAGTTAAACTTATTTGAAACGTCGAGCCGAAGTTAAAAATCATTTTCAAATAAGTTTAACTAATATAACGTGTTTTAAGCCGTTAAAGTGTTTTATTTAAACCGTAGAATTATTCAAATAACAGTGCTATTTTTAACACAATTTGAACGTTACATTTTAGTGCAGTTCATTTGAACAATAATTAATTTTTGCTAAGGGCGCATATGAACTATACATATTTTTTATTGCGACTGACAGTAGTTAGTCACTTGGTGCATATGGGCCCCTTATGTATATTTAACCGGTTCCGAGCCCACTATAGAACATCGATTGCTTTGTGGGGAAGCACCCACCTCGGCTTGCCCGGTGCGTAGCGAAGGCCCGCCAGGCGGTAGCTTGTTTCCGCGGACAATACCGCGATGGTAAGTCCACTTCTGTTGTCGCCAATACAAATTGTATACATATTACATAACAACTAAATATTGTATAACCTCATATATGCAGAGTTTTGGTATAAATTCACTGGCTTAAATGGATAACCTAATAAAAAATTTCAAAAAACCGACATCGGGTACTTAAGCTTTTATGCGAAATGGTTACTTTCTACCTTGTAGCTCTAGCTGGGTCTACTCTGCATTTCTATATACTAAATGGAAGTGTTAAACTAAGTAAAGTATATTGGACAATCCAGATACACAGATCAAATAATGTTTCACATGTACTTTGTAAAACTTAGGATGATTAGAGCTCACATCTATGAAGTATTACATTTACAGGACAAATAATAGACAATAGCTTTGAGAATTTCATTAAGTTAGTAATCGTAAACATTTTTAAGTTCTTTCCACAATGTTCATGCCCTTTATATATTTGATATCAATTGTATAGATCCTCTTTGTTCTAATAAAATAAAATATTAATTCCTAAAAAGTGGCAACCCTAAAGTCACCAACAGTCAGCCATTTTGTTATTAAGTTACATGCCATAGTCAACATAACATTACCTATTATACAATTAATTACTAATAATGTATTACCTTATGTGAGCGTATAAATCATCATACGTTTTGACAATGTAAAGAAATGTCTAACAAAAAACAGGGAAAGGCAAGCATGATGAAATACATACCTTTTCATCATTATCTGATTCCTTGTCAGAGCCGCCAGGTTCAGAGCCGGCTGATGAATCTTTCTTGGCAGTACCTGATGCAGTTGCATTACGACCATCACTGACCACATCCATAAGGGAAGTTGTAGCTCTCGTTTTCTTCCAGGAGTAATAATATTTGACCAGAGATGCTATGGATTTATCTGGCAGCTGAGAAAGAATTCTAATAAAAATCTGGGAGTGATCAAATTTGCAATTTTTTTATAGACTATACCAAAACCCTCTCTCTATACATGTTTAATTTAGTTGTATATAGATTGTTATATTCTACTTTGGTAAATCTCACATTTTGCATATACTTAACAAGGATTAAAATATATTTTTTTTAAATGCTTATATCAACCCATAAAAAAAACAGCATACAATGGAGTCTGGACATATTTTAGAAGCATAATTGCTAAAGAATAGACATTTTTGGGCTGCCTTAGTAGACATAAGGATAATTCCAAGACATTTTAACCTGAAGTATGCACTAAAAGACAAATAGTATAGGACAAAGAAGTAGTTTTAGTATTAGATGAAAATGATAAATCCATTTAAAAAAATCTACAAACCATTTGACGTATCCTGTGAAAGCTCTTGCCGTGGAACTGGAATGCCTGTTCAAACAACACCTTATCTTCGACCGTCCACTCATCGGGGAATGGTGTGAAGTTTGCCAAGTCCATGGACGCCCGGTTGAGATCATGTTTGTGCCAAAAAAGCATACCCAAAGCTTGTTCACCATTATATCCATATTTTTCCTTTGCTGTTGTTATGTACTCATCCACTACAAAAATATTAATTTATGATCCATAATAATCAATACATTACAGATCAAAAATACTCCTTTACTTAAAATTTGACAAATAGATTTCAAGGGACTTACATTTAGTATCAGATATATCAGCCGTAGGTGACCAAACAAGTAGTGCTCTTTCTGCTAGCGCATCTGGCTTTCTGGTTTCCTCTGGAACCAACTCTGGGCAAATCGCCTGATAGTCGCGACCGACTCTTATTTTCTCGGCTGCAAATGGCACTACTGCTTGGTTTTGTTTAAGGTAGGTTGATGAGATGAAGCGCAGCATGAAGGCGAATGATGGAAGCAGAAAAATAAAGCATGATATGACATGGCCGCAATAAGTGGCGAGGGTTAATCAAAGCTGATCACTGTGGAGTCTCAGTTAATAGTGAACTCAGGGCTAACACTCTTTTGTCATGCATGATGAGAATAGACATTCTTTGATACTTTGCCTAAATAATAACATTAGCGTACCGTTTTCATCCTCTGAACTTGAATCAGGACTTCCATGCCCATTTGGGCTTGGGCCTCTCGAACGCTTCCCGTTACGAACATCGTTACTTCTTTCAGCTAACACCATGTTTGTCACGTACAACACTTAATATCACAGATTACACCTAATTATTGCACAATAAAATAGAGGTTTCCCTTGCTTATTGTTTTAAGGAAAACCCAGTCACTTATTTTGAGAAAAAGGAAGCTTCGCACTTAAATTTCAAACGTGATTCAAACCACCGCATCAATACTTTGACAAACCAGCTGCAGATACAATGGGTCATTTAATGGCGTCTGTAACTTGCGCATTCACTTTTAATTTTACGTATTATAAAATTCCATCACCAACATGGAAATATTTTATAAGGAATATAAAAAATAATAATTTAGCTATTATTCAGTCAATATTAAAGGATTTAGAAATTATAAAACCATTAGAATATTTATTTAATGAAGGCAACATTAAATACTACAGACGGTTAAAAATCACCTGAAAGACACCTATTACTTTAAATACTCAGTTTTTGTTTCATCGTGATGAAGTAATTATACTTCATACCAATTTATCGATACATATTTATGTTTTATTTAGTAATTTAAGATAAGCTAGTAATTTTTCAACGAGCTTTGAAACCTTTTACACAATATTGTCACGATATTCATAGTTTTTGTTTTGCACTACAAGATGGCGTGACATTTTGTGATTAGAAATTTGTATTTGGCGGGTACTCTTATTCAATTTCCAAAATCTGCATTTTGTAAAGTTTCAACCAGCCCGTAAATAGATCGAAAATTTTGAATGTGAACAACTTCTTTATATTATTGAATTTATGATTGGACAATTTACATTGATAAAAACCTTTTTACATAGTATATCACATATTTGCATCACCTTTTTGCCTTTATAGCGAGCTATACTAGCTGTGCCCGCAACTTCGTCCGCGTGGAATAGTGACTTGGGGTAGATTTTTTAATCTTTTAGGCTGTTTATTAATTTATGTAAGGGCGCATTTAAGGCAGCCAATCTATGCTGTAAGTGCTACTTTGCCGCAACACTCACCTCACATCACTCCTACTCTAACTCCCGCTCTCATTCCTACTCACTTCCACTATCACACCCACTCCCACGCCTTCTCCCACTCCAACTCCTGTTCCCAAAAAGCCAAAGAAGAAAGTTTCATTGTTCTATTTTCAAAAACCACGAATTTCTATATAACTTTTCACCCCCCCCCCCCCCCCTTTTAACCTCTAAAAACCTATAAAATGTAGCCTATGTTCTTTCTCAAGGTTAAGACCATCTGTATACCAAATTTCATTGAAATCCGTTCAGTAGTTTTGGCGTGAAAGAGTAAAAGATATCAGAAAGACAGAGTTACTTTCGCATTTATAATATTAGTAAGGATTTACCTGTAACATAACAATTATTACAAGAAACATAATAAAATTACAAGCAGAGTTTCTTTTCTTCATTGTAATAGATTTACTGTCAGCAACGAAATATTTTTAATAAAATTACCATTAACATTAATGAAATTTTTTGTGATTATTCTAAAAATATTTTTTTTTTATACACGAAAGTTAAACCTTAGAGGCTTAGAATGACTATTATAGTTATAATTCCATTAAGCTAATATTATAGTTATTTACTGTTTTCGTAAAAAATGATACATTATTATGTCATAAACAAAATTTTTATACTTTTTAAATTTCGTTTAAATGTTAAAAATGCAACAACATATATTTATTCTTTTTAAGTGTTGTTTAAAAATATAACTTAACACCTAATATCAACTATCATTTGTCAGTTGTCAAACTATAAAAAATCGATTTTTTAAATGACTTTTGAAAAGTATGACGTTTCTTTGTCATTGCGAATGTGCAAGTAAAAAATCTTATTTATGTCTCCATTTTATTAAATGAAATTAAATTACAAATCGCAATAGAAAACGAAAATGCTGCTCCAATTCTTTAAACTTCTAGACAATGTCAGAACCATATAATAAAAAGAATCGTTCAGTTTAAATACAAATAACAAAGTTATGGTGCTGTCGTGAAAACCGCATTGGCAGGTCGTTTTGTTTAGCACAAAATAGTATAAATAATGTTATGTAACGTGTGAATATTTGTTGGAAGGCAGATTAAATTGGTGAAAATGCGTACAGTGGCTCTAATCAGTGGTGGGAAGGATAGCTGTTATAACATGATGCAATGTGTTGGCGCCGGCCACACCATTGTTGCACTGGCCAACCTCCAACCGCTGTTTAAAGGTTAATCCTTAATCACTTAATGTCATCTTTACAAAGTCCTATACAAAACTATACAATGTAAATGTACTGTACTTAATCATATTTATGATTGAAGTAAACATCTGTGTTTCTATCTCAGTAAACAGCTGCTGATAACTGATTAATACTGTCTAAGAGTAAATAATCCTTAGTAGTACATATTCTGTATATTGAGAATTTTTAAATATTTATTGTCGTTTAAGAAATTTATTTCTAAAGAAAAAGTGTTTATGATAAGATAAACCTATTGAGTTGCTTGTGTATAAGTTCAAGAAGTAAAACATTCCTAAGTTGACTATAAATTTAGAAATATATATAATATGCTGTGTTATACTAAGATATTAATTACAGATGAATTGGACAGCTATATGTACCAAACAGTAGGCCATCAAGGTATTGAGCTGTATGCTGAAGCAATGGGGTTGCCACTTTACAGAGAAGCTATATCAGGTATTGCTGTAGATCAGGGAAGAAACTATAAGCCTACGGATAATGATGAAGTAGAAGATCTTTTTAGGCTGTTATCTAGAATAAAGGTTTGTCTTGCCACTTATAGCTTACTCTTAAAGATTTAGTTCATAATATTGTTGTAATTTATTATATATGAATTTTATGTACATATTCACCTAACATTGATTTTTAGAACGAGTTGTATATTGAGGCGGTTTCCTGCGGAGCGATACTCTCCGATTACCAAAGAGTTAGAGTAGAGAATGTGTAAGTGACAATTATAAAAAAATATTTCATAGTTAAATTAATAACTATAATATTTGAATTAAAAATCAATTTAGTTTGAAATGTATTATAATATGGATGGGACTAAAATTTATTCAATCTGAATAGTTTTTTAATTTATATAAAAGATACAATAACATGTGAAAAAATATTAAAATTTTCAGAATTTTGTTTGGTAAAGTTAATCCCTAAATTATTTTTGGTTTATACTACTACTGGATTAAAGTTCAAAATTATTACCTAATTATATTTTTCAAATTAGTGGAGAGAGGCTACAAGTCTGTTTAATTTTTAGATGTCAAAGACTTGGTTTAGTATCTCTTGCTTATTTATGGAGAAGGAATCAAAAAGAGTTATTACAAGAGATGATATCTAGCGGTGTAGAAGCTATCATTATAAAGGTTTGTTGTCGCCAAAACAAAATTAAAATAATTCTGATTACAGTCGCAAATATCAAACAAAATATGACAAGCAATAAATATTATATTCATAGAACATTAATATATTTGATCTACTTGTATCAGGTCTGTTTTCAACATATGCTATCTTTATATGCCACATTTAATATCTGTTCTTCATTTCACTCTATTAGGGGCAATAGGGTTAGTTGTTACTAGATTTTTTTCCCATTTGATTGAATACTGTTGTAGAGATATATTTTAACACATCACATCACCCTGTTTAATATATCATGTTAATGCAAGAAGCATTTATTTATATAGTATGCTTGAGTACAGTATATAAAACTCATCAGTGATACTTTGTAGGTTGCCGCTTTAGGTCTTGACCCAAGAGTGCATTTGGGGATGACACTGAAAGACATTCAACCTCATCTTCTACTAATGCAAGAGAAGTATGGCCTCAATGTGTGTGGGGAAGGAGGAGAATACGAAACATTTACATTGGACTGCCCCTTATTTAAAGAGCGTCTGGTCATGTTAGTGTTGTGATTCAGTTATTATTTTTAAGCCTTGTTTTAAGCATTACAATTTGTTAAAAAGGAAAATGTATTTAACCATGTATTAAATTGAATTAACTACAACACTATCAAAGTATTTTTTTATGATACTATTTAAAAATGTTTGCAGTGACGATAAAGAACTAGTGATTCACACAGATGATGCTGTTGCTGCTGTGGGATATTTAAATCTTAAGTTGCACTTGGAACCCAAACCAGATTTTGATGGAACCGTCAAGCTACCTCCTGCTGTCAAAAACTCATTTGACTTCAAAGATTTGAGTGATGCCGTCTTCAGTGATATTAGTGATATAGAGGAATCTGAACTTGAATCTATAGAGAAATTAAAGATTGAAGAAGAGAAAAAGCAAATGGAATTGAATCCGCTCATAAGTTACGAGGGGAAAGCAGATGTTCTAACCGATGATGTTGAAGCTAATGAAGAAACTGATGATGGGTATTATTATGAAGAGGAGCCAGACGAAACCTGCAAGTTGCCAGTAATAGACCATAGATCTATATGTGGCAATAGGCATGGGTGGTTCTTTATTGGTGGCATTGTTGGCGAAGGCATCGACACTGCTCGGGCCACCGATGACGCCATTAATAAATTAATTAGTAGGTAAACTTGTTTAGGAGCTTTTTATTCTTGTTTTCGTTGCTTAGTTACGTAAATGGTTTCCCTTTCTTTGTGACTATGTTGTTTTTTAAATTCCAAAAAATATGATATATTTTGTCTTTGCTTTCCATTTTGAATTTTAAGTCCGTACAGATACGACTTTCTAGCGTATTTCTAGCGCTTTCTGGAATGTTAGTACAGGTTTAGACCTACCTATAAACTGTACCATTTCAGATTTGCTTCATTCCAAAGATCTACGGCTTGAAGATGTATGTTCGGTGAACATTTATATGCGTGATATGGAACAATACGCCGCGCTTAACTCAGTGTATGTGAAAGCTTTTAGTTTCCCCAACCCACCTACTAGAGTCTGCGTACAATGTCCACTTCCCAAGGATGTTGGACTCATAATGGATGCGGTAAGTATTACACTGAAGCCTAGTTAAGTGGGACCTGTATAAATGAGAATTATTGAGAATTGCAATAAGGTAAGGTACCGGTTCTTTTTCATCAAAGTACCTCTGTTAAAGGAACTCTTGGAACTAGTTAAATCAGTTTTGGCTTCGACTTTTTCAATGCTTGCCTCTATAATTGAGACTATAGCTCAATTACCTGTATAAGTGAGACAAATTAATCAGGTTTTAACATGTTATTACATGTTTGTTTAACATTGCCACATTTTGCGTATCCTTTGTCAGTGCTATCTTAGGATTATGAATTAAAAACAAAAAAATAAAAGGTTTCGTTATCAAGACATGTCATTGAGACGTCTATAATTTTAAACCTGCTTAATTGGAAACTCTTAATGCTCGGTACATATGTCCTGGTCCAGTGAAATTCTTAGTTTTGGGGCCACGAATTATTATAAAAGTGCAAAATTTTGCCAATTTTTTTCGCCTGCGCCTGGGATTTATTTCTAACTGTTTTATGGTTTTTATAGGTTGCATATAAAATATCAGCTGGGAACAATGCAGAAGGTGAAGGGAACAACTCAAAGGAACGGGTCACGATGCATGTTCAAGGAATTTCGCATTGGGCCCCAGCTAACATTGGACCGTATAGCCAGGCCGTTAAGGTGAATTTTTGAGACTTTACGGTGTTTTAATAAGCTCAAGAATTTTTTTTTGTCATTAATTTATAGTGTGTAGTAGCTAAATCTTAAATTTATATTTGAGTTTCCTCTTTATTAACCTGAAAGTCGTTATTTCTGGCTGTCACTTTAGAGTGTTATCTGTGGGGCATCAATGAAAATCAGTGCTGTATTAAATCTGTTGCAGCAACAGCTGAGTGATATCCTTTCGCGGCAAAGTCTTCTATCATCAACTATTTTTTGTATGTGCGCTTTGGTGTGGAATAAATTATTTGAATTTGAACCTACGTAATTCTCTATTGACGTCATGCAGCGATGAATAATATAAATACTATTTTAGTCATAATTAAGAGTTATATGAGATACCATTGACTCTACATATTTTGTTGACAGTTTTATTTTTCTTCTTATAGATCGGCGAGGTTGTCGGAACGTGCGGACAAATAGCTCTTGTTCCGGGCACGATGAAGTTAGTCGAGGGCGGTGCGCGCGCGCAGTGTGCACTAGCCCTTAGACACCTCACACGCGTGTTGCGGGCGGCACATCCACGCGCACATATACGCAGTGTAGTGCAGGTATAAAAAAAAATATTAGGGAACTGGTATTAAATTTAACTTATAGGTGTCCAAAAGTGTACCTATTCTAACTAGACAAAAGACCACAACAAATATGGCTGATTACAAATCATAGAGAACTAGTGATGACCTTTTATAGAGTGTACTTGTTGCCACAGACGATATAGGAATAGAGAATTATCGGTTATATATGGACCAAACGACATCAAAATTCAAAATCATGAATATGAAAAAATTATGACGACCTTTTTTTAACTTTTTAAGTCATTATTATTTAAGTCGACGTTTGTAACGCTTTTTTGCGATCATGGATGAGTGGGAATTCTACTTTCTATTGTCGTTAACTTTGCTAATATTCCATCCTTTTGTAAATTACAAAACAAGAAGAATTTTAATCTGTCCGCTTACGTTATTTAGTTTAGTTTAGTTTTTTTTTTATAATTTTAGAATGAAATTGTGGTTTTTACTAAGTGAACTTGAGGTACTTCATTAGTTTAATACATGATTCAGTGCCCCAAAGTGTTTTTAGTGTAAATCAATGTAAACCTAGTAAAAACATGGGGATTTCATGAAAAAATACTGTATTGCTAGAAAATAAATATTAGTTTTTATTGTGTCTTCTAGAGCGTCTGCTACGTACGAGCGAAAGGTGGGCGAGGCGGTGCAAGGGAAGCGAGACGTCAGTTGGAACGACGCACGGCGGGTGCGATGGTGCAATGCGCAGTGGTGGACGCTCTACCGCGTGGGGCCACGCTGGAGTGGCATGCGTGGGCGCATACAGACAACAACCGATTCGACTGTATGTACCATCTAATTTACCCGTATGTTTGTCTTGTTGTAGATGTCAAAATACGTATAAGTAAAGGATTAACTGCTACGGTCTCTTCTCCTTTATTCTCTTGACACAGAAGTCGTGATCGTCGTGTACAACTGTGAGAAGATGCTGACCGTATTCGAAAACTATATAACTTTTCAATGTTTTGCTTGTATATTCACGATGTGTTTTAAAAAGTTTTTTTTTTATACTTAAATAAAAAATCGATTTAGATGAAAAATTTAATGACACGGGCGATACTTAAATCGCCCGTGTCATTAAATTGGTTAGAATAATAGCACGGAACGCTAGTTTAAGTCCCGCTAATAACGTTTTTTTTTTTCAATCTAAATAGAATTTTTATTTATACAAATATTATCTTTTTCAAAATCTTATATGTACTTATTTTACAAAATTTGTTCATATCGAAAGCGAGCTTTAATACTTCAAATCACCCTCAGATGAGGAGACAGGATGCAACGTGGGAGAATATAAGGTGGCTATAACTCGGCGATGGAACTATGAGAACACGGTCGCCGCTATTGTATGTTACGTCGCAACAGGTAACTTATAAATTTATTTTATATCTAGCTTTATGTTAGTTTAATAAATAATGTGAATTGCAAATTTTTTAAATAAATAGTAATTGACGATTAGCCCCACCTATTTTCATTTTATTCAGTATTATAAACGTAGTCAAATTCATTAGTGCGCGGCTTATGTTGCTCTTGTTTATCATCTGCCCTCTGGAATACATATCTGGCCATTATAGTAGAAATTCGAAGGGCTTATTGGTGTAATAGTAGCAATGGTTATAATCAATCAATCGATCGATCCCCACTGAGTCCAACGTATTTCTTAGTATTTTATAATTTTTCTGAAACATGTTAAAGAATGCCTAAAAAGCTCGATATTAATACGTGGTAAAAATGTCGAATATATCACCGTCCACAGATGAATGAAGTTTAAGCCGTTCGCGTTTTGGTTTCAGCCTGTGGATTTCCGAATATCCAAAGCAGGTCGATAGCGCATCTGTTTAGATATTATATGGCTGGGGTATTTTACCTCCCATCGAGTGAACCCATGCTTGGCTCTCCTCCACTATCATAAAAAAATCATACTCGCATAGACAATAGCCTGGAAAAGAGATCTGACATCTCTTTCTCTGTCACGTTTTTCTATTATCTCAGGATCATCACCATCCACCTGCCAACTGTGGTTTCCGGACGAAGCGACCTGTCAGTCCCATCGCGATTTGGCCGCGACCATGTCTAGGGAGGAGCTGGACGCAGTACTGGAATATGCGCTCAAGAAACTGCTCAATGACTGTCAACAACGCGACACGGACCCGGCGCTGAGTGTTAGGATATTCTATCAGGTGTGTAAATATGAGGAATAATTACTTAATTTGTAAAATAAGTTACTTAAATTGGTGTGGTTCTAATTAAAACTAAGTTTAAATCATAAAACAAAAAGTGCTAAGAAAACGGGTTACGACGTTAATCAATATTAAAACGATAAAAACGCTTGAAGATTGGAGGAACCTTGCTCCAACAAGATAAGAGACGTAGTACGTAAGCTCTGTAAAATAGAACTTGGCGATAGTAGTGACGCGGTAAATTAAACTAAAACAGTTCTTATTTAGATTATTTTAGAATTTAATAAAAAATAATAGAACTAGTTAGACGTTAGAAGTATACCTAGTTTTACCTTCGTGAATAAATGTTTTTTTATTATTATTTTTATAATTAAATCACATGACTCAATGACTTAAAGGTAGGTGCACATATAGAAATATATGCCGACACACATATTTTTATCTATTTTAACGTCGCCTCGATACGTTAAAAAGATGTGTTTCTAAACTTAAATAAAATATTGCATATCATAAAATCTGTTCACAAATTATAATTCCAAAACCTGACGCGTAAAAAAATGTTTTTTTTTATATCTAATTTCCTATGTTACGTATCAGGTGTGGAGCGCCCCGCCCCTGGCGTTGATGGTCGAAGCGATGTCGTCAGCGGCGCAAAGGGTGGGGGCGCGCGTCTCGCTGACGGGAGTTCCCGTGCTGGCGCTGCACAACGCGTTCTCATTTCTCTCCATCAGCGGTTTGCGCTTTGACGAGTGAACAGTGGCCGCGGTATACTTTACTAAACTATTTATTTATTCAAGAAAGACACAAAACAGAAACACTAATTTATGTGTACAAGTAAGCTAAAACAAACATTGATCTTTAATGGATTAATAATGAAACACAAACAATAAAATAACAAAATTTAAAAAATGTCATAGAGGATTAGAAACTTTTGCGTGTTGAGTAAAACAATTTTAGATAGAAGTAGGATTAGATCTAAGCAATATCCAAAGCCAAAATAGCCAAAATTAGATATTATATGGCCGGTATTTCACCATCCATCAAGTGAATCCCACGCTGGTCTGTCCTCCTCTATCATAAAAAGGAAGATATGAAGTCTATAAAGATTAGAATTGGAGCTGAGTATTAATAACATGGCGTAAAAATGGTAGAGAATTATATTGAAATTTCTACCATTACATTGTAACAAAAGGTTGTAGTTTCTTTCATAATAGATTACATAGACATAATGCGATATATTTCTCCACAGGTTACCACGCCCCGAAAGAAACCAGAAAATGAACGCAGATGCTTTATCGCCGTTGTAATATATTTGCTGAATATTTTCAGTGTTTATAAGATTTTGTTAATTATGCTACCGAGTTTACTGTATTTAAGTCGAAAATATATAAATTATTTTTATTGCACGCCGCCGCATTCACTCCACCGACTCCTTGCGAAATGAAACGAGAAATGTTCAAATTAAATTTACTTTATTTTTTACAAAATTGACCGAACAGTGCGAGATTTCTAGAACGTTTACACTTGCATTAATTAGACATAAACTTTAATTATTTCCTCTTACAAGTAAGTCTTAATTCACCTGTGTCGATAAAGCAACGAAGTGGCGAGCTCCCGCCGGCCGTTCATCGTATAAAGGATACATGATTCAATGAAATAATTTGTGGACATAACTCTTCGTCACTAAACTATGATTAATATTAACGAAAAAGCAACTAAAACTAAACATGATACAGTTACACTTAAACGGTATTAGACGTTATCTGATATATATTCTAATACAATGTATAATACATTGGGGATTGCACGCAGCAGTGGTTTTGGGGACAGCTAAGTACAGAGAGAAGTCGCCAGCGGTGCGTACCGAGTCAATTGGCCCGGCCCTGCGGCCCCCACTATTTAGGCGAATATAAATACTTTTCAACATAATAAAATCTGATTCAACTTTACATCTATATACGGGCCGATCCGCCAGGGCGGGCTTTAAAGGTAGCCTATGTTTTGTACTTCGGAATAAAGACAAAGTGCTCACTCAGAAACTTAGACGATATACAGATCTTTGAGAGTGACGAAAAAATAACTTATGCGTTCCGACTGCCGTATGCCTATGGGGTAAAGCACTTTATCTTATAAAAGTAAAGAAAACACTGATCGAGCGAGCGCACTATCGCAAGGAACCCCTTTAATCTACATAAAATTAAATCGTTAAAATCTATATATGACCAACAGTTCACTTAACATTAATTGAGTACTTGAGTGGGATCAATTTTGATAGATCAACAGTATAAAACAATAAATTCCGTAAACAAATCACAGTGTCCAAGTGTAGCGGCCAACTTATCGATTCGCGAATAAATTACACACGAGTTATATAAAATCGGCTAAATGATTGTATACAGATGTATCCACAACGTATAATAACTAAAATAAATAGCTTAATGATGTTTAAGAATACTCTACGCGTAACCTATTTCCGTACAATCGAAAACAAATGCGCACTGTCACGTCTATCATTTTTGTAATTCCATTTCACAAAACAAATGCTTCCGAAGGCAGATTTACGAGTCTATACAATTCGCGGAAGTGTTACAGTTCCGCGGCGAACGTTAAAAAACTATTAATATTAAAAATAGTATGATTGCCCAGCTACCCATATAGTGAAGTTAGTATTAAATTACTGTACATATATGTTAGTGATCGTCCACTACGCCTAACCGCGTCGCGTCTACGCCCGCCGGGGTCGCGGGTGCGGCCTCTCCGATACGCCTAACATAGCCTACGGTTAAAGAGTTATATTAATCAGATTTATGCAACAGTTTACCTTACCGTATTACCGAAGCGAATAAGATACTACGACACCTAAGTATAATACAATTGTCCGTCACTATACACGGGACGAGGGGCCGATTCACAGGGGGCGCGGCCGTCGCTAGGTTTCGGTGGCGCGGCCGTCGCGGTTCAGTCGCCGTCGTCCGGGAGGGGGTCGACGGCATCGTGGTCGACGTCGTCGCCCTCGTCGGAGTCGTCATCGGGCCTGTCCGCAGGCTCGGACTCCTTTTGGCTTTTGCACTTCTGCATGTACTGGCGGTGCGCGTATTTGTTGAAGCGGCGCTTGGCCATGAAGAGCGTGGCGATGGTGCGAGGGGCGAGACGGACGGCGGCCGCGCGGGACGTGATCCCGCCGCGGCGGCACTCGCCGCACGTGTAGTCCAGCACGTTGAGCCGGCTCACGGTCTGCTTAACGCAATCTGGAAGGCAGCGAGAGCTTCGCTCTTTACACGCGGTTGTGGCGGTGTCTAGCGTTGATCTTGGACTATGCAGACTTTGTCTTATATTTTTCATTTCGTTGTTCGACAAATAGCGTAGGGAAAAGTTACTGTAGTCTGGAAATTGTCTTGTAACGACTACATTTTGCCTAAAGTAGCTTAGAGTGGCCAGGAACGATATATATTGTATTTAAAACAACGAAGCGAGGTAGTGAGCATTCATACATAATTAAAACTTTAACTATTACAAAAGTTTTTTTTTTCTCAAATCCAACTTTCTTATAGTCAGTACCTTATCCCACTTCTAAGTTTTAAAAAGTCGTCTAGTAACACGTTATAATAATCCCCTAATGAGACACGAACAACAAAATCCTACTCATATCAAAGTACGTCTAATTGTTTCTGCCAAGCAAGATCAACGTCTCACACCGCCTCCAGACAAACACACACAGATACACTTGAAATAGCGTCGTCTTAGCACGAGCCGAATATTCATTTTTATCATGCGTCCACTTACACGTGTCTAAACACATCTAACACAGACTGAAGCGTCCTAATTTAATTGGTCTATCATTTGGTCGTGAAGGTATAATGACTATGAGATCGAGACATATAAAGCGATGTAACCAAAGTGAAACTTTTAGCAGCCATGCGCATACACAATCAAAGCATCAAACGTGCGAATACAATTTTATTAAAATTGGATTCGTCCTTTTGAGTAGTTCTGTGTTACAGTTGTAATAGTTAGAACATGCTAATTATAAATCGAGCAATATGTAATACAATCGGTGAGGTTTATATCGTGCATACAAAGCTAGTAGTAGTTTTTCTGCTTTTACCATAAATCGTTTTGAAACATGATTTATGTCGGACGATAAGCACTTACGTCTCGTCAAAATTTCTTTCTCAACTCTGTTCATAAATTTCTTGTAACGAAGATAATTTAATAGTATTTTCCAGATCTCTGCCATACAAATAAAATGTCACGACGTTGATATTCACAGTATAGTCAAAACAGCTCAATCACAAGTAGTAGTAGGTGTATATCAGCGATAAAGTAAAGTCCAGTTCACGGTACCAATTAAGCATACAAACAAACGCAAACATATCTAGTAGCTGTTTTGACGGCAGCATTTATTATCTTTTGTAATAGTGGTAAAGCAGCAGCATGCTACAGCGCCGAACGAGCAGTGGTTAGCCATGCCTCGTGCAAGGGTGAAGCGTATGCGGTCTAGTTTCGGTGTCGTACCTTGATGCAGTTGCCTATCGCAGAGCTTACAAATGACGAGCTGCATGGTCCCCTTAGGCCCGATGAAGGAGCGATCACAGAGAGGGCAGTAGCGCCCGATGCGGTACGCTCTATCGTACGTACACGTACACGCACACACATACGGACCACACACGTACGCGCAACACCGGAACAAAAACACGCCATTAGTATAACGCGCGCACACTCGGTTACTTTCCTTTGGGGTGATTGGGTGTGATGCATGGGTCAAGCGTTATAGTGTTTTCGGTATAGGACGATATGGTGAGCGAGATGGAAACATTGATAGTAGAAGGAAAATTAATAGAGAAAAATAGAATATTGAGCCAATAATCACTGATCGACAAATAATCTATGACGGCGACACCATTAGATTTTAAATAAGATTTATTCACAGTGAAATAATAAGGACTAAATAAACTACGGAACAAATATTTTTTTAAAATTAATTTTTAATTTTTTTTTTGTTAATACTCTGTGTACTTCATATTGTAGGTACACGTGTCACCCATATCATCCCACATTAAAAATACTATAAATCATGCTAATCAACAAAATGTTTAGACGGACAAAGAATGTAAAAAAAAGTCTTTTAGACAAGAGACTGTATACAATATAATAGTCTATGAAGTGTGCTTCAGTCGTACTCTGAAATCCGAGTGCAGTAAAAAGAGATATTACCAATAGAACGAATAAAAAATGAATTTAGCTCCAAAGGAAAGTAACGAAGTGAAGTTAGTTAGCGTTATGGACACTTATGATGAACGCCCGTGTTAGTGAAATGAACACAACTGTTGATGAATTTTCGCCGAATTGAGATCCATTGATGATCAAAGTTTTTGAATAGTCCAATCCTTGAATAACTATTTCGAATTACCACATATAGTTTCAAGTTTAACCGATATTTCTTAAATAGCACCCTAGTCTACTGTGGAAGATATCAGCAAACAGGCCTAATACAATATGGGAGAAAATGATATAAATTATGGTCAAAAGATGAGTAAGCATGCAACTTATTCAATAGAGTCTTGTTCTACTAAATAAATACTCCATTAGCAACCGAAATATTGAATATGAAAAATGGTACACGAATTAACATAATAACCTTATCTGAAATAGGTTATGTTTTTTGTTAAATCATAGAAAGATCGATAATATGAGTGCCATAATAACATTTTATTATATTTTCTATAATATGTAATCCCAGTATTATTTAGTAGAATCAGAACGGCGTAGGAGTGTGCTTCAACGCTTCGGATCCAAATGCGGGGGTAATAATGCTAGTGACGTAATCATCCATTAAAGGTGATCGCACACTTGCAACACGCGCCGATTGCACCGCATTTTGGCCACCCTCGTGAAAAATGCAGTGCGTTCGGCGCTACATAAGCAACAAATCTGCGTTCACCTTTAAGCGAATGTCGGAGTGAGATTCATAACAGCCTGTGTTAGTCAACATCGAACACGCAATGAAATGACACAAATGACTACCAAGACCAGTTAAACACATAAATCATTTGAATGATTTAAAACAAAATTTTGTACTTTTAACATCCGCGTTCCTCGTAACTTCGACGGTAACGCAATGGGTTCAACTTTTCGGGTGGGCCCCCTTGCCTCTACTTGGAAACAATTATATAGATTAGAATTGCGACTTCACTCGCCTATATGTGCGAATATATGCGGAATAGAGAACCCACATAACACTTTAATGTTAATAAAGAGTTAGGACAGAAATCTGTGCTTTGGCCTATGTACAAATTATGCTTAGTAAAGAAACAAGGATATACAATACTAAGTAGCCCCCAAGAGACCCGAAATTAACAAAACATCTACAATACATTTTCGACTACAGCCGTAAACTCAATAGTTAGCTTAAACTACCCTCAAAAATAAGCTTTAGATTTCGCGTAATTTGGGCACTTAAAAGGCAGGTAGTTGAGAATGGTATCTAGCCAGTACGTAAAACAAATCAAATGTATTGACTTAATAGATAAGGATAGTGTTTAAAATTCGATACAGACCTGGCGCAGGGCGTGCAGAGCGAGTGAGAGTAGACCTTGTGACCCCCAGGGCCCCGTTTCGTGTGGTGGTGCCAATGGGGCCCTCCGGGCTGCGTCACCGAACCTTGGGGCCCCAAAGCGGCGGAGGTGGACGGCTCGCCCGGGTTCGGGGGTCCGCTGGGCGATCGCGCGCCGCACGACTTGCATATCGCGCATTCTACGCAATGCCATCGACCTGCAAATTGAAATAAATAATAAGACTACAAGGGGGGGGGTTTACTATTACTACTATGTTATTATTCAAACACCGGAAGACACTAGCTGCCCACGTACCTAGAGTGGGGGCTAGTGCTTATTTTGAACTAATACCCAAGGTTTGATGCTTTACAGAAATCAATACAGACATGATATAGTTAAAATACTGTAACGCTGTTTAAGAAAACCTTTTTAAACATTATTAGAACATTTTATGTTTTCTGCTTTTATTTCTTTCCCTATTGTATTCTTGGTCCATATGATCTCTTTTATTTGTACTATCTTTACATGAACAAAAATAACATAAGCCACTTTAGGTTTTCGTGATGACTTCGTTATTGTCTATGCACACGCGGGACACATGCACATTTTTTTTTATTTATTAAATAATTTAAACATTTGTGATTTCATGGATATATTCATGTTTCAAGTATAAAATCCTATGTTTAGGTATATCTTATATAGGATTTTTAACTACTCACCATCAGGCACCTTATCGAGTCCAACACAGTAGATATGGTGACCGCGGTCGCAGAGATCGCAGAACAGCATCTTGTCGTCATCAGCCGGTCTGCCGCACGAGCAGCAAGTCTTGCACTCGGCGCACTGCCAGGGGTACTCGCGGCATTTGCGGATCGTGTCCGGGGAGAGGTCCACGCAGCCTGGATGTACTGTATCAACGAGAAAATGAATAAGCTTAACATACAGATTGATATTAAAAGTGACCACCATTTAATATCTAGGTATAAAACTCTTATTTAAAATTATCAACATCAACGTCGTTTCTCTATAAATTCAGCACTCAACGGTTTACTATTTATATAAGTTAACAACGGCTCGAGGTTTTTCCTGTGACAATGACGGTAACAAAGCATTGTCAAAATGCCGTCCTTAATTAAAATAAATTAAAAAGTTAACACATTAGGCGTAAAACATTTGTATATTTCAAATGTTATTGCACATGATGGCATTATATGTATTGACACAGTAGCTCAAATCGTTGGAGCAGCAGAACGGAACACTGTTGGCGGTTCAAGTACCGCAAACACCCATTCCCCATACAAAAAAAAAAACAAAGTTTCTTTATGGGAAATTGGTGAAAAGGTCACCCAAGGATGTGGATCGCCCGGCCTTATCGGTCAAAAGAAAATCACAATCAAATTCTCTATAAACTTACATTTGGCGTTGCATGTGGCGCAAACGAGGAACCGCTCATGCGTGGTCTTGCGGTTCGCTTCAAGCCGAAGCTTGCACGTGCGACACGTGTCCACCACCTCTTCGGGGGCTGAGCTAAACCCGGCTCCGGTCACGTCGGTCACACTGCTACGCTTCACTTTAGTTAGCTTTTTACGCTGGAAGGAAAAACATGAATAAAAAAATAGATTTACTTCTATGAGGCCGCTAGAGGCAGAGTAGCCTAAATGTAATTTTATGACTTAACTTATTATTTTAATGTTACTTTTGGTTTTTTTTTTTTATTCTAGTGACTAACATATACTAATATATATGTACTAAATAAGCCAAACTATACCCCAATTATGTCTATGCTATCTCAATTATTCCTTTCCCTTTCGATTTCCATTAAATAAAGATATGAATTATTAATATTATTTTGTATTATTTTTTTAACTACTATTTTTTTAATCTTACATACTTCAAATTATTACTAAATTACTGATTAGATTCAAAAATGGACCGATAGTCTCATTAATAAATTATATTTATATCAAAATAACTATTATTTATATCAATACTGAGGAGTTATAACTTTTTATTAAGGTTTGTTACTTTTTCTTTGTTACTGTATCTGCCCACAATTAATCTTGGGACTGTTTCTGATGATTTCAACATTTAATGAAAATAGTAAGGTTAAAAGTAAATAAGACTAAAAACCACCTTCTGATGCCGGTGCGTGTCATCGCTGTCTGATGAAGAGGCATTGGAACCCCATTCACCATCAGACTCGGAGCTGGACGCCACCGGAGAAGGCGGCACAGGCGGTGCGGCCACGACAGTGTTGAGAGGGAAATATCTATAACGGGACAAAATACCATACTTCAATATAATATTATCTTTAGTTTTTCTTTGGTTTTGGCAATCTTTACTGTAATAATTATGGAAATGAAAATATATTCGGTACTAACCGTAATTGTTCAGAGGAGTGCACCCTATACGAGTGCTGGTATTGTCCCGGGAGCAGAGCGTGAGGGTAGAACCCATGGGGCGGAGCCACCCGAATAGGCACGTTACTCGGCACGGGCGTCCGCCGACGTTGTATCGTCAAACTTTGCAGATCTACACAGGCCGGCCGCCGCAACGCATTCAAACGGGCGTTGAATTCGCTGACCGCTGCTATAGCGGCTGCAGCCATGTCCTGGTAATGCAGAACCGATATGAATCAGTAAGACGCCGAAAGGTTAACACTATGTTCTTATAGTCAGGCAGGGCCCACATCTCTTTTTTTACAGTAAATAAAATCAAACAGTATTGGATAGAAAATAAAAAAGTGTCGGCCCCATACCCCACGAGGAGAAACGGAATTTCACACACACTAATAGCAATACATGAACTAAGGAATATAAACAAATGTTTATTTGTTTTTTAGTGAATATATCGACTTAGGACAAATAAGACTCAAAAATTTATCAATAAGATGATATTTTTCATATTAACAGCATTCAAAAAAAATTTAAATGTCACTGGAAATGACTGAAATCTAGGAATTGAATACAAATTTATTCCATTCCGAAGCCTTTTAGCAAAAGTAAATAATGTTGTTTCAAAAACTTTACTACACCAATGTGAATTGTATGTTTAATTATGGAAATCCTTGTGTACAATTTCTAGGAATTTGTTTATAATTATAATAATGAATTGGAAAAAAAAAACTGTCTCTAATAAAAAAACGTTGTTAAAATAAGTATAATAATTTTAATTAAGTAAGTTTAGATAAGGCATTCAGGTAACAATCGTGTCGTAAATTCTACATTTAGAAGAACGTTTGCCTAAACAATACCTTGGATAAAGCTTATCACCAGATATTGCTTAGAATATAATTATTATGTGTAGGATTTCAAGGAAATCTAATATAATTTATTTTACACCTTTCTAAGGAACTGTAGACTATGACAGATTTCTTACATTTACTTATATTGAAGGTTTTTATTTTTTATTAAATTATTTTTTTTTTTATAAAAAAATCTAATTAAAAATTTGATTTTTTTAATATTATTTCTTTATTTATATTTTTTACCCGAAAAAAATATTTATCTTTAATTTTTTAATAATAACGAAATAATTACTTCATTAAATATTTTTTTTATTATAAATAAAAGCGTATTTGTACTCTATTTAGACATTAGAAAATTAAACAATTAATAATGTTATTATTGGTAGTACAAATTCAATACATCAGAAAACTGAAGCCAACATACCTGTCTTGTCTTCACGGGATCGATCTTGGGCAGCTCCGGTTTGCTATCCATCTGTTTCGCTTCCATCTTCATCTCTACTTTGGTCTCCAGTTTACTGTCTTCGGCTACGCTATCCGGTTCGGAGAGTTGCTTCTCTCGTTGATACGATCTGTACTCTTCGTACTTATGAGGGTAGTCTGACAGCATTATGTCGAGAACTTCACTAGCGTCGACGGCTGTTATGCCTATAATATTAAAATATTATGTATATGTCGTTTTAACATTATGTCGGGTTATTAGATCCATCATTTACAATGAATATAGTATATATTTAAAAATCTTGCCACTTTAACGGTTTAAAACGCGATATATTAGTTAAACGTATTTGAAAGTGTTTTTTAAATTCGGCCCGACGTTTCAAATTTAAATGTGTACTACTCGCGTAAAATATAGACAGTATTTACATGTAAAAATGTAAAAAAACGGGTATCCCGCCTCCTCTTTTAGGGCATGGTAAAACATAACTCTTGTAACGTTTATGTAAAACACTTTTGACTGTTTTAAAACGCGAAAATATTAATTAAATTAATATAACGTTTTACGTTGGTAGCTTCGTAACCACGATTCCTGAAAAGCATCGGAAACGTCGGGCCGTAGTATTAAGTAAGTAATATATTTCGTGTATAATACTATGTTATATTATTGAGATACTCTTTACGTAAAATAAAGGAATGTTTTTAACGTGTTATAGTTTATTTAATGCACTGAAATAAACTATTTTCAAGGCGGATACAGCAAAAGCATATATATAGAAAGGTATATCAGTATCTTAAAAAAAAATAGGTATGTTTCCAGTGTTGTACTTATGAAGAGCCATCGTTAAAATACATGATCATTAATCGTAATTTTTTATGATAGAGGAGAATAGACAATCATTGTTCACTTGATGGAAGGTGAACGGTTATCGACCATAGCATCTAAACAAAATGCGCTGTTTGTATTTTGGTTTTCAATTCAGAGGCCCACAGACGGAAACCGAAACGCAATTAAACCTTATCATCTATGGTCGATAGGTTCGTGATAAGGGCGGAATTTAAATCTTCCAAATAAATTGAATACTATGGCTCACCTAGATCACATAGGGCTTCTGTGACGATTCCTTTGCTCAAAACATAGTCCCGTTCTTCAGCAGAGATCGCTCGCCGCTTCAGCTCTGGGTAACGACGCTTGAAGCTCTTAACGCCAAGGAACATAGCCACTTGTTCTTGTATCATCATCACCTGCAACAGAAATTAATTCTTATTTACTTATACTTGCTTATTAATTTATTACTTTTATTAAATAAAACGACAATTAGTCTTTTCCATCTGTTGATGGTAGATTGTGACACAGACGGAATTCCGATTTTACAACCACTTATTTAACATTAAGATTTCCAGGCGAAGTCTAGCGTGTTTTTGGAAAATCATAAATGTATTTAAGAAACATGTTTTACCTGGTGGGAGTCGAACCCAAGCTGTCTGTTGATTATTAGCAATATATAAAATTAGACCAACGGTCCCGTCGAAATATGAATTTCAAGATTTGTCAAAAGTTTCAGGGCCTGTTAATTTATATTATATCCATCGATGCTTACTATAATTTCTCATCGGTTCTCCACTACAATCTAGGTAAAGATAATTAAGCATGTAACTTACCTGATGCTCTGCAGCATCTCTGTTCTCGGGTGGAGGCCACGTATATTCTTTAACATCTGACGCTGACCACACTTTGTTGCTGCAAAGAAATGTGAGAAAATTTACTTTTAGCTCTTTACATGGTTAAAACTATTCTAAATACTCTATTAAACATGAGGTTGATATACATGCACTTCAAATGAGTGATATAATAAAATAAACAACTTTTAAATGTTACTGTTTAAAACGCGTAATATATTAGTAAAACTTATTTGAATCGTTTTAACTACGTCCCGACGTTTCGGTTGCTTTGCAGCAGCCGTGGTCACGGGGAGACTAAAAATGGAGAATGTCTCTAATGTCAAAGTAAAAACTGCTACGCTAGCACCATCAGTTTCAAACCGTAAAAGTGTTTTTTTTTAATTACTCTCGTAAACTGCACAGTATTTAGTTACTTCACTTCTTAATAAAACTGTTAAACAGTTGAAAGAAAACAAATTTAGGTATAAAAGAAAAATATAATAACTAACCTGTCAAAAAGATCCGCGAATTTCGACTTCTTAGTTTTGCTGCTTTCATTCGTTGAGCTTTTAACAGAGCTTTGAGAGTCTTCGTCTAGTAAATGGGCAGGCCTGAAATTACATTACATAGATAAGATGCTTTTAAGTTATGAGTGTCGATTCTCCGCACAGCTTAGTGGTTGAATGGCTTTGAATACCTTGCGTTTAAAACCCTTTTTTTATGGGGTCCTGGATTCATATACTGGGAAAACAGTAAACCATTTCGGTTCACGGACGATGAACAGTGAAATACCCTAGCCACATAACATCTAAACAAGATGCACTGTCAACAATTTTCGCTTAGGATATTCAGAAATCCAAAATGAAATGTAAACGCAATTAAACTTCACGGCTTCATTTTGGTGCGTGACCCGGCCGGAACTTCGATATCCCTACCGCGCATTCAACATGCAGATTTCCAGACAACCAACATGTTTCAGAAAAAATATAAATTTATTAGAAACATTTGGAATCTGATGGGGATCTAATCCACTTCTTGATTATTAGCCATACATCGCTAACTTGAGACTAAGAACCCATCCAAAACAATTCACCTAGCCAGACCAAATATTTCCGGTAATTTGTTCTAAATTTTTAGAAACATAAATATGACTTGCCTTCTCACTTTAAAGTAGCTACAAGTCTGACAAACTTGGTTCATAATGTCTAGTTATCGTAAGCAATTTTCATATTTACTCACTTAGCAGGTGTGGCGTTATCGTCCATCATGCATGTCTCCTCTTCGAATAACTGCACTGTGGTCGTGGCGGGTCCGCAGACACGCCCGTATATACCCATTGTTTCCTAAAAACAATAACAATAACAAATCAATGTATTACATATATGTGTAGATCTTACAAATATGAAATTCCGTCCCAGGAATTTGGCAGCAGCGTAGCAACGTGTTCTTAAGGCCGCTCGAACAAATCTAATATGTTTTTCGAAGATTTAGAATCAATGACATCTCGCGCTTAACGCTATGCGTTTAAGCACTAAGGCAAATAAACAAAATAAATTGAAGAAATAACGGGTAAATTAAACGTATATAATCTTTAATAATCGATTTGTATACAATAACACACCAACCTTCATATACATCGCTCCTCTTCCGCCGCCTCTCCCCCGACCCCTTCCCCTCGGCGTTCTAGGAGAAGCTCTCCCTCGACCCCCGCGGCTACCACGCCCACCACGACTGCCCCGCCCACCGCGATACTCGCCCAATACCTCCGGCGACTTCGCGAATGGATTTTCCATCCTTGGCAAGGATGTGTCAAGCACCTTCAATTCCGGATTATCCGTACTAAAGAAGGGCATATCGCTGGTGGACGTAGAAGACGTTCTTCGCCTACTGGAAAGTGGTGTCCCACAAGTGGACGGCATTTTGTCCAGGGCCTCCGTCATCCGTGGCAGTTTAATTCTAGAACTAGTTGGGTCGATCTCATCCGACTTTTGTTCGGATAGGAAAAAGCTATTGGCCGCGTCTACTATTGGTTCTGGTTCGTTAGTTGGTGCCGGGTCTGGTTCTATACGGCGACCGCGGCCTCGACCCCTTCCTCGCGGCTTCACGAGAATAACAGGACGATCCCTGGAATTGTGAATTAAGTTTTTATTAATACCGTCGATATATTTTTAATAGACAAGGAAAAAAATATTAATACATGCATCCTTACGATCTCAAACATCTACATTATCAGTAAGTAGGGTGTTTTAGAAAAAACACAACAGCTTTATAAAGTTTTGAAATGTACAATACTATACATGTATTTCCATTATATTATTTTCCCCCCCTTATATAATAACATATTATTTTATTCTTGCCACAAAATACTATAGCCAGATGTCAGACATACCTTGAAAGCCTCAGTGAACGCTGCGGTCGCTCCTCTAATGCTGGAGTTGGCAGAACTAAGGGTTTAGCACCTTCGGAGACTGGTAACTTCCGCGGACGCCCACGCTTCTTAGGCTGCGGTGTCATTTCTACTAACAGTGGAATACTTTGCGCATTCTGAGAAATTGATATATCGGGAGACACTTTCATACTTCCCACTTCTAGGGGATCTTGCGATAACGGGTCTGGCGTCACATTGAAGTCTCGAGATTCAATGCTTTCTTGAAATATAGTCTCTCTGATATCTGCACAGTTCTGGTGAACAGGTGCAATTTCAACCTGTATTTCTGGATTACTGTCTAATGAAGTCCCAGACTTCAATTCTGGGCTTTCACTGCGCTGTTTTTCTCCATGATGAAGGTCATGTAGGGGCATAACTTTTAGCTGCTGTTTTGCTTGTAAATTTGAAAGGATATTATGTAATTTGGAACTTCCATTTTTAGAGCAATTTTCGTTATTTAAAATAGAATGATTTATTTTTGCTTGTCTCATTTCTAACGTGTCTTTCGGCGATACAGGACTCGCTTTTGATACCACAACAGGAGTTATCGTTAAGGTTTTACTTGATAACAGCTGGCCCAATTTTAATCTTTTTGAATCCAGAACTGATAGCTCGGCTTCCTTAGGAGATGGCGGGCTTGTTGAACCGTCTGCATTCGTCCTCTTCCCTATGTTTCGCTTGGCAAAAGGCGATTTTTCGGGACTCTGTACAACCTTTGAACTTCTTAACCTTTTGCCTTCTGTAACTGTAGCTGATTCTGATTCTTGCTTTTTTCTATTACTTAATATAGTTCTCCTTCTAGCCATAATACTCTCAGCTGTGTTGACGCCTTTATTATCGTTTTTATTAATAATCTCTTCTGTGATAATTTTTGCCGAAGCTCCATGGTCAGTCTTATTTATCTTCAGTATTATCCTCGGTGAATCTTGGTCAGAGCTTTGATTGATCTTATCTGATATATTAATTTCGAGAGGTTTTGTCACACTTTCTGGCACCTCTTTGCATAAATCTTGCATTGAGCGAACTTTTAATATATTAGGGGATGAATTGTTTTCTCTACTACCAAACATCGGACTTTTACTATGTCTTAAATCTGTGTTTTCATTTGTTTCCGATATAATTGAGACCTCATGCAAAGGTGACTTTGCAGTAGTTTCACTATGTGATATACAATTTAAAGTATTGGAATTGTCTTCATTCTTTTCAAATTCCTCATGCTTTCGACTTTCTAACAACTTCTTTAGAAGAGTACAGTTTGCTTGATTTCCTAAACTCTTCCTTTTTATTGATTGCTGCTCTTCTTCTGCTACACTTTTTTGTAAATTACCTAGTTGATAATTGATAATGGCATCAGATATATCTTTAACACTTTTAGAATTCTTTAAATTATCATGAAGCTCTTCAGATTGTGATAACATTTTGCTGGAGTTCCCTTCAAGTAGCTCTTCCATACTTTGTTTATGGTTAACCTTGATATTTGGTAGATTAGCATCTGGAGAACTTTGTCTATAAGACTCATCTTTACTTGAGTGCAAGTTTGGCTTGTCATGGTTACTATAATTTTCTATAGAATTGCTTTTCTCAATACATTCAGCCACCTTGGAGACTGATTCACTATTGGGGTTTAAAACAGGTTTTATATGTAACTTAGTCACTATATTCTCATGTATGTTATTATAATGTTCTGTACCTTTATCTATGTGATACTGAGAATCACTACTGCCAGAATCAGTTCTAGTTTTGCGGTTAATTTTCATTAACAATGGAGGGTTTTTAATACTGCTGTCATTGTGTTCATCAACTTTTGTTTTTAACTCTTCTGGTTTAACTATAGGTTTTATGGTTAATTTTGTAACTATTGGTATATTTTGATTTCTAAGCTCTGGACTACTTATCCGTTCCTTTTTAGGTGAAAGTGGACCGGGGTGGTCAGGTTTTACTAAAGGCTTGATTATTAACTTTGGAATGGTGGGCATACTTTCTTCTTTAGTAGCAGTAGAACATACAGACTCTTCATCCTTACTAGGTTTACAAATTGGTTTAATATTAATTTTTGTCACTACAGGTATTTGGTCATTGTCATCACTAGAGTTCTCAGATGAGTGATTCTCGGAATCCTTAGAAGTGTTTTCATCATCTGGTTTGATAATAGGTTTTATGTTCAGTTTAGTTATAACAGGTACACCCTCCTCAGATTTTCCTTCAACATCACAATCTGTTTCATTTGATAAATGACCTTCTGGGCTTTTGATTGGTTTAATATGTAACTTTGTAACCTTAGGTATACTATCTTCTTTAGAAAAATCTATGTTATTAGGCTTTACTATAGGTTTTATATTTATTTTTGATATTACAGGAACTTTATCTTCAACTTCGTTACATATTTCTATATTATTATCTGGCTTTACAATAGGTTTAATATTTAATTTTGTAATAATAGGTATATTATCTAGATTTTCACATGAGGCTTTTTTGGGAGTTTTATTTAAATGTTCAGGTTCACTTTTAGTTATGGGTTTAATAGTGATTTTAGGTATATGCGTAAAATCCTTTTGATCAGAACTCGAAGTATCTGTGGATATCTTGAGTTTGGGTATTGGAGGATTTTCAGTAGTTTCCATACTAACATCTTTATTTATATTGTCTGGTGGTTTTAAAGGTTTTATTGTTAATTTTGGGCTAAGTGGCTGGCTTTCAACCATTGTAACTGACTTAATTGTCAATTTTGGTACCTTTTCTGATTGTTTCTCTTCAGCATGACAAATTACTAATTTAAGTTTTGATGGAGATTCTCTGCCTTCTTCGGTATTCTGTATACCTTTTATTGTCAATTTTGGAATGTTAGGTTCAGTATAAAATTTGCCTTCAGTTTCTGTACCTGGTTTACCTAATTTAATAGTGACTTTTGGTACTACATCTATTGGCCCCTGCTCAGAGGCAGAGGCTTGATCTGAGGTACTTGTGGTGTCATCATTTTCTGAATATTCCGATTCTGATATTTCACTACTACTTGATTTTCGATGTATTTCATTGATCTTCTCTGGTGGTTTTACTATGGGCTTTATGTTGAGCTTTGTTATGCTTGAAATAGGTATTTTACTTTCAGATGAACAGTCAGTTTCTTGTGTCACGGGTGGCTTAATGGCTTTGATGGTCAATTTCGGTACTGGGGATTTAGGTTGCTTGCTCTCAGATTGCGTATTATTTACCTTAATTGTTAATTTTGGTACTGTTCTTTCAGTTTCTGGTTCAAATTTCACATCATCTGCTTGTTTCTTATTTGGGCTATGACAGCCTTCTCGAATTTTATCTCCAGTTTTTGACAACTCTTCTAAGGATGCTTTTTCAGTAGACAAATTCACTTTAGGAGTTATTTTTTCTTTTTCTAGCTGTTTTGGTAGCTCCAGCTCTTTTAGTGAACTTGAGGGCTTAGGACTGTCTATCCGAGCTTCAGGGATGCTATGACTACTCACAATAGATGAAGATTTATCTTCATGTTCAATACTTTGAGAAGTAATACTTGTGCTAGTTTGAATGTCCGTTACAGATTTTTCTTCATTTGATGATGTGGATTGACATTGGTCACTTTCCTTTATTAAGAATTGTGTCTCAAATGTTGAAGAATGATTTACTTGAGAAGGCTTTTGTCTTATAAGTTTAATTTTCCTTGGGGAACTTGTTGAGGTTTCTGCTTTGCAGATACTGATTTCACTACTTCTAATCTCTTCTGAATTAATACTATCCTGAATATACACAGCATCTGAAGAGCTGGATACATCTTTCACACACTCACTTGAATGTTCAGATGTTCTGTTTGCTATACTTGAATCAACTGTTGAAGAAACAGTTGAGTCTGGGCGGGTAAGAGCTGGACGCACAAGGCGCCTTCTTAATGGTGACCTAGTCACAGGTTCACTTACAGTTTTTACTTCACTAACACTAGATTCACTTGTTGATTCAGCACTTTCAACAACAACTGAATCCACATTTTCACTCGATGACACACATTTTAATGTTCGCTCACTTAATTCACTTTCAGTCTTATATACACTGCTTGAGGATGCAGCTGGCAAGGGGCTGTTATGCAACCTGTCTGTACTTGATGCTTCTTGGTTCTCAGTTGACAGTATGGCCACACTGCTTATGGCAGAGCTTGGGTTAGATTCTTCAGTAGACAATAAAGGCCTGCACAGCGTGTTATCTTCTTGTACTTCCGAGCTGCTACTTTGTAAGTCACTTGTTGACGTACTATCCGTATTTCTAACAGGGCTTACAGACACAATAAAGGGTTTAGATTTAATAACATGATCTTCACTTTGTATATCTTCGGCACATCCTGTATCACCAGGTGCAACGGGAAGAGGTAAATCATTGGTCGAAGCACAGATTATAGGTTCTGATAATGAGTCTGAAGTGCTAGGTATGGGACAACTGACAGAGTTTTCGTTGTGTATATCTGTATTTCTAGTATCTATACTTTCAATTGGAATTGTTACATCAGATCTTCTTTGTTGACTGAGTGCTAAAAGAACCCTCTGTATTTTTACTAGACACAGGGGATGGGACATGTTTTATATCAGAATCTTTCCTCTGTGAGCAGTCAGTATTATTATTTCCTGCATGTTTCATATCACTTTCAGTACAAATAGGGACACTTTGAACCTCAACATTTTCATAAGTAGCTTGAAAGTCATTATGTGAACTTTTACTGTCTTCTGTTCATCAGAATTTACACCAATGTCTCTTTGAATGCAAGTACTATCACCATAGTCACTGGACACACAGATTTTAGGTTCTGATTGAGGATATTCACTAATTGTTGCTTGTGTAGCACTCAATTTGCTGTTGTTTACACTATCAACATTAGAAGTAACAACAGATACACAGGGGATAGAATCTGATTCAGATTTTACACTAATTTCAACACTTAAAGGGATTTCTGTACACTTATCGTTACTTTCCACACTATTAGATTGATGGATATCACTAATAGGAGGGTTGACAGATTCTGATTTTATAAATCTATCCTCAGGTTTTTGTAAACCCGCCGATTCGATGTTTTGATGTTCGGAACTACACACTGCAGATTCAGCGTCCGTATCCAACAACAAAGGTAGTCGTTTTGGAGCGCCAGGCCCGTCTACGATTTCATCTATCATGTCCAAAATCGCCTCAGTGCTGGTGTTGACATATTGGGCAGACGGCGAAGGTACGCTGTCGCCATCGAAATTATCCTCGGACATCGCGGGGGTTTGACACGACGTCCTGGCTTCAGTTGAGTCTTGTAGATAACTACTAGTTGCTTCGACGTCTTCAAGGCGTCCGATCTCTTTTTCCCGCGCCGAATCGCGGCGGGAAGCATTTGTTGCGGTGCCCGCATCGTCTTCTGAACTCTCCATTATCTACTGTTTTGCGACGCGATCATATCTGAAATATAAAACGCCCGCGATGTGATATTTACGTTACATACGGGTAACCTGACGACGTGAGTGCTTGACAAACCACAGGAACCATTCTAATTCACCATAACGCTATGAAAATATGTTCACGAATCCATGGTGTAGATTATTGTACCTACACATGCACAGTATTTTCATATTCACGACGTTTACGTGTCGCTCGAGCGCGCACAGGGTCTTGAAAACTATTTATTCAACAGCGTAAACCGGCAAACAAAAAGCTTGTATACGCCATTTTAAAAACCAAAGACATGGCAGGTTTGAGGTATGAGCCAATAAAAAATATCTTATTCGGACATTTCGGCCATTGTCGTGTTGGTAAACTGCATGATGCTCATAGATCGCTCCACTTGAGCTTTTAGCTTGTAAAAGAGTAATAAATATGGCTTTCAACATGTGGTAAAACGAGCAAGGTAATAGCTGAGAGCAATAAAAAAAGCGACAAATATGGCAACACATTTGAACAGATTTATCTGTGCATTCTACTTGAAATCAGTTCTGATTGGCTAATAAGCGATCACCACAGAGTAAAGACAATCTAATAGTAATTACAGCCAATAATTAAGTCTCGCTACAGCTTTATAATTTCTACAAGGGGCAATAGTCCAAATACAATTAAAAATTTTTTATATAAGGCTAATGGCCTCTGTTTGCTGTAACAATATATAATTAAAGGTGTTAGTTGATTAATTTAAGGCTTATTATGAACTCTTTACTTTATTATTTTTCTAATATAGTTAATATTACTGTATCATAACGGAAATAATTTAACAATAAAATTGACACTTATGAAAAATATTATTATATTAGTTATGTTGTAAATTTCATGACGAATTCAGGAGTATATTGTTAACATACGTATTAATTATCAACAACTTATAGTTAAACAAAAATAACCACAGGCTTGCGCCATGGGAAATGAAAAGATAATTTGCCACAGACTTATTAGACGTAAGTAGAAGGAAATATACATTTTCATTGCTTAGTGCTTACAATAAATGTTTCTGTACTCATAGAATTTGCACTGTTTGTTGAATCTGTTATCTGTGTAACAATAATTCTAATTTCTAAGCAGCCGTGGAGCCGAACGCATTACACGAATAGAACTGAATTTTAATAAAATTTTGTACTCCCATAATATATATCTAGCCTTTATCTCATAATATAAATTCAAAGTACCACTATGACTACTATTAGGCCATTTACTTGTGAAGACATGCTTAAATTCAATAATGTGTAAGTTTATTCGCTTATTTTTTTCTTCTCTATGAATTAAAAAATTCAAATATGAAAATAATTTTCAGTAACCTGGATCCACTAACCGAAACTTATGGTTTACCCTTTTATACTCAGTATCTTGCTCATTGGCCTGAATATTTTCAAGTAGCTGAATCTCCAAGCGGAGAGATTATGGGATACAGTAAGGATTTAAGTACAATATAGTAAAGCGGCTCAATGTCTTACCAAATTTTAATGTTATCCTGTTATGTTTTATCTTATGTTAGTTATTTTGATTTAATTAATTTTATCTAGTTATGGGAAAGGCAGAAGGGCTCGGTGAAAATTGGCATGGCCATGTTACAGCCTTAACTGTTAGTCCCGACTATAGAAGACTAGGAATAGCTGCCACTTTGATGAATATTCTTGAGGATGTATCTGAAAAGTATGTAGTCAAACAGATACATTTCTTTTTACTCCCAATGTGAATATATAGCACATCCTCTTAATTGCTATTGTTCCACAGGTTTTGTTAAAGTTTCTGACCTTGTCACTAATTACTTTTTCCCTTAATTTTCTTTTATTAATAGGGGATGTATTACTACTTAATTATGAAGGCGATAATTTTTTAAAATTTGTTTTCAGGAAAAAGGCATATTTTGTTGACTTATTTGTACGGGTCAGCAATAAAGTAGCTATTAACATGTATAAAAATTTAGGCTACATTGTTTATAGAACAGTCTTAGAGTATTATTCTGGTGATCCAGATGAAGATGCATATGGTAAGATTACCACAAAATAGATATTTTTACTGTTATTTTATAGATAATTATAATAACAAAGAGATAGATTCAGCAAACAATAATGACATATCTGATCCTTAAATAATGATATGGTAGCTCAATTGGTTAGCAACAGCATGTTACGCTGTGGACGCTGGTTTAAGTCTAAAATCGTTTTTTAATTATCTTAATTTCAGATATGAGGAAAGCTTGTTCTAGAGATGTGGAAAAGAAATCAGTTATACCACTATCTCATCCTGTAAGACCGGAGGAAGTTGACTAAATAAATATTTCTTTTTTAATTTGTGTTATTATTTAAAAAACTAGAGATGTTTTGGCTCATACATTGAAATTTAAAAAAAATAAGATGTAAATTAAACTAAAATAAATCTTCAACATCTACATGACTTGAAAATAAAATAAAATTGTGTATATCTAATTTATTCAGAATCATTTGAGTCCGAGTCCTTGTTTGAGGTCTCTTCTGCGCTTCTACCTTGTGTCTTCTTGAGTATCTGAAACTTGATTTTTATCTGTATCTTGATCCTTATCAGTATCTGATTCTGGAACCTCTTTCTGCTTCCGCCACATCTTAGCAGCTGCTAACAATTTGAGGTTAGGTCTTACCATCTCATCCTCTGGGAAAATGTAGTCAAATATTTCTTCCCATCCTTCTTCCACTCCACTCTCGCTAACGATTTTCTGTCTCTTTTTAACTCTACGCGGCATTTTAGCCATAACCTTCTCGAGTTTTATTTCATCACCAATCTCCACTTCAAACTCTTTCCAGGCCTCCAGTAAAAGGACTCTAGCTTCTTTTTCACCCGCACTCCTTAAGCTATCATTTGCTCGTTCGTATACACGACGTGCTAACTCAACATTAATGTTATCTGGATTTTCTGCATTCAGTTCAAACTTTGCGTAGGACAACCAAACTTTTACATGCACTGTCCTTTCTAGGAGTCTTTCATACAGTTGTCTAGCCCTTTCTGTTTCTCCTTGAGAAACTTCAAAGTCAATATAACTCTTCCACAATAATTCTGGCATATCTAATCTAGGCTGTCCAACCGCAATTTCATAGATTGCTCTTGCTCTGTCAGTATCACCTAGTAATGTTTCCAGTTCAGCAAACTTTATCCATGTTATACAGTTTTCAGGGCCATATTCCAAAAACTTTTGATAAAGTATTCTGCATCTATCAAATTCTCTAAGCTGAATCTCTAAATCAATGTAACCTCTGTATAGTTTATCTCTTGGACAGATTCCCAATGCCATACCTAAAGTTTTTCTGGCTTGCTTTAAATCCTTACACCTAACTTCTAGTTGAGCATACATCAGCCAAATTTTGGAGAATGTAAATACTTTATGTGGAATGAGTTCAAGACATGTTTTGTACACCTGCCTTGCTCTATCGACATCTTCAGCTTCCAGCTCTTCATATAAGGCATAGTTAATCCATAAGTAAATATACCTTCTCCAGAATTGTTTGTCTGTTGTTGGGGGGACATTGGCAATTGCCCTTTCATATGTATCTCTTATTACATCTAAATTTCCCTCATTTTCAACAAGTCTAATGTAGTCAAACCAAGCATCATAATTAGTTGGGTTCTCAATAACTTCTTGTTCATACATATACTTTCTTTTGTTCACAATTACATCTTCAATACCGGATCTGTCTCCATATTTTTTTTCATGGATTGTATAAGCTTTATAAAGTTCTTTGTTTCTATCTTTTGGAATATGGTCTAAGGCATATTTGTATATTACTCTGGCCCTATCATGTTCTTTTTGGTTCTCTTCAAATTTTGCAAAAGCTATGAACAGCCGTTCATCCAATTCCTCATCTCCAAAAAACTCTACAGCCCTTTCAAAAACTTTTCGAGCACTGTTAATAAAACCATGATTTTCTTCAAACTTAGCATACTTTATCCAATTTTTGACATCTGGATGTACCATAACAAACCTTTCGTAAATTTGACGCGCTCTATCTAATTCTTTATATCTTAATTCAAAATTAATGTAGGTTTGCCAAGCTTGTTCATCTGGTTGCCATTCTATCCATCTTTCAAACACCTTAAAAATTACCCAAAGTATTGTTTAATAATATAAGACCAATATACACTAAGAAGTTTAAAAACAAAAATACTAACTTGTCTGGCACCTGCAACATTCTCTAGCATTTCTTCCATATAGGTATATTTATACCAGAACTGTGAAACTCTAGGTAAGATAGTGACCGCTCTATCCCATAAATTTCTAGCATGATTAACTTGTCTGTTTCTCATCTCCATTTCAGCATATTTCAACCTTAAATGGTAAATTTTAAATAATGAATTAATGGTGCACACCAAATTGTTATGTACTGTTAAAATGGAATTTTGGATCTTACCAAAGGGTAACATTCCTATGATCAACATCTAAGGCTCTTTCATAAATTGAGCGAGCCCTCTGTACCTGCTTTTGTGACTCTTCCCATTGTGCATATTTTAACCAATTTCCTACAACCTGAAAATGTATACACAACCTAGTTTTTTATCTATATTTACATAAAAAGAGAAAAATCAAACATTCATTTAAGTAATTTATGGATATAAATACTCCTTACAAGGTTTTTAGAAAATAATGCAGCCCATTTTATATTATTATTAAAAAAAAAAAACATTTATTATTATATGTAAGCAATAATTGAAATACAGCAATAATACATATTTAAAAAATATATAATATGCTAAATAATTACTTTTGTTTTACCATTCTATTTTTACGAATATTATCTTCAAAAGCTTTTCGTTTACGATGCTGATAGTCCCTAAGTTCTTCTGGATCAGAGATCTTTTGTTTTGGCGGCGGCGGTAAAATTTCCAAGTCTCTTTCTTTTGCTTCTCTTAATAACTGCTCAGCTGTAATTTGAATTTCAGCTGGCGCTTTGTTTTTAACCTAAAAGTATAATATTTATTTAATAATATAAAGAAAGTAGAAGTATATTAAGCAAAGGCAAGACGAACAAACCTTCGCCACTTTTGGCATTTTTGCTGGTTTTCCTTCCATTTTATTTTGTTATGATTATGCACTCAACAATATTGCTCTCTGTTTGAGTTGCTTCCGAATATTAATAATAATAGTGAGATTAAACAAATATACGATCTAATAAATTTCAATCTCGTTGTATGCTGTTTCCCAATCACAAGCGCAATGATAGACATTAGACAGAGATCAAAGAATATATTTACTAGGAGGATAGACTCAAGACCGAAGAATATACATTACAGAGCTCAGGAGGAAAAGGTTATAGAATATAGAATAAAAATGTTGTCATTTGTCAATTGTTGTATATCACTGCTAAATGCCAGCATTAGAATATTTATATTTTTTTGTGAAGGAAGCGTTTCTAAATAGAAAAGAATTTAGTAGAATGCATTTTTTTAAATAATAAGAATAAATTAAGCAATATGTATTGTAAATAAGATATAAGCAATAAGTTTTATTTAAATAAAGGTTACGCTATAGTATAAAATTTTGTGGTTATATATCTTCGCGCGTAAGGCATTATTTCAAACCATTTAAAATGCTCCTATCATCTTGTATATTGCGCCTGGGATTTAGCAAGCGTAAGTAGAATAATAAATACCCACGGGTAATCCAAACCATTTTCTTAGAATAAAGAAATTATATTCCAATTTTATACATTTATAGGCATCTTACAATGCGCACGATTCAATTCAACGGAACAAGTCGAATATCTTAAAACAGCTCTCAGTAACGGCAGACTAGATTGGACTGATGTAAAAAAGAACATTCTCGAGAAACGCGGCAACTGTAACACAAAGAATATTGACGCTATGATGCTTAAAGTAATGGTTAATAACAAATATTTCGATGCGGCTTTGAAATTTGCTGATTATCTGAAAAAGGATAACACTGATTTGTCTTTAGGCGCTATAAATGGTCTCCTAATACTTTACTACAATTATTCTAAACACAGCAACTTGGCTCCTGAGGAGAGAGAGTTCATCCTTAACACATATAACAAACTATATGAGAAGTATAAAATATTAGATTATACTACAGGAGATAATTTAATACATGCATTGTGTGCGATAGATGAGTGGAAAAAATGTAAGCGGATCCTGGAAGATGTAAAAATTAGTGGTACACCAACTCACTCTGCCTATAGCACCATAATTGGAACCTTGTTTAGGTTGAATAAGAAAGCGGATGCTATGAAAATGATTGATGTTAGCGTGAATGACAGAAGGCCACTCCAAGACTATGCTTATGAAGAATGGATTAAGAGTATATCTAGGAAATACAAAGATAAAAAGACTATATTGAAGTATTTAGAGGAGATATGTTTACACATTGAAAATAGTGCTGGACCAATACCTAAGGTGACAGCTGATAGGCTAAAAGATGCATTCTCATCTTTACAGTTTGAGACTAAGAATACAGAAATTGTTAAAAAGACGTAAGTATTAAGTAATAGATTTTTACAGTACAAGTGGTTTTCTGTGTCCAGTTTAAGCCTCTTGGTCTTTGCCCTTTTCTCCTTTAAGCATTTTAAAAAGGAAGACATAATAAAAGTGTGTTTTACCAAGTTTTTATTTACGGATAAGGGCATTATAAATAAATAGTTTTTATAAAATTAAATTGAGTTATTTATTTTCAGCGGTGATTGCATTACATGCTGGCAGACATTGGACTGTCATAAGCTAACTGATGAAGAATTTCTTTACCTTCAAAACAATGTCAAGGAGAAATTGATTGTTGGTTCGGACTTGTTCCTAAAATCATCACCTGAAGAGCTTGAACGATTTCAAAAGTTTGTCCAACAGACTGCACCGTACGACATTGTTATAGATGCCTTAAACCTATTATATTTAGCACAGAAAAATGTAAAAGATAGAATGCACATATTAAATTATGTCGTGAATTATTTCTCAACAAAGAATATGAGAATTTTGGTTTTAGGTAGGAAACATATGTTCAAATTGAATAAAGGAAGTTTACATTATATGATGAGGCGTGCTTTTACATTTTTCACTGATGATTTGTAAGTACCATTTTTAACATTAAATTGATGACAACAGAATGGTCATTCATACTAATAAATCTGCATATGGACCTTGCGGCGGTCCAAGCCAAGGCCGATGCCCCCCCTCGGGGCACCCCTGCAGTCTAGCCGCAAACACGTGGTTAGTGTTCGAGGCCCCCCTCAGGGCTCAAAACGTAGGATCATTCAAAAAAAAAAAGGAGCATGTGGACCAATTTTATTGCTTATAATTTAGGTTAATTATATATTAGTATTAAAGTAAATTATTTATTTGAAAGACTAATAAAATTATATGACAAAGTCTGGGATTAATCCTGCATCCTACAAGGTAGCCAAATGAGTATTGTTATTCTGAAGAACAGACTTTGACTATGCCTGTGACTCTTTATAAATGTACACTGTTTATAAATGTAATATAGTATGTATAATAGTTTGCTATGAAAATGACTGAAATTTTTGATCATACACTATTTTAACGTTAACTTTTCTTAATAAACTTTGATTTGTCCAAGACAGTCCAAGTCAAAGAGGAACAAACATTGAACCATTGAATTCATAATAGTTATTATTATTATTTTGTCCATACTGTCTGCTAATCATTTCACTCATTTCTGTTTCACAATGGTAGTATTTATTTCAGATCTCAAGATGACCCATACTTCATAACAGCGGCCATTTTAAGTGGATCACACACAGATATTCTCTCCAGAGACTTGTTGAGGGGACACAGGTTTACTTTGAGAGATGACAATTTGAGAAGGATTTTTCTGAGGTGGCAATGGCAACACCAGTGGAAGGCTTTCAATTCTAAGAGAGGACCATTTGTACTGGTAGATTTTTTTCAAAGATTTTAGTGTGGAAGGAAATTAAACAGACAGTAAAAATAGTACATGTTAAAGTTTGACGCTACAAGATTGATTTAAATTTTGTTTTATGAAACACTTTTTATTTTTGTTACTTATTAAAGATTGGATTTTTATAGCATATATTTTCGGGTTTGTCTAATGGTGAAAACATATAGCTAGTAATCATCAAGTCATGGTTTTAACACCCAGGGTCACAGATGATATAAGGAGTAAAATTTTATGGATTGTTTATTCGCGTTTTAGTTTCCCAAGATATAAGTAAACAGCACATGTTGGATATTTTACCTTTAATTAAGTAAAGCCCACACTTGTATGTCGTCTGCTATAACATAAAATGTTGTCGTTTCAGACACCTCTACCATATACGCCCTGTGCTCAAAAGAACTCTGGGGTTTGGCACATACCGTATGAGTCTGAAGAGAATTTAGATGATGGCAAAATCAATGATGGAGTTCCAGATTGTTCTACGTGGTTATGTTTGCGACCAAAACCTGATAGTAGCTGACAATAATAATGTTTATACATGATGAAGCGGTTTTATTTTTTTTGTAATTCTTAGATCCTAAAATTGTCTTGCCGTTTATGAGCCAATTTTAATGTTGCAGTAAGCTTCTAGAATCTAGATCTTGAACGACTTGACACGTTCATACAGCGTCAGAAATCAAACGAAGCTTTTACAACGAACTAATATAACGATGCTAATAGTAAAACTATTTTTAAATAGCATTAGAATTTTCTGAGACCAAACAACGAAAAGATAAGAAAAACTAAGACCTATGCAAATAATAATATTTCGCAAATTATATAGGTGTGTTACAGTAATTTTGTCAGTATTTAACACCTTTTTTCAAAGTTAGAACTTTTATATAAATTAAAAAGTAAATAAAATTAGGGAATGTCAAATATAGATGACATTGTCACGATAATCAATTCGTAACGGCTTCGGTATGTTTTGTGTGAAATTATAAGTGTTTGTGACCGTTGCATTGTACAATTATCGAAATGCCCAAAGGAAGAAAGCCTCAAGAGACAAGCTCGAAAAATGCCTCCAAATCTGATTTGACCTCTGCGTCAGAACAAAATGTGAAGATCATGAAGAATGTTGAGTCGGGTTGGTATTTTTATTTGTATAGCTATTTTGGCAAAGAAGAAAGAAGTGCATCTATTAAAGATGCAATGTTAGATTAACCCAATAGAAAACCCAAGAAAAAAAAAAAAATTACTTAATCTCAAATTAAGATCTATTTTTAGTTTATCGTGTCATGCACTAGGCATATCGTTCAAGAGGGATTCTTAACCATGACTGCTTGAAACTCAGGCAATAGTTCAATTCGATTTCAAAAATTACTAGATGAATGATTTAAAAGTGCATTTACGTATAATTTAAAAAAAAACATCCCTTATATGCCTAAGCTTTATGTGAATAAATCTCACAAAATGGTTAGTTATCGATCCTTTCTTCTTATACTATAGGGAGTTTTGTTTGTTTGTATAAAATAATCGTATCGTAATAAAGTGTAAATAAAAATTAAAAATTGGCCTCTTTAGGTGATACTCAAGTAAAAAGATCACCCCGCAACCGTCGTATAATGGAACGAGTGGAAATGCTAGCGCGACCGACCGCGAGGCGCCTGCGCTGCTTGTGGGATGAAAAATGCGCCATATTGCCCCCGGAAAGGAGAAATAAAATTAAGAGTGCGTTGGAGGAGGATTACTTTCTAAGTCCCGAGTAATGGCAAACATTTTACACCTTATTTTAATAAAATCTAGAAACATTAGTTAAGCCTCTACGTCTGTAGGTAAACAGTTGTGCAGCGATGCGTTAAAGGCGAGAGGTCCTGGGTTCGAACCCCGGGGACACAATAGATTGTTTCGATTGAACAGGGCACAGAAGTCTGATCAACTGCTTGCTCGTAAAAAAAAAACCATTAGTGAACAACACACAGATGACTACGAAGTGTATTTCGTCATTTTCAATTTGACTTTTAGGCAAGCCTACAAAACTATTATTAAGGATTGAATGCTTACTCTATTATTCTTTTAGTAGATTTAGGCGCGATTACATTTTTATGTGGTGCACCATTATAAATTATTTTATTACGCGACTCAAAAGAGAAACTTCTCAATTTGTAGATATGCTTTATTGATTGAAAAAAATCTATGAACATTATTAAATATGTTTTTATCACGTAAACAGAGATTTCACCAATTGATTTCCCAGAATATATTTTCCTGATATTATCACAAAACCTAACTTACAAAAGTAACGCGTTCGTTAATATGTTTGCCATTTGAAAAAACAATATTATTATAGACAAACGGAGCAATATTTCCAAGCGCTGAGCGGTTCTTCGAAGCACTGGTCTGGCCCAGGGGGTATGGTAAATCGTAAGGAACACGCTGACAAGGTTCGGGAGTTGCGGCAGAGGCAGAAGTGGCTCATTAACTTTAGTGCCCAGGTTTTATACATTGTATAGTAATCATATATACTCAAACTATAAACTTTTAGTTAAGAATCGATTACAAATCGAAAAAAGTTAGGACAAGGGCTGGTCTTTAACCGGCATCGTCAGCGTTCCGTGCTGTTGCTCTACCAATTAAGCTACCGAGTCCTACACCTCATCGTCGATGTTTTTCAACTTATTGATACATGCACCTCTCGCGCAATGTAAAAAAAACATCGACGATGAGGTGTAGGACTCGGTAGCTCAATTGGTAGAGCAACAGCACGGAACGCTGACGATGCCGGTTCAAGTCCTGCCCGAGTCGAAAATTTTTTCAATTTATTTTCGATTTTTAAACTATATAGTGCCTTCATGTGCAATAACATGTAAACAATGATAATGTTTTCAAAGGTTTAAAATAGTCGCAATAAGTCTCCGGTGTCACATAAGTAATGGTATCCCAAATTCACAGGTCTTTATATTAAGGATTTAGAATAAGGCTTGATAAACTTGTAGACTGCAACATTTGTGTTAATCAAATCACCACACGAAACCAGTTTCAACATACATATTTCTTGCATGCTTTATGTTATTACATGCCATTGTGCGTGCATATGCAAACTATTTGTATAGAAAAAAATAAAAAGTATGTTATCTGAGTTTTCAGAGTGTTGTTCTGTTATTTAATTACATATGTTGGTATAAGATTATACAATTTGCCTTTTAGTGTGTATTTAAGGGTCAGCTAACACCGAGATGCGACAAATCTTGAAGAAGTTAGTAGTTCCTTACTGCGTAGACGCATCGACTTGCATTGCGATTTCTTCCAAAATTTATCTTTTTGTGTAATCAATAATGACTATTATTATATGATGTAGCTTTAGCTAGTTTCCAAGAGTGCGCATTGCGTTTTTGTGTGGACTGGCTTTTAACATTTTGATTTAAAAATTGTCTCATCTTAAACGTTAACTGAAATTAGCTTTATTTAAATATGTATGTGCTGACAGGTTGCCTATCGCCTTTGTGACTATATAGCGAAGGGACAGAAGGAAATCTTGGTCTCCAATAGACTCAGGAGCATCGCTGATGTGGTTCTAGAGAGAGTGGCTGAAATACTTGGTTAGGTTTTTCAATATATTATTATATTAAGCATCCGAAACGAGGGGCCGTAGTTAAAATAAGTTAACTAATATGTTTCGCGTTTTAAACTGTTAAAGGTGTTTTAGTCAACGGTTGTTTAAAAATCGCCCATCGCACTTCTAACGTTCGCCGCCAGTGGCGTTCAAGAAACAACTTTTCAATCACGTCCCCCTAAGTCTTAATTTCTTGAACGTTGCATGCGGGTAGAATTAAAAAAAAATGGTCTTAAGTAATTGATGTTGCATCTTTTTTGAGAAATCTCCTTAAAGCAATTATAGGTATTATTAATTAAGAATATATTATAAGTGATTATTGTATATTTATTATAACTGACAGGAGAAGCAAAACCAGCGCGAACGGACCCGGGTCGCCTGGCCCGGTTCATGGTGGCCATATCCGACCGGATCGCTGTCTGGATCGAAAATGCCGTGTACAGAGCTGACGCTATCGAACCGAAGGAATCCAGCGTCGATGAGCATATGAGGCTGGACACGGAGAAACCACTCATTTGTTAATACATAATAGGTAAGAGGTCGTAGTAGAAAAATAGATGAACATGAGATTATATTATATTGTTCTTATCAATTAGTTGCCATTATATTTCATACTAGCTGTGTCAGCAACTTCGTCCGCGTAGATTAGTTACTTTGTAGCATCAAGATTTGTTTTTGCAAACCTCCTCTTCATCTTTATAAATTTAAGGTTTTACCTACGACGTCAGTCATCCAGTCGTTACTTTCTGAACATTACAAACATTTTTTATCATGGGCCAAGGTATCTATATATCTATACCTACAGTAGATACAGATGTGTCTCCCCATGCAATGGGAAACGGAACGTCGTTAGGTAAGGAAACCTTTTTACTATGGAATGACTAAAATTTAATCGGAATTGGTACTTTCTTTCTTTAATTTATTTTTCTTATATTTTTTTAAACCTTGGAATATTCTGGTTAGAAGCCAATTGTATTGTGCAAAGTCGATTTTTCTTAGTTTATTATTAAATATTTTTCTTCGGTGAAATAATATTAAACAAACATATAAGACAAATCTGTAATTATATAAAAAAGACGTAGAATGATCGTATATAATAAATATAATATTTAAACGCGCATGTTTTAAGTATGAGATTAAACCAACTGGTTGAGTTATTGTAGAGAAGGTGTTAAAGAATATTGCCATAGGAAGTAAATAAAATATTTTATGATATTAAACAAACAATGGCTTATTGCTTTGCCTTATAAATAAAATATAGATAATGCTTTGCAAGTGGCAACGTGATAAAACAGGGAAATAAGTGCATTGCAAATATATATCGTCAACAATGACAAGACAGCAATGTTAATAGTTATGAGGAACGCCTACGTTTCGATCTAGTTTTAATCGAGATATTCGAGAAGTAGGGTTGCCAAAAACAAGAGTTATTAGGTAGCTAACACAGTGCAATATATTTGTATATATAAGATTGTATATAATTAAGAGATTCTAAATAAGAATTTTGAAAAAATAAATTAAACATTTTATGTACTTTGGTATGATTAAACAAAAACTATACAATATGGTTGCCAACTGTGTCGTTGGTCTAATGCAGAGATGCACAGACTTGTTAAGAATAGGGGCCACTCGGGTAATTCATAAACCGATGGCGGGCCTCCAGAAGTATAGGTAATTACTGACGATAAAGAATTGATAATAATGTATTATTTTTGCTGTCGGCGGGCCCTAGTTTACGACCGGCGGGCTGCGGTCTGTGCATCTCTGGTCTAATGGTTAGTAAATCTCAAATTATAAGATTAAGCCTTTGAATTCGAGTCAGTTCGGTATCTGCAAGAATACTATGATTATTTTAGTACCACCCTGGCTAGAAGAAGAATGATAAAATTGGTTAAAGCCCACCAGATCGCACGAGCATCTTGGTGGATTGCTCTTAAATTGTATCCCCTATCCTCTGCCAGAGAAAATTATTTTTTTAATTTAAAACTTCCCCCGCAAAAAAAATATTTTGATAGCCCTACACGCAGTCGTTGATAAAAGTGCAAGATCACAGAGTAAACAAAGAAAATCATGTCAATGTAAACGCCGCGTTTAATTAGTAGCTTTTACTTTGCATTTATTAACAATATACATAATTTCGACCTCGTCCTTATCTAAGGCTGGTTTATAAGTGGAGTGATTTACTATAAATCACATAATATTTTAATTTTTATATCGATACTGAGGCATTTTTTTAATGCTTATAAAAATAATCATCCAAATCATCGCAATACTCAGAAAAATCCGTGATACCTCAAGACAGATTTTGTAATGGCGTTGATCAATGACGAATATGTAATGACTATCATGCCCAGTGGTGCAGTGGTGAAGGCAATTGAGATACCGGGAATATAATAGTTTCTCGGTTTGGGCACAAAGGTGTGATGAACTGCTATTGTAAACTCGGTTATGGGACTAGTAAATTGTAAATTTAAAAAGCTCGGTTTTACTAACTATATAATCATAATCTAAAATAAGTCACGCCAAGTCATCGCATCATAGACACATATGTATTTGGTGAATACAAAAACATCACTCTATGTGATGTAGTTTGTTGTAAATTTTATAGTAATAATGTAAAAATTCTATCGCAATAGATATATTCTGTGATGGTCGAATGAGTTTATAAATAAATATGTTGTTATTATTATCGGTAATTGCTACTTTTATTTACTATCGAATACTACCTATCAATAAGAACAAATTTGTTTTAAGATTCTAAACAAATGTATTATATAGAAAATTCTACATGAAATCAAAGTTGCTTTAAAAAGCGTTGTCATGTCTATGTTAGCTATCCTTTTGTAATAAAAGTACTTTATACTTATTTGTAAGGGATAGTAGGATTCGGTAGCTCAATTGGTAGAGCCTGCTAGAGTCGAAAATTTCTGCAATTTATTTTCGATTTTTAAATTATAGTCTTAAGTACAATTTCCCAAAGTAGGCAGTAACCTCTTTAATTGAATTTAACACAATATCAGTTTAGTCTTTTTACAAATCTGGGATTCTGGCTGTCTAAGGGGTTATATAGGCCTTAAAGTTGGCAAATACATGGCCTAAATACATAGAGTAAGTTATTTTGACGATGAACGAGGATCGAAATGCTAACCTCTCTAACATAAGTCGGATACTCATACCACTAGACCAACCGCGAAATATAATCAAAAGTAAGTTAACTAATATATTTCACTTTTAAACCGTTAAAAGTGCTATTATGTACCTGTAGTGTTAATATGTAGTACCCGCGTAAACTACAGACATAACTTGCCATGTATTCATCAAATAAGTCTATTATAAGTGATTAGACTGTCCATAACAGCATCTGTTCTATGATCCAATAAATTATGATTATTTTACCATATTTGTAGTTGCAGTGAGTCGGAGTATTTTTAATACAAGTTTTCATTAGGCATTTAGATAGGCGTAGCGACCTTAGGAGGTGCCTAGGGTATCGCAGGACCTGGTGACCTTGAAGGGCTGTATATAATGCCTCTGTCTTCCGACATCAGCATAGTTTGCACTTGGAAGGCTTAGAAGCAGTTCTAGTGAGATCTACCCAACCTTTCCACCAGCAAAATGATGAAATTCCTTGTACGTATTGCTTTGTTTACAATATCATCTGGTGTGTTCTTAATTTAAATAAATTAAAACCTAAACATGGTTGTCAATTAGGAAAAAAAAGAAAAGGAGAGTTTTGTCTGTAGTTTACGCGAGTAGTACACATTTAAAATAAAACACTTTAACGGTTTAAAACAAGGTTAAAACAAGTTTAACTAAAATATATCGCATATTTTAGTTAAACTTGTTTGAAAATTATTTTTAACTACGGTACGACGTTTCGACTGCAAGGACCCGGCCAGTTTCGCCAAATACCAACTTTGACGTAACAGATGGCGCTAGCGTCGCAGTTTTTGGTTTTGACGTCGGAGTCAACCTCCATCTTAAGTCTCCCCGTGACCACGGCTGCAAGGATCCGAAACGTCGGGCCAGTAGTTAAAAATGTTTTATTTAAAAGAAGTTTTTTATTTTTATTTTAAAAAACTATCTCTTTTTCGCCATGTTAAGAATTAAGAATGCTTATGTGTTTTTTAAAACACCTTATAATATCTACAATAATTTATCATTTTATAAGCTGTGTTGTGATAATTAAATATGCTAATCGAGCGTTATAATTAATACTAAACTACAACAATACCAACTACAGTATATTATTGTTTAAGACCAAATTAAATATGTATGTATTAATTATGTCTAGTTCATATGTTGCTATGCATTATTTATAAAAACTTGTATTATTTTAATATTACATTTAAACTTGACCACTTCTATTTACGGTAATCGGATCATAAATTACTAACAAGTTTTACTAAGTATTTAGGTTCAATATTTATGTCTATAATTAACTATGTTCATATATGTATTTTTTCTTAAAATAAATTCTATTAGATAACTCTAACCAATTGACACGTATGGCTACTTCTATACAAAGGTATTTGAAAACCCACTTGAATTTGAGTCTGACCCAAGAATGCTTCTTCGCTCTGAAATATTTTTAATGTCCCGATGATTTAATTAAAATAATTTTAACGGTTTTAAACACGATATATAGATTAGTTACTTTTAATTGAATTTAACTAGTGTTAGTGTAACATTTTTAATTTAACTTTCAGGTAATCTTTGCTCTGTGCTGCTTGGCTGTCGCCACCGCGGCTCCACAGTACATCTGGCCCGGTTACACTGGTGCTAGGGTAAGGAAGAAAATATATATCTTCATCGTTCAAAATACTAAACAGTCCTATTAAAAAAAATTGCGACCAGAGTATTTGATATTTTTACATCAGTTTTAGATGTATTTATGCGTTGCTATACGAACTGTTGTGGGCCCCGGCTAGTTTTCTTTTTATACATACAGGTTATTTGAGTAATCCTCTGACGGTTTAAAGCGAGAAAAATATTTCCTAAACTTATTTGACAATTATTTTATATACGACGCGACATTTCGCCTTTTCTTGGCCACGGCTGCTCCAAGCATCCGAAACATCGAGCCGTAGTAAAAATATTTTTCAAAAAGTTTAATATAGTTTGCGTTTTAAACGGTCAAAGTGTGTTTATTTGAATGTGTACTATTCGCGTAAACTACAGACAGTATTTAAGTAAAATGTTGTTCTCGATAGACCCTGGTGGCCGGCCCAACAGTGGTGAACGACGTCTACGGCGGACGCATCGTCTCCCCTGGCTACGTGGGACCCTGGTGGTGAGCTACGCAGCCTCCGACCCCCGATGACGAAGTACCCCATTGGTCAATCCCCATTATGTACCCCTAATTCCAATAAAGTGTTCATTATCCTATCCATTTTATCGTTTGATTTAGATGCCCCCCTACCACGTCTTACGGCTCCCCTCAACTATGACAATTAAATGCAATTTTGTTTTTTTTACTTTTGACCCCGGCGCGCGTTATTTGCCATCTAGTTATTTGTTAC